TCAAGGATTCACACAAAATTTAAGCTGTGTTGACAGAAAGATTCAAACCCAGCCCATTTTAAGATACAAACGCACATCTTACCATCTCATCTAAAACGAATTTTGTTTACATTATCTGTTTCCTTATTCTTATACTAATCATGTAATTATATATACCTATATATATATATATATACCTATATATATATATATATATATATATATATATATATATATATATATATTTATATAGGCTATATAGGGGGTGGGGGTGAGTGGGGGCAGGTGCCCCCACTGCCCCCACTATAGGTCCGCCTATGGTTGCTATACTTGCAAAATTAAAGCTGGAAACTTAAACAGCAGAATCAATGAATTAATGGAAATACTTCTAATAATCTAACAAATAAATATAAGGAGTTCCCCACGACGATAAGCCGCAAAGATTCCACATAAAAACAATGAACGAAGACACCTTAAAAATAACTAAGAAATTAACTCTTAGAAAACAATGCTTAAAAATAAATTAATCTAGCCTTAATAGGAAGGTACCATATGTTTCACAGGAAGCAAGCAAGCTAAGCACAAGGAATCTGTGAACAACTTAATCTAGCCTTCATAAGAAGTAAGCACAAGCAATCTGTCAACAACATAAATGATCTTTCATCCATTTTCCACAAATCAATTAGTAGTCATATTCACCGTGAGTGATTGAATTAACAACAGTATGCACAATCAATGGACCAAACATGTTCATGAAATTGAAGGATATGAACCAAATTTCATGAAGAACAATCAAGATATCAAAATGAATTTTACCCAACATACTTAACATTACAGTGTCTGAGTTCAGAGTTCAGACTCATGCCAGTTATGTTACTGCAACAAAGATTATAGGTATAGAACACATTTTGTGGAAGAAAAAAAAAACAATTGGAAAAGGAAGTTTATAAATTTAAAAGATAATGAGCATAAGATAAACCAGTTATATAAAGCCCACTTTGTAATTAATCCAATTCATCAGCTTGTTTTGCCAAGGGCAGTAGTAGTTATGCAAATTTAGTTAATTCCTGCTATGGATCTGAATCAATTAGGCCATAATACTACTGTATTACCAAAAGGGAGGGGGGAGGGGGGAGGGGGAAGGGGGGAAATTCGATCATAAACATCAAACATGATGAAATGTTCAACCGGCTCAAACCATGCCAATAAGATCAATAGATTGCTCCCGTTGAGAGTTTCAATATTAAGTTTGCCTTCTTTATATAAAGAAAATTCATCAAATGAGAACAGTAACTTAGCATCTAGCATCTAAAAATCTATAGAAGTTTGGTCACAGTTTTTAAACTGATTTAAGTTAGAGCAATTCTTTTCAGAGGCAAACAAGTAAAAAAAAAAAAATGCACTTCTAGGAGCAGGGCCATACCAGACGCAAAGAGACCAAATCTGCTTTCCTTTCGCTTTCACTTTTGTTCTCCTCACCAGGTAGTCGCGGACGGCTGTGCTTCTCTAATTCTCCTACCAAGTAGTCGCGGACGGCTGTGCTTCTCCGAGCTTCTCCGAACTGCGGACGGCTGTGCTTCTCTGATTCTCCTCACCAAGTAGCCGCGGACGGCTATGCTTCTTCGAGCTTCTCCGAACTGCTGCCCTAATTCCGTTGGATTCTCCTTAATCGCGGTCTGATGTACTTCTCGTAATTGCCATTCAATTTCACAAAAATTTCAAATTTGCCACCGCACAATTTCCTTTGACAGAGCTGTTAAATTTAACGGTGTAGGTTTGGTAAAGTTAAGAAGAATGAGGTTAAATTAGGATTTTAAATTGACATTGTACAATTAGAAAAGGGCAAAGTACAATTTTGTTGAGCATGTGTTGTACCGACATTTTTTTTTTGTTCCCGTTAAGGGTCTAACAATATTCGCTCTTATTAAAATTGTAGATATATAGATATATATAGATATATAGATATATAGATAGATATAGATAGTATAGATGTACAAAGGGAAGTTAAAATTCCAGGATTTTGTTATTTTATATAGTAAAGATAAAGATGTACAAAGGGAATTGTATTACACAATTTTAAAATTTTAGAATAGAATTTTTACCAGAACTATTGTACGAATGAGAAAGTATAAATCAATATATTTTATTGGGAAGAGAGATATTTTAGGAATTGTGCAGAAAATTAAAATTCCAGAATTTTGTTATTATATACAGTATAGATAGTATAGATGTACAAAGGGAATTGTATTACACTATTTTAAAATTTTAGAATAGAATTTTTACCCAGAATTATTGTACGAATGGGAAAGTAGAAATCAATATATTTAATTGGGAAGAGAGATTTTTTAGGAATTGGGCGGGAAGTTAAAATTTCAGGATTTTGTTTTTATATATAGTATAGATATAGATAGATAGATTTGTAATAATTGATTATTTTTAAGTCATTTTAATTTATTATCGCTATAAGTAGTTTTTATTAATATTGTTAATTTTTAGGGTTGTTTTTGTTATTAAATTAATTTTGTTATTAAAATTGGTCAGTCCAATAAATTCTTAACTCAATTTAATAATAATTATAATTTTAGTAGTACATGTTCGGTAAGAGTTTAATAAATATAGATTAGTTATATATGGTCTCTAATAAGTTTTATTATTATTATTATTATTATTATTATTATTATTATTATTAGTTAATAAAATAGTAGCAGCCAACATTTGGAGTCCAAATAAATTTCTTCCTCCGCCAATCGACGTACGAGAGACTGAGAGAGTCGTTCTTGCGCAAATCAGAACCAGTATTATCATCAACGCGTCTGATTCTTGGGGAGATCCGATGGTTCAGCACAAGACTTTGACGGAAGCCATGGGTGTATATAATTAAGGGAGGCCGAGGTTCATCATCATCCTCAGTTTTGCCCCGCACTAATTCCGGTGGCAGCGATTTTCGGATTTAGCAAGTCGACGCCAATCATTTGGTGGTGGACAAGCTCTTGGCTGGCGCGGAGGATTGTACTTCGGCAGCTCTAGTTCGTAGAATTTTCGTTGGCAGCAGCGAATTGTTCCGGTTCGGCAGCTTCGTTGGGAGCGTGCGGGATAATTACTTTCCAGGTTTCACTTGCAGTGTCCACATAGTAATTCTAGTTCAATTTCTTTCTTTTCTTTAATTCATTTATTCACAAAGCTTTGTTGTTTCTTTTATTTTTCATGAGCTCTGAGTTTTGATGCCATCAATTTCCAATTCACCAGCACTGTTGCAATTCTTATTTTACATTACTTTTTAGCTTTGCCTTAATTGTCAATTTTTATGCATTGTTTTACTGGTTTTGTTTTGCTTCTCTTCCATTCACAGTGATCTCTGTTTCAATTCTTTAATTCCCTATTTCTAAGTTTGGTTACTGTTCTTTTTAAGTAATTGTTAGGAGGTGCTTATGAATTAATGTTAGCTTACGAATAAAGTCTGAGAACTTGGTTAAACTCAATTTTAATTTTAATAATGCTTTGCTAATTAGTTTGTTCTATGAACATAATGATTTAACTTGAAGTATTTTGCAATAGTTTGAGTTAACGTTGCCAACGAATTAAGTTTTTATCTTTTGATTTTATACTAAGCTCAATATTGTTGAAATCTGGCCAATTTTAGCATAGGTTAATCTATTGAATTAATTAATCGAGGTAATCTGACCTTATTCCCTAGCTGTTTCGTTTCGTGGTTAATTTATTAATTTTTTTCATGCCTTTATTGTCGATTGCATTTTCATTCAGTTTGATCCATGTTGATTGTCGTTTAATTTAATCTGTTTGTTATTCTGCTTTCTGGTTTAATTTTGTTGCTTAACTTCCTGAGTTTAATTTTCGTTATCTTGGGCATTTGATCCTAGTACCTTAAATCATCCAGTTTTACTGCAATTAAAATGTTATGTTAAAGTCTCTCTTCCCACTCTTTTAAGTAATTAAATTGAGTAATTAAATTGCATCGTATCTTCCCACTCTTTTAAGTAATTAAATTGCATCTTACATTTCCCTGTGGGATCGACCCTTGCCTTTGCACACTATTACTATAGCGATTCGTGCACTTGCGAGGACATTTAAAATTGTCTTATCAGACCGCCTAGCCCGTAGGCCAGGGGCGGGGTGGCCTGGGCCAACAAAACCTAGGCCCACCAAAGAGCGCGCTTTTTGGCCCGCCCCGCCAGCCCGTATTGACAAGCTCTATTCATCAGCAACAGTGTCGCACCCATCGTCATATTGGTTACACCCATCGTCCCAGATGACCAAACTCCAGTTATCACTCGTCAGCAGGTACTAGCGTCGTAGCACTCGTGCCTCCGTCGCGTTCCAGTCGCACTTGTGCCAGTGGTTTAATGGTTTTTTACTACAATACTTCATATTTGGTCATTCTTGCAACTCCAATCATTTCTTGCATATATGATTATTAAAATTATACTAATTTGACACTTTGCTGGGTAGACCGAAGCAATGACTCCCCCATAGGGTTGGATAAGCCGAACCCTTATCAAGGTGCTTACGGCTTGACCAATCATTATTGTGTGGACTGTGGTCCACACAACTGTGAAGCCTATTTTCGAGGCCTTTAAAAAGGCTTCAAGCATGGCCAGGCCAGCCTATTGTAGGCTCAGGCTTGGGCCTAAACAAAAGCCTACTTACACACTCTGGCCTTTAGGTTCCCATAATAGGCCCACGCCTAATTTTCCAAGGCCTAGCTTAGCCTGGCCTATTTCCACCCTAGCTGTTCCCACTATTTCCCTTGTAGATGGGGAAGGGGGTAACGGGCCCCATCCCTATGTGTATTCTTGAAGTACAGAAGTTTGATTTAATGTTCTTCAGTTCTTCATCTTATTTCTTTCTTCCATTTTTCAATTGGTACTTGATCAATGATCTATTAATCTTATGAAGCTGTAAAGTACCAATCCCATGTAATTGCAGTACTTTTTCTTTAATCTATAGTTGATTCAGGATTCTGCATTTCTAGCTAGGGGCTTTATGATATCTGATTATTGCAGAGACTAGAGAATACAAATGGAGTGGTTGCTGATTGTTGTTTCATTGACTGTAATATGGGTGGCTTCTCTTTGCAAAGTTCTCCATGAATCTCTGTCTGGCTCCAAGGCTACATTTTTAGATGATGGTAAGAAGGCAGCCCTTCTAAAGCTTAACCTTAGTTTTGATTCCGTAGTGCAACATTTCAAAAATTCCCTCATCTCCGTTTATGTGTATATTCATATGGTATGATGTATTCTTTTGGAAACTTGTATGTGTGTGAATTTATAAGAGATCCATTATGATCCTCTTTTTTTTTCTTTTTTTTTTTTGGATTTCTGTTAATTATTCAGGTGGAGTTTCTCTGAAGAGAAATGTTTTGTTGGTTATTGCCCATCCTGATGATGAATCTATGTAAGGTTGAAAACAGAAGTTTGTTCTTTATCTTGAGATGATGTTATGCTCCTTCCTTCAGAGATTTAAGTGAGATAAATACTTTTCTTACCTGAGATCATCTCATTAGATAAATAATTATCCCAGCTGAGAACATCAAAAAATGTATTCAGTATAGAACATCCCACTTTTTGAGTGGCCAGAAATGGCCATTACATTCTGACTTATCTGAAGTTACAGCTTTTTTGTTTGTGGTTAGTTGGGCAAGTGACTTTTTTACTAAGTTCATGGATATAATTTCTCTTGTTCAATTATATAATGTGACCCAATAAATTTTAGTTATAATCTGTAACTTTGCAGGTTCTTTGCTCCAACCATCAATTACCTAACTTCAAAGGGGCACAACGTACACATATTATGCATGTCAACCGGTAAGATACTGTCAAAAGTTCATAATCTTTGTTATCTATACTATTGTTAAAAGAACTAAACAGAGAGCCTGCAATTGGGGATTCAACAATATTTTTTGTCACCTGGCATGTTTATATGGTGATTTGGTTAAAGTTACACAAGTGTTATTGGTTTTACTGGGATTCAAATATATTACCATTGGCATCTTACAGGTGGTTTTTTATTTTCAATTCTTAGTATTTTTTGCCTGTTTTAAAATGCTTTCAACTTCAGCTCTTCACATGCTTGTTACAAGAAATATCGCAGCTCTATATAAATCTAAAAATAGTCTTAGCATTTGATGTGCAACTAGATGTTCCTAGTGAGCATTCGTGCCATTATGCACATCGATTAGGTTCTTAATCATTTACCTTATACAGAAATGCCAGTTGTATGTTTTATTTTCCTTCCAAAAGGGTTTACATGAAACTGATGCGTGTGTTATCTTATTTATTTTGTTAATTACTGGATAGCAATTTGGTTTTTTTGAATTGCGTGCTTCTTTGGCACATAAGATATATGAATTAAAGCAGTTTGAATTCAGAATGCTATTCCTTGAATCCTTGTAACTTCTTCCATATGCTCCTACTTGTGGTGCAGTATTTTTTGGAATTTAAGTAGTTATGTTCAATTTGATAAAACGGAGGAATAATGTTCATTTTTTTTTATACTTTGAAGAAATCATCACATATTCCTCCTATTTCTCACAAAAGGTATTCACCCTCTTATAATAGAAGTTAAAGAGGCTAATTGTCTTAGGTTAGAGGGTCATTCGATTGACTTGTACTAATGAGAATTTGACTCCAGGAGAAAATGAAAATAATAATAATAATAATAATAATAATAATAATAATAATAATAATAATAATAAAAAAAAAAAAATTTAATGTCTACGTGTAGGTAATGCAGATGGCATGGGGGATACTAGAAAACAAGAGCTCTACCTGGCTGCTGCAACCCTTAAGGTAATATGAAATCTGATAAGCATTCTTGCTTGTGCATTGAGCCTTTATTTTTATTTTTATTTTTTTATTTTTTATTTTTTAAACAAAACTTTATTAAGCAAAGGAATAAAAATGTCTTACAACTGATGATCCAAAAGTGACCATAACACATACTCAGCCCTTGAGATTGGGTACTAATATAAAGAAACTAAAATAAAGGATGGACTCAAGCCCTAACAGGCCAGGCCTAAAGAATGAAAGAATAAAATAATGGACCCAAGCCCAACTAATAAGCAAAATCAAAGGAATAATAAATGAAGAAAAATAAATAAATAATAGGGGTGCTGAAATGGAGGCGCAGAATGCCCCTATCGGCGTCGCACCAATTTTCGCAAAAACCAGCAGCGTAACGGCTGTTTCTAGGAGAATAGCTGAACGTGCGTGCCACCTTGTACTAGTGCGCCACCATGCCGCACCACCACAAAGTTGCAATGCCGCGACTCTGCGCCACAATGCAACGATGCAACAGTGCCAACATGGCCGCAACGCTTCACGCCCACGTCTCGTCAAACTAAATCTATTGGCTGGCCACAAACCTCCAAGAATGCTAGCCCATTTTGTAAGATATCCGGCAGCTTAACCTGCTGCAAGGCTGTCAAAGAACCCAAAGATCTCTTGACCGGAGAACCCAAAGATCTTTCGGTTTTCTTAGGAGAAACCAGCTCCGAAAAGGACGGAGAACCACGTTGAGAGAACCGAGATATTGACAAAACTGGCAGTATACCTTCTTTGTCATTGTTGTGAACACTCTCACAATGGGTAGATTTGCGTTTGCCTATGGTAGTTTTGGGGTGAAAAGAAAAATGATTTAGCATTGGTGTTGATGACGAAAGACATTTTTAAAAAATGTAAAATTGATTATTAATTATACACTCTAGCTTACAGGCAAAATCTGGTAAAAGGGGTTTAATTGCATGATTTTATTGAGTTCGAGTATGTGATTGGAGGTTTTTGAAGTTTGATGGCTAATTGCTGTTTTGACAATAGTTGGAGGGCTTATTTGACCCTTATCCCCTTTCTAAAAAAATCTTCAGACTTATTTTGTTTAGTGCTTGTACCTCTACTGTTTTTTTTTTTTTTTTTTTTAAACTATAATCAAGTTCTGGTTATTATTGATCTGTTCTGAATTAATTCAGGTTTCTCCACAGCAAGTAAATATCTTGGATCATCCAGATTTGCAGGTTTGTTTCAGAAAAATCTGCAACTTCTTAGCATCTTCTCTGAATCATCCTCATTCCTCAGAATTGTATGCTGTTATGTCTAGGATGGTTTTGGCAAAATTTGGAACAGTGATTTGTTGGCTGGAATTGTAAAGGAGGAAGTAGACAGACATTCTATTGATGTAGTAAGTAATTTCCAAACCCAGTCTGCCATTGGCCTTTAGATACAAACACAAAGTTGGTGGTTAACTACATATCAGCCGGTTTTCTATCTGCAAAATGTAGTTTTTTATTTTATATTTGTAATGTTCACAAATGGAAAATTGAAGATGAGCTTAATACATATCGAAAAGAATTACTTGGGTATAACTTATACCATGGCTGGCAAAACTGGTCTTGACGGGTAAAACTTATACCATGGCTGGCAATTCTGTTGTTGACTTTGATTCTTGGCTTAAAAGTTGATGGCAACTATCATTACTATTTTAAGTGCTGCTACAGTTTTATTTATTTATTTTCAAAGTATTGCATATTTGCATTATCTCCAATGACACATTTTTATCTCACTGTTTTCATGCATTTCCTCTTTTTGTTTATGGAGTAGTTATTTTGTATAGTTTTCTTTTGATTACAGGTCATTAGTTTCGACAATTATGGTGTTTCTGGCCATTGTAATCATTGTGATGTGCATCGAGGTGTGCGGTGAGTTGACCTTAAGTTGTTAAATCAAGGAATGTTCCTTTAAGACATTCTTGTTACTGCTTATAGTACCATGGCAAGTTTTATAATCATTGTGATGTGCATCTAGGTGTGCGGTGAGTTGACCTTAAGTTGTTAAATCAAGGAATGTTCCTTTAAGACATTCTTGTTACTGCTTATAGTACCATGGCAAGTTTTATTCTAACTGCACAAGTTCTTTTCTTTTCTGGCTTTGTATATGTCAGAAAAGTGTTGCAGGATGCTTCACACAAAAATGTTGAAGCATGGGAGCTTGTAAGTCCTCTACTTCTTCAAGCACTAATTGTTGTTTTCATGTCTGATGAATTTGATTGGCAATTCATATCAGGAGGTGCAATGATGGTCCTATTATTTTGCACTTCTCATTGCTATACATTACTGATTCTATATTATGATTTTCAGGTCAGCACTAATATATTGCGCAAATACATTGGACCAGTTGATATCTGGTTGTCTATCTTATATGCAAAGCTCCATCCAAACAGACAATTGCATTTCTTGATAAATGAACGTCCTCGCAAAAGCTATGCTGCAATGGCCCAACACCGGAGTCAATGGGTTTGGTACGTAAGCCTTTATTCTTTATTCCAATTGGTGTCAACGTGCAGATGTGTTATCCTCCAGAAAACACTTCTTCTTCTTCTTCTTCTTCTTCCTAAGGGGAAGGGGAATCCAATAGAAAAATGAAAAGGATAGTGTTGTCTCTTGCAGGTTTCGTAAGCTTTTTGTATCCTTCTCCAGCTATACCTTTGTGAACTCTCTAAAGAAGATCAACAACTAAGCGATGCCCAGAAACGTATTCATGAAGAGGTATGTTTCTTAAGACTGATTTCTCTGGTGTATCATGCCATATATTGTGTACATTCATGAAGATGGAAAGGTCGCACTGCACTCACTCCCTTTGAAGAGATTTGCTACCTTAATTTGTGCAAAACACAAAATGAATTGTTCTGAACAACAGATCGAATTCAGTACACTCAAATGTGTGGGATCTTCAAAATGTTGTATTAACATCACAGGAAAAACAAAAACAAAAGAGAATCCCTTGTATCATCATCAAGTCTGTGACTCCATTCGTCTGGAAGCTGAACAATGGGATCAAAACAGTGCATTATGGGGGCGGTGGGTTCCCAATAAGGTTGAAATTCGGGCTAAAGTTGCTCCTAATGTTTAGCAGGGCGTTTGAAGCAGTGGAAGTATTGGAATATACAGGCAGGCTTAATGCTGGTGCTGATGATGAGTGTGAAGGGGGGCATTTGCCACTGCCACTGCCACTGCAAATGCAAATCTGTTGTTCACTATCTATCTATCTCTTTGTGTTTGGTGCAGCAAGCATTGAAAGCTCCGCCTGAAGAGATAGATGCTGGCATTGCTGGGAACTATATAACAATTTTAATTTTGAATGGATCTTACAACATTTATAAATATAATCATGTGAACTACACTTAACCCAAGTATAAAAAAAAAAAAAAATGCTGTCATAATATTTGTATTACATGTTTGTCATATTCTATTAGGATGACTACTTTTAGATTATAAACACTAATGTAATGAAGTAATGTTAGCATTATATATTTTACTGTTACAAAAATATAATTTCAATGTAAGTAGAATGAAAATAAAAAACATGCATTTAGATATCATTCATTCTTATTATGCATGTATGCTACATGTTTATGTAAAAGCAAAACAAGTTGAACCTCTTCCTCCTGCTGCAGTGCGAGGATTGTGGAGACGCAACCAAAAAGGAACATTGGATGTTAAAATGTCTCAATTGAACAAATCTACATATATATATATATATATATATATATAGGTGGCTTATGGCTATTACAATAGTTCAGTTGAAACTGTAGACTTGAGCAGAACTGTGATGTATGGCTGATTCATGGACAAATTTGAGCTCCAGTTTCTGTAAGTCGTAACCCAAAACAAAGGCAAAGGGAAAGAGAAGATGGTTCATATGTTATGACTAACAAGATCTGGCACACAAGTGGAGGGTGATCTAAAGCCCAACCCTTAATTCTTGCAACAGCTTGTCAAGCCTTAATTCGTACCACAAACGAACCTGTAAATTATAAACACATAAGACTGCATCAGAAATAAGCTGACCTCTACGGTTTTATCAATTCATCAAGATTTTGCAAGTGGGAAAATCAAGATCTTAAAAAGAATCTATACTAGCCTGCAATAACTGGGGATTTTTTTTTTAATAAATAATTTTGTCCAAAAAATAAAAATAAAAAGGCCCGACTTGACCCCCAAAATTTTTAATAATGATTGACATGATCACAAAATTGGTTGGAGATCTTGACCAACAACCCAATAAGCAACAAACTAGAACTATTAGAAAAAAAAAAAAAATGAAACTACATTAATACTATGGGTGTGTTTGGTTGGTGGGTATACCCCATCAATTGAAAAACCCATACCCAAATACAATAAGGGTTTCATTCCCTTATTCATTCTCAAGCACTACTATTAGTAACTATTCCCATTCCACCCTACTACCAAACATGTTCAATATTTTCACCAAAACCCATTACCATTACCAAATATTTGATACCCATTCCGATTCCTATGTGCGAACCAAACACACCCTATATAATCATTTTTAATTTTTATATAGACCTGCTATACATTTCTTCTTTTTTTTTTTTTTTTAATAATTCTGTCATATAATGTATTGATATATGTTTGGGGTGTGTGTGTGTGTGTGTGTATAGTGAATCCATTATTTTAAATTTAATCAGAGCTAATAATAATATAAACAATTGAATGTCAATATTGTGATAATATATTTATTTTTAGTTCAAAAACATAGAGTATTAAACATAGATTGTCCTTACTTCTTCGTAAAATATTAGTAATAAATCAAATATCTAAATATAAGATAAATTGGGGAAATTCTCAAATTCAAGATAAGATTTTCAAAAGTAAGGCAATCATCTTATTATTTAAATGTACGATTCAGTGAATATTGAAGAACAATATAGGGAATCTCAAACATATTTTATGGTCAATTCTATTACTAATACTTGTGTAAATAATTAGTGTGAAACTAAGAAAGATGTCTTGTTTAGGTATGAAAATAATTTAAATAGAGATGCCAAATAATAGGCTGCTATAATTAAAAATATATAGATAGATTTTATCTGAAATTCTGATCAAGTTAGAAGTATTATTAATGTAATGCCCTAAGGTCCCAATTTTGGCAAATTAAAAATTGTACTACTTTAGTATATAGACTTATATTTATCCTTCCATACAATAGTATTAGCATGTTTCTTTGTTGAAGGATGAATATGAAATAATACCACAAAACAATAAAAGACACAACTTACATGCAGGCAGGTTAGATATATCTGCAGATACTGCACAAGGAATTCCCAGATTTGAAAGTGCACCTCTGATGATTCCACAAGGGAAATAGAGATGCATGCCTATTGCTTGTGCAGCTTTGTTCTCAGCCATTGCTGAAGGATCTTGAATAGAACCAGAAGTTTCAAGAGATGGATCCATTGGCATCCGAGATAGCCAGCGAAACCGATTATCTTGCAACACAAAGGTACCCTAGCAAGACAAAAGATCACACATAATGAGCTCATAATAGCTTAAGAAACAAGCTAGTGTGAATTCTCAAACTCACTCTGTGATTTGTCTTTAGGTTGTCTATCTGTTTCTTAAAGAGTTCAGACCAGAAGTCTTTGCAAATGAACTTGATAGCTTCCAAATGGTCACTGAATCGAGGTCGTTCCATTGTGTATCTACAGCAGTAGATAAAAGTATATGAGTCTTCAGAGAAACATGAGTGTTAAGGAGATAAGCCAATAAAATGCATCAAACCACTTTTAGAAATTTATAGGTCTCCTAGCCAAAGTGAGATCACAACCAAATATATTATCAGCTAGACATGGGACAACCTAGCTTATGAGCAGTGGGGGTCAATAGAAGTCATTAAAATGCTTAAATGATTGAACATGTACATGCCAAGTGATCTGTCCAAAAGTTGGTCCCTGACATAACATATAATGATATGGTAGACAGTACTAGCTGTCAAGAATGTAGCAGAACAACAATGATCTTCTCGGTTAGAAGGATGAAAAAGAAGCAAATCCCATAGAATAATTCTCTATTTTTCAGTTTATTTATGCTGCAATGAAGTGTCTTCTTCTTCCCCCTTAATCTTACTTAAAATCATCAATAGGTCATGAAGTACGAAGTACCTCTTTCATGACCTATAATAAGATGCAAAATATGATACTTGGTAAAAAATGAGTCCTACAAAAATGTGGCCATACAACTAAAGCCAACTATCCCCTTTTGAGCAACACAATTCAGTTTTTTTTTATAAATTAAATAATCCAGTCAATTGTCAATACAAGAAAAAAACAAAAAAGGAAGTGCTAGATAGCCTAGATCTGTCTCTAAAGTGAGATAATGAGTACAACCTGAGTCAACCTAGTTACATGCATTAAACAAATGCTGTGAATATTTGTTGATGTTCATACCATAAGTAGGTATAACTCTGCAATAAAACTAGAACATAAAAGAAAACAACTTTCAAGATGGATTCCAAGTGATTATGATAAATTGATTTCACCAAGCCCAGAAAATCATATTAGCTTATAAATTGCAGACATCCCAGCAAGACAAAAGGAAAAAACTGGACACTTTACAAATTAAAAAATCAAGAGAGAAAACCTAGGATATCCTTACCCTCCTAAACATAAAAGCTTCATGATCAGGTGGACATAACATACAGAAGAGAAAGAAAAAATGTTAAGGCACAAACAAGGACCAAAATCAATGATAGCTAGGAAAGCAAGAGAGCAGTCTACCAATACCAATGCAGCAACAGCTAATTAGTATTTCAATTGAGTTAGATGCCCTCAATAATTAAGCAGTTAGCACCCAGGAGCATTATCAGAAATGATAAATAATGGAACGTCTCAACAAATTACAGATCAAACCTTAATTACTGGGAATTAGGTGAGAGATGATTGAGTTTGGGAAGATAGATAGAAGATAGGATAGTGTTGTATGGTGGTGACCTTTCGGAAAGTTGGTGGCCAACTTGAAAGCCGATGGCTTCGATCCGGCGGGCGGCGAGCTCCGGCTTGTCGGCGTAGAAGCCATTGCAGTAGGAAGAAACAATCTCGGTTAGAAGACTCTCCACGCAGCTCTCTGATACCTCCCTCCCCATTTCCCAATTCTCTCCTTTGATCGTTTCCACTTGCTGGATCCCCTTCCCCACCCTTAGTATTCCCTTGCCCAAATTATACTTTTTTTTACAAAATTATTCTAAAAAATATATACATATGTAATATAATGATCCAAAAAAAAAAAAATTAAAAAGTATATATATGTTTGTTCCCATTTTCACTCGCACAGTCGCACTCCCTCATAAAAATAGAGTTATTTACCGATTTGGTTCCTCGACTATGAGGATTTCACCACTTTAATTCTCGACTTTTAAAATTGACCAATTTAGTCATCAATTATACAATTTTTACTCGAAATGGTCCTAGGTATAAACTGTCGTTAGTTAGACGTTAAAATTGAAGACAAAAATGTAATTTCACTTTATTTGCCTTTTTAGGTGTAGCCGTTTAATCTCAACTCTGTGGCTATGTTTGCAGAGCGTAAAAAATCCCTCCAAATTTAAAATTCTCAAAATCTAACCCTAATCGCAGGCCAAGTGCAGCGCCCAAAGCCGGGGGAGAGGGGGAAGGCGACGGCGATTGCACACCAATTGCACCCGATTCTGGATGCGAAGATTTATTCAAGGATTGTACGGCAGTTGCACCCGATGCCTTGGTAGAGAAAACAATTGGGGTAGTGATATCTGATAATATTAAGCCATCACAATCCATTTCTAGTATTGAAGATTTATTCAAGGATCTACACCTGTTACAAATGGTTCCTTGTCAGAAAAAACCCTAGAAAAATGTCAAGAGTGACATTTTGAGCCTTTTTGACCAAGTATAGTGTAGAAAGATGGGGGGTCGTCAGTTGTTTTCTTTCTTCTAAGGTTGTTGTTCTGTGTTTGAGTTGTTGGGCTGCCATGGAGATGATAATAGGTTTGTGGTACAATGGACGAGAGGGCGAAAGAATCGGAGGAGCTGAGAGGAGTAAGTGAGGAAAGTAATCCGCCCGCCGTTGCCGTTGTCGTTGCCACTGCCACCGCCTGTACTACCTTCTTCGACGATAAACCCGATTCAGACCTGAACTCAGCTCCAGATTCCACCCAATCCTTCTTCTCTCGTTTCTCTGAATCCAAACAATCAATTGAGTTGGAACTATCTCGGACAGAACCCAGTAGAGCGTTCCAGCGGTCTCTGTCTCTCCTCGGCAAACTACAGCGTGATGGCGTAGGCAAAGCAGCTACGGCAGCGGGTTTCGAAGCGGCGATGGCGGAGGAAAAGTTGAGCAGCAGCTGGGCGAGGTCTTCTCCCCTCCGTTTTCCGGCAGTCTCAGTTTCTGGGCAGTACGACAACAGGTGGCGGCGACGATTCCTTCCAACGACCTCTCTCTCTCGTTCGTCGACTTGAAGATGAAGTTGGGAAAATTTCCTATTTTACCCTTGCATTTTGACGATAAAATAGACTGAGGACCATTTTGGTTAACGTTTTCATAGTTGGGACTAAATTGGTCAATTTTGAAAGTCGATGATCAAAGTGGTGAAGTCATCATAGTCGAGGGACCAAATCAATAATTAACTCTACAAATAATTGAGAATAATTTTTAAAAATTTACAAATTCTTAAAAGTTACACTTCATGATTATAAGTTCTAAATTAATTTTTAAAATATGCTAGATTTAAAAATGACCATGCTAAATACCAATTATTATTACATAAATATTCATTATTAATGTATTATAAGTTATTTTTTTAAATTTTTTTTAATATATTAAAAATGAATATTTATTAATGTATGCATTACAATGTATAATTTGCAACTACTCATTTACTTTTACTACTCAAAAATAGCTACCCCTGCCACAAGATAAAAAAAAAAAATGATAAGTAAAATTAAAGAGAAAAATTAGTATTTAGCATTTTGTCACATCAAAAAGTGATTATTTGTGAGTGATAATGTTAAAGGGGCTTAGCATTTTCCTTTATAAATAATATACTGTTTCCAAAATGCATATAAAAATGTGCTAGTCAATAGTAACCAACTTGTGATTTTTAAAAAATAAAAATACACATACACAATAGAGGATGAAGCTATAAATTTTTTTCTCAAGCTTACTCTCAATAACCTTATTTCTTCTTTGGGAAAAAAAAAAAAAACCTTGCAAATGTGCTCAAAATGAAGTGTACCTTATGACTCTAACTAGACCAAGGAGTTATAGTACCAATAAATAACAAATTAATTAAGAAAATCAATAGACAACGTAACTCTCATGAGAGTCAAACTTGAAACCTGTGATTTATAAATCAATTATTTGACTAATTTGAACGGGATTGATGCAAATATCAACCCTATTAGGATATATATAACAACAATATATAATTATCAAATAAACGAAATTAACTCCATAAATAAATGCATACTTGTGGAATATTATATTGCGTTATCATCAACCAGAACAAGACCTACCTATTGATATGTTTGCAAGCAAAATTTTATTATGTATTTGACATTAATTATTGAAGTGGTGCTCTATTAGACTATTATATATTCATTGCATATATAAATGATAATAAGGAAATCTCTAATAAATAAATAAATAAATAAGAAAAAGGAAATCTCTAATATAATATTAGTGAAAAATTAAACTTATACAGGTAGAGAGATAAAATGTGAAATCAATGATTATATTTTTTAGAATATTACAGTGATGGATAATTACTATTTATTACACATTTTTGTGACTCATTTTATTTTTGTTTTGTACTGTTTTGATGTGATGTGGAACGAGCAAATTAAATTAAAGAGGATATATAAGGATTGTAAATGCCTAAACACTTAGACACTAGCTAGAAGGCTATTATATTACTAACACGTATAGTACAATAATGTTTAATTTATTGTGAAATAATCATTATTACTTGTAAGTTGTAACATAATATTGGCCCTGTTTGGTAAAAAATTGGCTTATAGGTCAATTTTGGCTTATTTGACCACTATTAATTGTTTGATTTAGTTAAAGGCCCTGTTTGGTAAAATGGTTGTTAGCTGATAGCTGTTTGCTGTTAGCTGATTGTGTTAATTAAAGGGTATAAATACTTGATAACATTAGCTGATTGTAGAAAAGTGTTTGGTAAATTAGCTGTTAGCTGATAGCTGTTTGGTATAATTTTTTTTCTCAAAAAGCTAATTGAAAAAGTTGCTAGGAGTAGCTTTTTTAATTTTAGCCTTTTGGAGTTGCAAAAATCTAATTAACCAAACATTTATATTGATATTTTAACTAAATCAAACAATTAATAGTGTTCAAATAATCCAAAATTGGCCTATAGGCCAATTTTTTACCAAACAGGGCCAAAATATCAATATAAATGTTTGGTTAATTAGCTTTTTGCAACTCTAAAAGACTAAAATTAAAAAAGCTACTCCTAGCAACTTTTTCAATTAGCTTTTTGAGAAAAGAAATTATACTAAACAGCTATCAGCAAACAACTAATTTACCAAACACTTTTCTACAATCAGCTAATGTTATCAATTATTTATACCCTCTAATTAACACAATCAGCTAACAGCAAACAGCTATCAGCTAACAGCCATTTTACCAAACAGGGCCAATAAATAAAACATAAAGTACGGCCGGGTTCATTATTAAACATTAAGTATATCTTGCATGAGCTGATCGAAGCCTCTTTCCATTTTCTGGGAATTTTCCCTCCTGACACTTGACATTGTACTGATACTACTATACATTACTTACACGTAGATTTGTAATATATTACAGAAATAAAATTAGAAGGATAAGATTTCGGTAGCTAGAAAAAAATGTAGTAATTACATTATATTGCACGTTAGTTGTACGACATTCAATTCATTGCCCAATTGTATGTATGTATGTATGTTATGGGCATTATTTTTTTGATCTGTAAGTTTGTGATAATTTCCATAATTGACCTTCAATCCCCAGTTGCTTAAGCTCCATTAGTCCACGCTCAACTGCAATAATTAAGTGGATCAGATTAATTGGAATTATTGAGAGCGCAGCAAGCAAGCTAGCTAGCTAGGATATATTATATATATATATATATATATATATTTAGTTCAATTAAATTCAATTATTATATTGATAAGGTTAGTTTACCGTTAATTGCATCGTGTGAGTTGAACGTATGAGTGGCGTGGTTGATCAAGAACCCCAGTCGCTCATCTGCAATATCTGCTTCCAATCCATGCTTCTTTGCTCTTCTCCAATAATATGTTAGCCAAGCCTGCATATATATATGCCGCACCAAAACCATATATATACATATAAGAGAATGAAGTTTCATTTCAAACTAAAAAGGACGTACTCACTCTCAAACAGTTACCAGTTGGTATCATACCAGCTTAAAACGTACATCTTCAACCTCGTCTTCACTCAATTCTTAAATACAACAAATGATTTCAGTCAGATTTATTTTCAAACCAACCAACCTAATATTCACATATATATGCATGGGAATTTCAATTCAACTTCTATATATAGAAATTGACATACCAAATGCGTCTGCAAAATTCTGGCCTTCAATTGGGAGCTTTAACTCATCTGCTGCAATAATAGGTTAATAAATAAGAAATGCTTGTAAAAAGAATATATATATATATATATATATATATATATATATATATATATATATATATATTAAACTTCTGGGGGCAGCTAATGCACTTGGTATGGAGGAATGAATTGAAGGGGATAGAATTGCAGATCGAATTGATCTAGATTTCAATTTCCTCACATCGCTTGTATGATGGAATGGAATGGAATCATAGATCCATTCTGCATCCTAACTTCACAATTTCATTCTGCTCCGCTCATTCCTCATGTCTCCACATATAGGCCTCAAGTTTAAATATCAATTTCCTCCTCCTAATTCTTATCTTTAGTATAATTATAAATAAACCAACCATATATTTTTGTTGATCATTAATACATACCATATGAAAATACAAATTAATTCACTTTTTTATTTTTATTTTTCTCTCACAGACTTCATATATACCTGTCACACAAGATCTTAGGGAACTTGGTGGTCGTTGTTGGGCCATAGCAAGAGCTACTGCTTCCTCCACCTTTTGAAGGAAAAAGGAACTAGATTACATCAGAAGAACAGTTTTATGGAATTCTCATCCAACATGAATAGAGGAATGCAACTAGAAAGAGAAATTAATGATCGAGTTTCATATCAAAGTGATTTAGACTCTTTTCAAGAAGGTTGTTTTTTTAGGGCGGCAATGCAAATCAAATAGGCACTTCTGATCTGGGCATCAAAGTTGAATATTGTAGCTACTAAATACTGCACAAAGTTATATCACAAAAAATCACGTCTTTTATAATATAATAATAGGAAGCTAGGAATTATACTATATATATGCCTTCTATCCAATAACTTGCTGAAGTGCTAATGAAGCAAAAGATTAATGCAGGGAAATGATTCCGATCCTATGGAAAAAATTAGCATGGAAAGCAAACTAGGAAAGTGATTGATCACTAGGATTTGTAAAAAGAGAATTGGGAACACCATACCTTAAGTGATGTTTGTTCTTGAAGACCTTTCTCTACTAAAAACATGCTCTCAACATTTCCATCTGATAAAAGTTCAACACCTTGCTGAAGATTTTCCCCTTCCTCCATATCATTGTAACCTACTGTTTCAAAAGATTTACGAAAAGTATATCAACTTGTGATGTTTTTATTCAGCAACTAAGTGAACCAAAAGAAATGACATTGTTAATTACCTAATGAGTTTTCGTCTTTTGCTCTCTGTCCTGCTTCTAACACAACTTCATTTGGTGAAGGGGCAAAGGATGACCAATATTCATGCTTTATTTCAGCAATATCAGCATGAATACCTGCAAAATGCTGGACTTTATCTCATGGAAAAGTGAGAAACAAAAGAAACAAATTTACCTAGTACTTGTATGAGCCAGATATATCATTTAATTTAAACATAAACAAGGAACCATAGCTTGCACTGGTAAAAGATGGTATGCAGTTGACCTACTTAAAATTTGACAGACCATTTAAAGCACACCTTATTGGAAAAATAATAATAATAATAATAATAATAATAATAATAATAATAATAATAATAATAATAATAATAATAATAATAATAATAATAATAATAATGCTGACACCAGGAAGATTGATCCTGGATAAGAAATTTAAAATTGATGTTCTGTAGAAACACTTTCATCTGGGAACCTTCATCCTTGGTTATGGGTTGGACACCAATGAAATCTACTCATACAAGAAGCATATGATAATAAAATACTGATTTTGAATACAAAAGTATTATGTCTTCTCTTGTCCATAGTAGCATATATAAGAAAAGTAGATAGGCAGGTTTTCATATTACATAGAAGCAGATTAATGGAAAATGTAAAGCCTAACAAAAAGGAAATAACTTTTCACTTTTTTAACTGGAAAGTCTACTTTCTGTAGCATTAAGTCAATACATAAAATCTGCTGGCACATAAAAAGTATGACTGGCACATAAAGTTTCGTGAACCTTGAAAATCAAAATTAAAATAACTTCAACAATCTATTTACCATGTTCAACGCACAAGCCCCAGTATCGAGCAAGCCAGCATCTCTTAAGAACCACCTCTTCCTAAGATGTGAAACTGTGAATCTCATAAGTTTGTAAAAAATGAAGTTACCCATGAAAGCAATGACTGAATAACTAAATACCTTCTCCTCCGGGGTGAGTATCATTTTATGCGACAAGGCACAAAGTGACTTGATCTCACTTTCAGCCTCTTGGAGATTCTCCGTAGCAGAAGTTGCTTCATGCCTAGCAACCTGAATCAATATATAATATGATACTGTCAAGAAAACAGCCTATGCATATATTTAACAAGTGAGGAGGAAACAATAAACAATATTGAAATAGAAAAAACACAAGATGCAGTGGTTTTGAATACCTCGACCTCTGCCCGAAGGGTTTCAACCTCTTCACCTTTACCACCATAATTTTGTGCTGCAACTTTTAGCGCAGCCTGCCAGGTTACTGGTGTTCAAATTCATTGTTGTAATTCATTTCTACTAGAGTTCAAAAATAATTGGCAATGCCTAAATACAGTATAATGATTCTGGACATAGAAGAGTCCAAGTTTAGAAAAGACCAAAGAGATATCATCAGACATTTAACTAGACTAGTTTCCAGGCAAAGAAGAGTCCAAATTCAGAAAGAGAAAAGAGGGACAAAATAAAAAGTACAATAATAATAACAATAACAACAACAAAAATAATAAAGCAATGTTTAGCTAGACTAGTTTTCAGGATATATCCTTTTTAATGAGCAAAGCAGTATGAGAAACTGTGCAATTGTTCACCCTTGGATATTCTCAGAAAGTCTCAATTCATTTGGCAACTGACATATCAAGAAACATGAGAAAGTTTCATATTACAGGTTTGATGAAGAGACAAATGGAATATGGATGAAGTATCATGAGGTTACATCTTAGAACTCTGCATATTACATACCTCCCTTTGTTGTAGAGCCGCTTCTTTCCTGTGCAGTTGGAAAAAAGTAAAAGAACAGAAAAGCCCAATAAGAATAAAATGTTGTCAGCCAATATATCATTGAAGTTCTGAGTGTAAATTTTTTAAGTTGTAAACCCTGCCTGGCTAAGAGACGAGACTCCATAGATACACCTTCCCCAAGATTTGCAACCTAACAAAGGAACCACATCATAAAGACTCTAGCATAATTTAATGGAAAGAGAAAAAAGGGTAACACACTCACATTCACTAAAATGATAACAAAAGATGTTTGAATCGTCAGACAAAGTCACAAAACCCATTCCATTTAGAATATAGGAAATATTTTGTATTACTGAGATCATTTTGTTAACTAACATATAAGCAAGATGTAGCCAAAGATGAATATTAAATTAAAAGAACCAATTTCTTAGCACTCACACAATCATGATTGGAAGAAAATTTCTGGTCTAAATTCATGGCACGATAAACAATTATAAACTTAATCATTACAAAATGAAAATGTACTTGTATCATTACCTGCTTCTCAAGCAGCCTAGTCCTGGCTTCTGCTTCCTCATAACGCTCCTCTGCAAGTCGAATCTGAAAGCATGTCACAACATAATGCCATTGAATTCCGTGCAATCATACAACACAAAAGTTTCTATGCAGAAACATGACTGAAACCCAGTATCACAAGAAGTGAGAACAAACTAGAATTACCTTTTCGAGCAAACTTTCGTTTTCCTCTTGAAGCATGTCAACCTGAAATTGAGATCATATATTATATATACTCATTAGTAACATTTTCACTGAGGAATCAATAAATATATAATGCAAAACAGATGAAAGAAAAGAATTTTTTTCAAAAGGTTTCCAAGTGAATAAACATTTTATCTTGCACCATGTAAATGTAATGACTAAAGACTGGATACTAAATATATATATATAGCTTGCTAAAGAACAAACAGTTGGGCTGAGCAGAAGAATATCCTTCTCCAAATATATGCAGAATAACATAAACACAGTCATGCTGATTTTAAAAAATGATAATAATAAAAAATAAAAAAGAGACATTATTAATAATGATACAACATATATATGACAAGAATTACTTTGGAAACAGATGCAATACAATGTTCATACCTCATCTTGTAGAGCAGAAGATGGCTGGATGTTGGCTTCTTTATTCTTGAAAGTTCCAAGGTCTACTGATAACCTGTGTGGTGAAAAATTAAATAATGAATCAATATACAAGCTGAAGTTTTGAGAATGCGTGTGAAAGTCAAGCTCAAAGCACATGACCAACCAGAAAGTCAAACCAAAATTAGGTAAGACAGATTGGAGTAAAAGAGTAAGTACAAGAGGATTGCAAACACAGTTTGATGCTCATATAACATCTAGAAAACAAAATTGTTAAAATATTAATCTAAAGTAAATAAACAGAAATTTATTTTTAAATTAAAGCTTCAAGATACCTTCTATCCATGCGACTGTCAGATTGAAGCTCAGGAGTTGAAGTCCTAAGTGATATGGGTACGCTAGAGGGTAATATAGGAACAGCCTTGGGAGCTAATAAATTATTAGGACGAGTAGCTGAGGTAGAGCGAGCAGATGAAGGTTGTTCCATTGCAACTGGTTGAGATGAGCGAGCAGCTGTTGAGTTGGTTGAAGAAGGAGCATTAGAAAGTGGTTGCTCTGATGAGCTCAACTGAGAAGCTCGCATAGCTGAGATTGGCCGAACTACTGATGGAGATTGCTCTATTGAAGTTAATGATGATCGAGTAGCTGACACTGAGCGATTATCTGATGAAGATTGTTGTTCCAACGAGCCAACAGATGGAGAGGATCTCATCCTTGGCGCTGAGCGTGCAGGTGACGCATGGTTTTCCGTGGATGCACGAACTGACTACGAGAAAAACAGAATTCCCTGAGGGACTGAAATCTATAATATTAGCTAGCTAAGACACTGAAATGAGGAATAAAGGTCCAGATAACATATAAGAATACTACATATATAGCTTTGCAATTGCTCAATCCAAGATGCAGCAACAAATTAAAAATATATACATACTAGGAAAATGTACTATAATCCAGCAAATTAAATTTCCAAGGCAAACCTACTTATGATGAACAGATAGAACTAAAAGTTCAATATTAATTCAACGTAACTGATAACATAATGAAGCAATAATAAGAATTGAAAGACTATGAGTAACCATGAGATTCACAAAAGGCTCCGTCGCAAGTGGAAATCTGTACGTAGCGTGATGCAAAAACAAATATATTTAGCATTGCAGAAAAGCATGAAATTGGCGTTCCGATCCACGTCCTCCACCACGCACCATACAATTTAAAAAAAAAAAAAAAAAAATAGTTGTAATGCATTTAATTGCAACTAATTACTAGAATTGTTACCATCGGAGAACGACTTCTGACTGGCCTTTCACCGGGTCCACCGGCGAGTCCAACGCCACCGGAGGAATTGGCAGGAGGAGCGTAGTCATACAAAAGATCGTCCTCTTCCTCCTCCTCATCATCATTTGATTGATTTGACATAACCTGAGCAAGCCTCTGAGCGACAGCTTTTGTGTTATGTGGTCTCCTTGCATTTGAAATGCCGGCAGTGGCAGTGGCAGAGCCTGAACGTCTATGGTTGGTAGCAGAAAATGCGACTGGAGAAGGAGGAGCCCCAGCAGTTGACGAGCTCTTGTGGTGCCCATAAGCAGGCCTCGTCCGATCCATTGTCTCCAAATTCGATCACACTCACCTACTATGCTCAACAACAACTCCGGCATGATAGTAAGAGAATGAATTAGAATTAGCGCCATGGTGGTAGCAGAAAGCGACGGATACTGAGATTTGAACGGGTCCGTAAAGCGTAGAGGGAAGGACGGAGTCTCAACCGCAATCAGTTGGTTGCCCTCACTACTCACTTCAAATGTGTCTGTTGTGTGTGTTTTTTTTTTTTTTTTTTTGGAGCAAATTACACTTTTGGTCCTGTGACTATTAGGGGTGTGTTAATTTGGGTACGTGATTTTTAAAACTAACAATTTAGTCCTTTAACTATCATTTTTTAGCAGATTTGGTCCTCCTGGCCAAATTGCCGGTGGAATTTGGCCGGAAAGACATTCGAATTTTTAAATCAAATATTAGTGGGGGTAATTCGGTCTTTTTAATTGTAAAAAAAATAGCGTTTTATTTAAAAATTCGAACGTCTTTCCGGCCAAATTCCACCGGCAATTTGGCCTGGAGGACCAAATCTGCTAAAAAAATGATAGTTAAAGGACTAAATTGTTAGTTTTAAAAGTCACGTACTCAAATTAATACACCCCCAATAGTCATAGGACCAAAAGTGTAATTTGCTCTTTTTTTTGGGAGTAATACTATACTATATATATACCTTAATTTCCCTTCAAAAAAATCAAAAACAAAAAAAAATAATAATAATATATATAGAGAGAGGGATGCACTCAGTGTTTCTCATCTATTAGATCTGAACACGACAGAATTCATTCCTATTTCGCGCATGGGCAAAGCATTCGCATGTGAGTGCGATTATATATATATATATACCTTAATTTATTTTTCTTATAATTTTTTCTTTCAGACTTGATATCACTTGATTGATTTAAATTTTATTTTAATTAATAATTGGTCAGCATATTCATGGTCACCTAATGATTAGGATGTACATTGACCGTTCTCGTTAGACCATTTTTATTAAAAATTCAAACTTATAATATTGTGATTATTAGATCAACAGTTAAACCGTCCAAAAAAATTACTCCGGCTAAACTGGTTATCAAGTAAACATCTTGACAGCTCCAAAAAATAGTCCAATTACAGGTTCCTCGCTAGATACAAAAATCCAAAGGACAAGGTGGTCAAAACCTCAAAAGGCAAAAATAATCAAATCCTCAAGTCCTCACCTTCAAATACTGGGTGTGAATTGATTTGCCTACACCTAAAAGAAGAGAAAATGGTCAATTTTACCTAAAAAGTCAATTAAACCCCTAAAAATTTTAAAGTAATTATTAAATTCATCAACATTGAATTTTGGTGCAAGGTTAATGACTTGCGATTCCGGCAACCTCCGACAATACTCCGGAGCAATTTCTAAGAAAAAGTAAAAACGACCGGCGTAGTTATACAATCATGAATCCATAATCTTAATCAATCCAAATACAAATGTTGGTTGCCACAGAGATGAATGTTCATAATAATCGTCAATACCAGATCATTGCCTCTGTAGTAGACTCATGTCTACATTATTTATATTGATGAAAGAGAGGCAAGGCCAGAAGGCCTATTGCTTTGGTGCAGCAACCACACTGAAATCAACGTCCATCTGGAAATGTTCACAACACATTAAATACTTATAATACAATTGCCCATATATATGTTTGTATTGATGAGTAAACTTTAAGCAACAACCTACTCTTCAGTGTAATTAACATTAAACTCTAGGTTGTCAAGTGTAAACTGCACTCAACTATGTATAGGTAATAGGTCGTTTCCTAAAATTTACTCCACATAAAATTAACATCAGCTCATTCCTATTTTGTGTGCCACCCGACTACAAGTTAACTTTCACTTTTTCCCCTGGAGTGGGATCCCCGACATATACAAAATGGATAAAGAAAATGTCATTCCAGTAACAAGCTAAAGGAAGGGGCATCTATTAATACCTCAGGGATCATTCCTATCCATGAGCACCAAAATAGGAATTTCAATTATAGTCTAGCCGTCTAGGAACCACATGCGGAAATTAGTTGTTGTGAACATATATCTTACCACGGAAAAATCTAATCGCAGACTGGAGTGAGATCAATTTTGAATTGCTTCTTCCCTTTGCTGACCCTCTTCAATTTTTCCGAATATGTAAATTAACACAAAAGAATCGATTATTAAATTGGAAAAATCAAGCACAACAAAAGAAAACTTTGCTCTAAGACAATAAAATGCTTGCATATTAGCAGTTCATTCTGAATGGAACAATGGCTTACACCAATAGCAATGAGCTCTTCTAGCAGTTCTTCCAGATGGCGAAGAGGCTATTTTAAAAAAGAAACAGAAATTTTCATTAAGCTGGTAGGCATTGAAAGATTTTATAGTAACGAAGGTTCATGTTACAGCAGATACCAAAATAAAAGAAATTTCAGTATCAAGGGACACAAACAGTCGATGAATGTAAAACTTACCCACTGGGTAGGACCATCAACTGGAGCATTTAAAGGATCATTATGCACCTTGGGGCCAAATGGGAAGGAAAACTCTTAGTCAGTGTTGTATCAGCAATTATAACAATCACCCAATAACAAACGGAGGACTAAATTGAGCAAAAACACAAAAGCCTAGGACTACATTAGGTCATCAAAGTTGTTTAGGATGAACTTGAGAAAAACCACTATAGTCGAGGACCATTTTGGGTATTAACTCTTAAATAAAATTTGCTCAATTTCTCAGGGTGTTTCTTTAAATTTTAGACTCTCAATTCTCAAACAAGTAGCTTATAAAAGAAGCATACTCATACACATTATTCAACCAGAACCACTGATATACCTCCATAAAAAGTCCATCCACTCCAACAGCAACTGCTGTCCTGGCAATGCAAGGAATCAATTCACGAAGACCACCACTAGCAACACCTCCACCATCCAACTGTTTGACAAAGCAGAAATACTAGTCATTGATGAGAGAACAAACTCTGAATATTAGGCTAAGATCAACTTGAGAAATGAGAGTTTGGAATATATAGCACAAAACCATGAATAGTTATCTTCAAAGAAACAGCACCCCAATATTGTATCCAAAAGGTTATCAGGTTCTTTCTGGATTTTGGGTTTTCTTTTACAAAACCCAAAAAAAAGTGTTTTATAGTTTAAAGGAATAAGTGTGCTTCCTGGTCAAGGTCATACAGTCAATTCTTTGGTTAATAGCAATTACACAATTAAATTTTCAAATGCCCAAGTTTCTTACAGTTTAAAATTATTAATACAGACTTTAATGGTTTGTAAGTACTTGCTTTTACCAAACAGCATTAAACTATTTGATAAATATAAAACTGTACACACATATCAAATTCTCCAAATAATGCCAAATCTAACAATATTAAAACTACTCAACGCACCTTCTTCCCAGCAGGTTGTTGCAAAGAATGTGTTATATCAGCCACCTGAAGCACAGAAACATTTCCAGAGACATAAGTTTGATACATGCTATGAAACCAGGCACATATACTGAAATGAAGAATCACAAATAATTTCTTACAACTGGACAATTAGCTTCCCTCATCCACTCTAAGTTGCGGGGATCAACTATCAAGTCATCTGCATTATCATAAAAGATATCTCATATTTTTTAATCTGAAATGACAAAGTAACATTACTACTCATTAGCAGCTCTCTAGATAAATACAAATTGCAAGGCTATGCCTCAACCTTGATCACATTTTAGGTAATCTTAACCAACATCTCCTTCATGACAATTGGAAAAGGAAATAATAGACTCAAGAAGGAGAATGGCCACCTAAGTAATAAGCTATTAGTATCTAAATGTTAACTTCAAGGTTCTGGCTCTTGTTGCCATTGTTTGTCAGGTTACAATAAATTTCCATTCATAAAAATTGATTTGGAATATACTGAAAAAAATGAAATATAATTTGGAAAACAGACTTGTCTGTTCTTCCTTCAGGATAAATTTTATAAAGTTACAATCATATTGGATACCATAGCAGATTACACTTAAAATCTGTCTCACCTCTTTTCAACAACACATACTGAGATGATAGTATTTTGCCATTCATTCAGTTTTGCATCAGAACAAAACTTCAGGAATTTTGTAATTACATATCTTCAGTATCATTATTTTTATAGAAGCACCCCCCCCCCCCCCCCCCCCCCCCAAAAAAAAAAAAAAAAAAAAAAATTCAGAAGTTCATTTTACATCATTAGCAAGAAGTGAAGCTCACTTACTATAGCCAAACATGGTGCCTCTCTCACATACCATGACATTTTGATTTCCAGCCAATCTGACCTTTTCAGCAGAATTTAACATGACCTGGAAACATATTGTATTATCAGTATGAAAGGGTTACAAAAAACATCATCATCCAGTACTTGTTTAGTTTGAAGGAAACCCAAAATAGTTACAAGTACAGTACTTACAGATGGCGCACAAAACTGTCCTTTCTTGATATTGATTATTTTGCCAGTCTTGGCAGCTGCAACAAGGAGATCTGTCTGCATCGGGAAAGAAAAGGAAAAAAAAAAAAATCAACTAATTAACTGCAGCAGACAAATCTTGCAAAACACTTAAAGCAGAAATAAAGAGGTTTCATAATCAAAAGCAGACAATATTTTGTTGACATTCAAAGCCTAAATCTGACAGACTAACCTGCCGGCATAAGAAAGCAGGAATTTGAATTATATCAGCAACCTTCCCTACTGCTTCACACTGGATAAAAGCAAGAAATTGTTATAGTTCACGTCATAGGAAGCCAAGATCCATAATTCATCTTGCATATCCTGATTAGATAACTCACTATTATATCAAGGACAAGATGAAAACAATATATTGTTCACTTTAAGTAGACACCAGGGGCCCATGGAACCCACTAGTCAAAGGGGTTTGTTGAGTCAACACACTTTTTAATATTGAAAAGAAAAGCAACATGCAAACATTGGAAAACAACTTCTCAGTCCCATGTGTCATGGCAAGTTAAAGACATTTTTAAGTTACACTCAGAAGTGTACAATTTGAAATAGGAAAGAGAATGTCACCTGAATGCTTTCATGAACATCAGTAACTATAGGTACATCATAAGTTGTTTTAACCCTTTCAAGGATCTGCAACAAAAAATGGAAAGCAGAAACAGGTTAAGGGGTTTATAGTATTGCATGTGCTTGCTTGTAATCAGTCTTAATGAAAAATGCTCTTCTAGTAAGCCAATTTTAAATTCTGTATAGACTTTATCCAGGACATGAAATGTTTTTTGTAATATCATTGAAATGCTACTGGTGAAAAAAAAAAAAAAAAGAAAAAAAAAACATATTGCATTGTGTAAAGAAATATTCATCCATACCTTCAAGCCTTCAGCCAAGCCAGGACCACGGAATGATTTGGACGAAGTTCGGTTAGCTTTATCAAAGCTAGACTTAAATACAAACTTCAAACCAAGTCTATATAGTACATAAAGATTAAAAACCATATTTATCAAGTATCACTAAAAAAGATAAGAAATATAAGTATGCAGGAAACTATGAACACCATATCAAGCAGTAACACTAGCATCAAGTCCCTATAAGTTGAAGTGGGAAACTCACAAAAATTGGCTAGAATTTGAGGATGTGATATAGTTTAGAAAGCCTAAAACATCAACAAATTACAAATACATTAACATAAATCACACCATGAGCCCTGGTTCACCAAGCAAGGTGTATCGCAAGCATATAGTGATCGTGTTTTGCCTAAATGTTTGTCAAATTTGAACCAATGTCAAATTAGCAGCATGCTCATCATGTTTCAACCAAACGATCATGGTTCATAAGTACACCACCCACAAAGACAAAGAGAGAGAAGTGGAATTAGTACGTACTTGGAAGTTGTGGCCTTTAAGTGTTTGGCCATGTAAAGAATGTGATCCTCAGATTCAATCACATTGGGACCTGCTAGTAAGAAGAAGGGCTCTGCTGTCTGTGATTGATTAGAGCAAGAATTATTCCGATTATATATGTGAATTACAGGATATATGTAAAGAATAAAATAGTGTTGTTCAAACCTTGAGCTGGTTGAATAGAAGTGCTGAAGGATCCATAGTTATACCCTTATTTACTTCTGGATCCAAAGATCTAGAGGATGAAGAAGAAAGATAAGGAGAAGTAATTTACTACAGTATGTAAACTTAAGCAAAAAGTCCAAAGACTTGGCTAGAAATTTACTACAGCATGATTCTGTTTTCCAGAATCACAGTGAAAATCAACAAATTCTCTATAAATACTAAAATAATATACAATCTAATATTGATTTTCAGCTATGAGATTTCACAACCACCATCGACAGACAATCGTTATTCCATGGACCAGGTACATTTTTAAATTTTAATATACTACAGGTACATTATTTTGTATACTATCAAATAATATACACTTACGACACAAATCATATACTTTTAGTATATACAAAATTGTACATTTTTTTCATGGTCAGCCGGAGTCCACAGAAAAATTTGCCCATCAACAGAGAAGCCATTACTAATTATGATTATCCCAGTTCGGGCCCATTTTTAACGGGTTAGGATGCTAGAGGGCTGACAGGGTAAACGGGCCAACCCAGCCCGGCACATTATTTTTCAAAATAAATAAATAAAATTATTAAATTATAAACTCTTAACATTTTACCCATTTATAAAAATTTCCATACGTGCATAATTAAAGGCAGTAAGGCACATTTTCAAAGATGGAAATAGAAAATTGCTAATGCTAAGTTGAACAGGAATCACACATACTTTTAATATTACAAATTTAAATTTTATACAGAAATAAGAACTGACATACATTCAAAATTTGTTGACTAGTGATAAAATTTTAAAAGCTAAAACCATAATTTAGTGCTATTTCCTATACTTAAAAGCTAAAACCATAATTAATTAATAATAAGATAAGATTATAAAAATAAAATACCTGTGATGGAGTGAGGGACGATGGTTGCAGATTGGTCTAGGGTTGCACTATTGCAGCAGGCAATTCGCAATAGCAAGTTGGTCGATGGTTCGCAGCAGTGGGACGCTTGCCAGTCGTCGAGCCGAGCTGAGTAATCGGAGACGATGAGAGTAGAGAGAAACGCAGAGACTGAAGACTGAAGAGCCAGAGCCTGGAGGTGATGATAGAGCCGCCGGAGCGTTGGAGTCGCCTAGTCGGATTGTCGGAGCTCGGACAATGGAGACGACGAGAGAAATCAGATTTATAATGCAGATTTAGATGGCTGCTGCGTGGAGCACTGGAGTGTGTGCTCTACTGCTGCTTTTTTTTTTTTTCTTTTTAAAAAAAAAAAAAAATAGTAACCAGCATGGTACCCGGGTTGAACCCGAGTAACCCAATTCGAACTAATAAAAATTATAGGAATAAAGTCTAAATTGATCACTGAATGTAATTTGAAAATGCAATTAAGTCACTCAGTGGAGGCGTTATTGGTTCTTTGTGTTTCAGTAGGTTGAGAAAGTATATGAACAGATACTACAATGTAATAGAGCCAGTAGCTTTCAAAAAAAAAAAAAAATTAATCACTAAATAACAAGTTACCACCCATTTTATCATGTCTGTTTATGTGGATGATGAGTTATCATTTTTAATAAAAAAATTTGAAAAACATTTTTAATAATAAATTTTAAAAATAAAAATAACAATTAAAAAATTAATACTTTAAAAAAAAAAAAATGTCTGGCCACCCCCTTCTCTTTCGTCTCTGGTTGGAGACGAAGAGATCTCTCTTCGTCCTTGTCTATGTCTCCGACCGGAGAAGAATGAGGGGGGAATTGGGGAAGGGGTGGCCGACCACCCCGACGTTTTGTTTTTGTTTTTTTTTTTTTAAGTGCAACGGTTCTATAATAAGTGTAGTGCTCACCTCAATAAGTGCAATGAGTCCTTAATAATTGTTGTATACCTTAATAAATGCATTGGCTCTGCATTAAGTACAACGGTTCTACATGTTTTATAAAAAAATAAAAAATAATAATATCCTCCTCCCTCATTTTCATACGTTTGCCTTAGCTCTCAGCCCCTCTTTTTGTTGGGTAATATGGTTGAAAATTCCCAAAAATAATAATAATCCTACGGAAAGATTAATATTATATGGGAAAACAGAAAATTGGGAAGGAAAAAGAGGAGTGTTTGGGTAAAGTTTTAGCACGAGTTCAAACACGAAGTTCTTTTCCTTAAAACATTATTGTGCTAGGAGCGTTGTAGCCAGGGCCGGATTTTAGATTTTTGTGGCCCTGTTCTTGGTAAATAACTGAGGCCCTCCAAAATCATGATTTTTAAAACTAACATATACGAGTTTCGAACCTTTGACCCTCTAAGTTAAAAGACAATAAATACATATTTCAACCATCTCTTCATAAAACCTTTTAAGATTAATTGTAAACTTTTAATTTTTATTTCTAAACTAGCTAGGTAAATATTAAATATTGGGCCTCTAAAATTTGGGGCCCCTCTAAAATTGGGGGCCCTGTGCGGTAGCCCAGCTTGCACAGCCTAAAATCCGGCCCTGAGGTTTCCCAGGATAAAACGTGCTACGATTCCTTGTTGAAGGGATGTTGGAGTGATAGCCTTTTTTATGTCCTCTAGTTGGATTTTGATTTGCAAACCACCCCCCCCCCCCCCCCCCCCCCGCGAGAGAGCCTCTATGCTATACAATTCTACAAGCTTGAAAAGAGCTCATGTATATAAGGGGGGCAAATCTTGTTTCCAAACCAATGTGGGACAAAGTCCTACATTTTTCCTTCATTTCCCAACTTAAATGGGTCTACTTTGAGAATCAATATCTCATTCACCCATTATCCATTTTGAGCGTACAATATATCAATCTCTTCGTCTTACTACGAAGAATCCGAATCCACTTTGACCCGACCCAAATCGGACGTGGACCCCACTGATAATTGTACCACAAAATAGCCACTTAATATGTCATTTTAAGCTAATTTTTCCAACACTTTTCACCGTGAGCTTAGTCGGGCACCCAATTGCATGCATTTTTTCTCGCCATTGGGTTCTCTCTTGTCGTGATGATATCACCTTAACTTTATCTTGGGGTGGCGGTAAGGTGAACTAGATTTTGCATCCTTACCACCAAGTAGGTTGGTGTTGCTGCTACCTATTAAATAGCCTAGACACTTGTATGGAGGTTGGCCGTTGGGGCTAGAGCTCCAACCCCTTACTGCCCTCCATTGCGGTTGTTGTTGAGTTGGCCACAGAGATAAGTGAGTTTGTCGACTAACATCGTCATGAACATTACTAGAACCATGAGAGTTGTCAGATTGTGTTATTGTTATCAATCTGTTGAGAAATATGAATACATGTGGATAACTTGCTTGAGAGTTGATCGCATGCTCTCAATGAAGTAGTTACGTGTAAGTAAACGGACAAGTAGTATTGATATAACTCGCGTTAGGTTAAAGTTATATAAGATAACCAATGTTATATTTATTTGGTAATATATGATTCTCATATTTGGTTCAAGTTATGCAATTTTTATAGGGAATGTCACATAACTTCTACATTGAGTTTTAGCTATTGGAAGAGAATGTGAGATACCTTTCAATTTGTCTTATTTACGTACATTAGTTTTAAACCAAATACAGAGTCTGACATTGTTTAAGGTAATCTAACATTTCGTGAACCAAACGCATCCTTAGTACTCTGAATTAAATTCTTTGTGTATATATGAAGATTATGATTCTTTGAGTCGCAAACAGTTGGGCTTAGAATTAATCCGAAGAAGGTGAGAGCATTAAAAAAACAAGAATACATAGTGCTTAGCATTTTTCCCTAAATAAACTACGTATTTGTTGAGATATATTTTGGAATCCGCCGAATTAAGAGTTGAGTCACGGTTTCAGCCCGCCTCTTCTACCGGCTTTCGCCATCTCTTTCTCATCGCTGATAATGGCGGCTGCTTCTTCCATCTTCAGATCGCCCTTCCTTTCCCCTTACCCCCAACTCCACCATCAACATTCATTCAAGTCCCAGTCCCCCACCCATCACTTTACTCCCATCAAAGCCACTACCACTTCCGACGACCCAGCCCCCGCCGCGCTTCCTCAAACTCAAAAGACCAAAAACCACCGACGCAACGCCGACGAGAATATTCGCGACGAGGCGCGGCGCCTCACCTCCTCCCACAACTTCTCTGCCCGCTACGTCCCCTTCGGCGCCGACCCCAGCTCCGATGAGTGGTACTCCCTCGACGAGATCGTTTATCGCAGCCGCTCCGGTGGCCTCCTCGACGTCCAGCACGACATGGACGCTCTCAAGAAGTTCGACGGCCAGTACTGGCGCGCGCTCTTCGACTCCCGCGTCGGGAAGACCACGTGGCCTTACGGCTCCGGCGTCTGGTCCAAGAAGGAGTGGGTGTTGCCGGAGATCGCAAGCGATGATATCGTCAGCGCTTTTGAAGGGAACTCTAATCTCTTCTGGGCTGAGCGTTTCGGCAAACAGTTTATGGGCATGAATGACCTGTGGGTCAAACACTGCGGGATTAGCCACACGGGTAGCTTCAAAGATCTGGGGATGACTGTTTTGGTGAGCCAGGTGAACAGGCTCCGGAAAATGCACAAACCGGTGGTGGGCGTGGGCTGTGCTTCAACTGGGGACACATCCGCCGCTTTATCAGCTTATTGTGCTTCTGCCGGGATACCCTCCATTGTGTTTCTTCCTGCAAATAGGATATCCCTGGCGCAGTTAGTCCAGCCCATAGCTAATGGCGCTTTCGTATTGAGTATAGACACTGATTTCGATGGGTGTATGCAATTGATTCGCGAAGTCACTGCTGAATTGCCCATTTACTTGGCCAATTCGCTTAATAGCTTGAGGATAGAAGGTCAAAAGACTGCTGCAATTGAGATATTGCAGCAATTTGATTGGGAAGTTCCAGACTGGGTGATTGTGCCTGGTGGGAATTTGGGTAATATATATGCATTTTACAAAGGGTTTCACATGTGCAGAGAGTTAGGGCTGGTTGATAGGATTCCTAGGCTTGTTTGTGCTCAAGCTGCCAATGCCAATCCTCTTTACTTGCATTATAAATCTGGGTGGAAAGAATTCAAACCCGTGAAGGCGAATACCACTTTTGCATCTGCAATTCAGATTGGGGACCCGGTTTCTATTGACAGAGCGGTTTTCGCTTTGAAGAATTCGAATGGGATTGTTGAGGAGGCGACAGAGGAGGAGTTGATGGATGCGATGGCTCAAGCAGACTCAACGGGGATGTTTATATGCCCTCACACTGGTGTGGCATTGACTGCACTGATCAAGCTTAGGAATAGCGGGGTTATCAAGCCCACTGATAGGACTGTGGTGGTTAGTACAGCTCATGGGCTCAAGTTTACACAATCGAAGATTGATTATCATTCACATGAGATAAAGGACATGGCTTGTGGGTATGCAAATCCACCTGTGCAGGTCAAGGCAGATTTTGGTTCTGTCATGGATGTTCTCAAGAGGTATTTACTAAGCAAAAACTCCAAGAAATAGGTGTTTTGATTTAATGTACTGGTTTTTTGGTTGTTGTTTACTTGCCATATGTAGAACTGTACTACTCAAATCTATCCTTTTTGGGCTATTTAAGATTAATTGATTATTCTTCATTCCTAGGTTCACTTCATGAAATGAAATTGATTTGATTTGTTAGGGAAGTATAGCTTTGAATAAGAAATTATGTTTGAAATCATGAATCATATCTTCTATCATATTTTTAAAACCAATCATCAAAATATTATACCCATTGAGGGGAAAATGAATCTCATGCTGAATTGAGATAAGTTAAGCAAGGTCCCCCCAAGTTTATGTTTTTTGCTTAGCCAGTTGAAACACAAAAATTGTGTTTTTAAGTTTGTATATATTTGTCCGTTGTCTCTCTATTGAGACAAGTGATACAACAAATTCTTCTAAATCATTCTTAACATAGACTACCGAGCATCTCAACACACACTGCTCCAAAATGCATGTAGAGCATGGTATTGCTGATTTGCAGGGGTGGGTGGGTAACAGGAAATAAACAGGCAAGGAATTGTCAAAATCCACTAGGCTAATGATAACTTTTTTTTTTTTTTTTTTTGGGTTCATTTTGATGTTTTTGTAGTAATATATACAGCGAGCAGGGTTACAATATGGGTGATTCAACTAAATTATTAATAACAGAAGAAATAAATGAAACTGTGATAATAATTCAGTTCCATCTCTTGGAGTTCTTGAGTTTTTTGGACTTCTGTTTGGCTGCTTGAAAGGCCTGCTGTTTCTGCTTTTTCCGAGCCTCCCTCTCAGCCTGCATCATCATCATGTCAAATCAAGATTTTTGTGTGTTAATGGGGGGGCAGGGGGGTAGTATTGTAGTATGTATGTATAATGTATGTATGTATAACCTACATACCTTTGACATTTTGGCCTTGGCTTTAGCTTTGGGGGACTTCTCCTCCAGCTCTGCCTCTCTCTCTAATTCTTTTTCCCTAGCCTCCAGGTTTTTCTCTAAATAATACTGTCAATATTCAAATAAATGCACCATTACAGACAGACAAAAAATGTGTTATCCTCAACACAACATTTTACAAAGTGGACTATGATATGATAGATATTGCCTCACATATATCCAGACTAGACTAGACTAGACTAGAGACGAGAAATCCATTATAATTAACACTTACTAACAATAGTACTAGGCAAGAGAACTTACTTCATAATCCCCAGCATAGTCCTGTAAAGTACCATCTTTTACTTCCAACACTCTGTTAACAATTTGCTTGATGAAGTATCGATCATGCGACACAGTAATCACAGTGCCCTCATACTCTGTTATTGCCTCCTGCATATATATTATGCATTTGCAAAACAAGAATGATCATCATCTATCTATTACTCAATACATTTTTAGGGAAAGAGAATAAAACCCATATGATATATCCATCATGTTGATGATAATAATGGTAAAACAGAGAAACAAGGAAGAGGAATAGGAAAGCATACATACCTCAAGCATCTCTTTTGATGGTATATCTAAATGATTGGTTGGCTCATCTAGTACTAGTAAAGTTGAAGGTGTCACCATGAATTTGCAAAACGCAAGTCGTGCCTACCCAAAACAAAACAAATCATTATCTTAAAACCATCATATCATAATCTTGCTAACAATATGGGTAATAAGATGTTGGGCCAAAAAAAATAAAATTTATTTTGTTATACATACACATTACACATGCACATAGCATTAGATTTTTTTCATTGTATATACACAGAAACTGCAATAAAATTTGAATAGAATGCCACTGACAAAATACTTTTAAAACAATATGAAAAAGATAAGTAATTTAAATATGTACAAGTTAATAAACGTCAAAATCTGCAAGGAGGGAGGGCTTAAAACCAACATGTGCATGCCAGAATCACAAAAACATCTTTACCTTCTCGCCTCCACTCAAAAATGAAACCTTCCTATCAAGCATGTCAGCTTTAAAGTTACAACGTCCAAGAAGTCCTTTTATATCGTCTAGTCTCCAGTCCTCAGCAGCTTCAGCTACAGTTTCAATTACTGTCTTATCCAAATCAAGTGCTTCAGCCTAATCAACAATACCATCTTTCTCACCACTACGTTCAAATCATGTACCAAAATAAACCAACAACATCAACATGCCAAACTATACACTCACCTGGTTCTGTTCAAAGTAGTTTGGTAACACATTATGATCCCCCAGCAAAATTTCACCTCTGCTTGGCCTCTCTAAACCCATAATCAGCTTAAGTAAAGTACTCTTTCCACATCCATTTGGACCGATAATGGCAATTTTTTCTCCTCTTTCTATACTTAAGTTTGCATTCTTGAAAAGGACCTGAAATATAGTACATGCACACTCGTAATTATGCTAACTCAAGAAAGATATTATCACATTACAACATCATGTGATAAACAGGAAAAGTGGAACCGGGTGGCATCTAATTCAATATTAACAAATACGCCAGTAACCTTATCCTCATAGGCAAAGTCCAGATTTTTAATTGTCACAACTTCTCTTCCACTTCTTCCACGCTCAGGGAACCTTATCTTCATTTGTTTCCGAATAAAAGGCTTATCAACTTGTTCCTCTTCCTGAAGTTTTTCCAGCTTCTGTTTACCAAACAATATAATGTTAAAAAATCGATATTTACAAGAAATACATTGATCATCTTAGACTGAGAGTTCGGTAAATATCCATTAAAAATCAGGTTACTAATCATTCTTGAAAAAGTTAACTATCATGTGCGAAAGGTAGACAGATGGAAATACCTTTTCAGCAGTAGATGCACGACCTGAATTTGCCCCTGCACTCAACCTGCTTATCAAATCTTTTGTGTGTTCTATTTCCTTCTGTTGTTTTTCCCAGGCTGCAAACTGAGCTTCAACCCATGCTGCCCTTTCAATAATATAATTGGAATAGTTTCCTTCGTATGTCCGCGAAACACCCCTATCAGTTTCCACAATTTTTGTACACAACTGATCAAGGAATGCCCGGTCATGCGATATGATAACCATTGGAACATCTTGCTCACTAAGATAACCCTCAAGCCACTCAATTGTGTCAAGGTCAAGATGATTTGTGGGTTCATCCAAAAGTAATAAATCTGGGTCCTGTAAACAACTAATCATGTTATTGCAACAGGATATCTGATATCATCACTGTAAATGTTATATAAGCCAGCAATGAAACTAAAATAGCGACTCAGTTACAGGATAGTGATTTGGTATGCAATTCGAGAAATCAAAATAGAAATTACCTACCCCTTAAAAATATTAGGGGTCAAAATAGTTAAGTTGCCCAAATTCACCATATCAACCAAGATAAGTGATACATCTACAGCCATCATTAAGTAAATCTCTTCAATAGCTACTGGCCTACTGGGATATGGCCATATGGGAAGTATCATTTCTTCAAAGTAAATCATAGTAATGCATATATATACAGCACAAGATTAACTTTTCTAAGACCCAAACATTTACACATCTTTTACAAATGTAATATACATACACATTAAACCAAGATAAGTATCCACATAATTGTATATGAATAAAGAAAACAACATATGGGCAACTCCAACCAAGTTGGTCAGGCTGTGTGCATCGGTAACCACAAGGTTTTCAAGTTCGACTCCCAGTGGGAGTCGCCTTCTTGATTTGAGCCGATAAGCTATGGACAACAGGCAACCTAGACTGGTTTAACAGGTTTACCCATGCAGACTCGGGTAATCACAAGGTTTCAAGTTCGACTCCCAGAGGGAGAGGCCTATTAGCCTTCTTAATTTGAGCCAATCAGCTATGAGCAACGGGCAACCTAGGCTGGTTTAACATGGCTGCAGGTTGCCTAGTCACCCAAAAAGAAACAAGAAAACAGCATATACCTGTAGCAAAATCTTGCCAAGTGACATCCTCATCTGCCACCCACTACTGAAAGATGCTACGAGTCTATCAGCATCCTCAGGGGCGAATCCTAGCTCAGGCATCATCTTATTAATCTTCACATCTACTTCATCCAAGTCTACTGCCTGTGCCCTCCTCTGCAGCAAATCAAACTCATCCAAAAGCCTTCCCATCAGCTCCAAGTCATCCACGGATTTCTCTATTGCCTTCTGGACCTTCTCCAGGCGTGAGGCCACCTCCATTTCCTCCTTAAAGGCGCTCAAGAACTCTTCCTTTACCGTTCTCGAAGCCTCCACCTCGAATTCTTGGTTCAGGAGCGCAATTTTCATATTGGGTTTGGCCTTGATCACGTTTCCCGAATCGGGTTCTTCCAAACCCGCGATAATCCTCAACTGGGTCGTTTTCCCCGCCCCGTTTACACCCACCAGCCCGACTTTCTCGCCCTTCTTAACCTCCCAACTCACATCTTTCAACAGCGTAACCCCCTTGTAGCCTTTGCTGATGTTCTCCAGCTTAATCCCAGACGAAATGCCAGTGGACGATTGCTTGTTCCAGCGCCGGCCATCGGCTTCATCGCCGGCGGCGGTGCTCGAGAAGAGACTCTCTATGTCCTCTTTGGCCTCAGTCTCCACTGTTTCCACCGCAACAGCCCGCAGTTTGGATGAAACTCTGAAGCTTTTTCTTGCAGGGCAATTGAAGAAGGTAGCGGCGGTGAGTTTAAGCGCGGAAGTGGAAGAGATAGGGCGGAAGCGAGGGCAGAGCGGCGCCGCCTTGTGGGCGGAGCCGGTAAGGAAAGTGGAGCGGAGGTCCATTCTTAATCTTGAGAAGAAAAAAAAGAGTAAATTAAGGGTTCCGAGAGGCGCGAAGAGAGGAAAAAGAAACTCTTCACAGCGCCTCCATTAACGAGCACAAGGCAAGCGGGTTGAAGAAGAAAACAGTGTGTAATTGATTACCATATTGAAATTTGACATTTCTTCTATTAATATTTTTGTGGCTAAAATGAACTCCAACGGGGGATACCAGATAAACTGTTCTTGTGGTACGTATATGCTCTCAAGGAATAGGAAAATGATCCCCTCGTGTCATTTTGTGACACCAATAATCCAAGCTAGATACAAGACAAATGTCAAAATGTAGGGTGGGGTTCCAACTTCATGACAACAATCTGATAATGAGTTTCATCAATTTGATTTGGGGTTAGAATTGAGCTATTTATGCCTAAAAGGGTATAATTTAGTATAGTCGTATGGAGCGAAATTAGGCAAACTCAAGTTACTTCCTAATGGACCTTGAGCGGATCCATGTGATTAAAGAAATAAAGCTAGGAATACTGCCCCATAAAAATGAATATATATATATATATATATATATATATATATATATATATATATATATATATATATATATAAAGCACTTGTGGAATTGTTGAGGATTTGGTGCTATGCGATTTTGTGAAAGTCATATGGGAACAATCTAGTCTTCCAATTTTCAATATTGTGACAAATACTTTTCATGTTTGGTTTTCTGATCTCCTAAATATTCTAGACTCTAATGAAATATTATATGCAACAATAATCTTATACCATATTTGGAGAGCACGGAATGGAGCAGTGTGGGATGCCGCCTTGCTACGGCCGACGAGACTATTAGCGATGGCCACGGCGACCATGCAAGCATGGCGCAATGCACGGCCACTAGCCGCTCCCATGACGCAGCCACAACATCCGGAACCTACTGGGGGACCACCGCTGCCGCACAGCCTCATGCCCACCGTGCCCCCCATCACGGCGGCAATGTTACCCAGGACATGCCGCGTGGATGCCGGCTATCTTCACGACTCAGGTATGGCAACGGTAGGGGCGGTTCTACTCGATGCGAATGGAGGATATGTGGCAGCATTCAGTGTCCCTCTTCCAGTTTGTTTCTCACCACTCATGGCCGAGGCGTTTGCGAGCAAAGAAGCATTATCATGGCTCAAGGACCGGGGCGAAGCAGCAGTACATCTTTACACAGATTGCCTATCATTGCAACGATATCTCGTCTCGCCCCCATCTACAGTTCGTTCATATGTTGGTTATGCTATTGATAGCTGTAAGTCTATTGCAACTTCGTTTGATTTTGTTCTTTTAGTTTTATCCCTAGATCAGACAATTATTTAGCTCATGCGTTAGCATCCGCTGCATTCCAGCAGCCTACTATTATGTATTGGGATCTGTCCCCACCTGACATTATTGTAGTATATTTCTAATGAAAAGCACCATGAAAATTTCAATATATATATATATATATATATATATATATATATATATATATATATATATATATATATAAAAGCATTTGTGTAAAGAGTAATTTACTATTATAATATAAAAGCTATTTGCTTCTTTTTTAAAAAAAAAAAATATTTAATTAAAATTATTAAAATAAAATTAAAAAAATTAATTTTTAAGCTGGTAACCGCGACACAAGCAACTAATATATAAAAAGGTCACTTTCGATTTAATTGCTTAATTTTGTATATTGTTTAGTGACTTAATTGCATTTTTTTTTGAGTTCAATAATACAATTATAATTTCGTGTGTAATCAGTAGCCTATTTGACCTTTATTCCTAAAGAAATAAAAGAGAAAGTTTGAGAATGGACAAAACAAAGCACCACAATATTTCTCTAAACTCGTCCTCATTTTCCTCCAACTCTTCTCCCTTGCTTTTTTTCATCAAAAGTTGCACATCTCTTCTTCCTCTAGAGGCAAACAAATTTCGAACGCTCTTGTTTTTCGGCGAAAGTTGTTCAGGTGAGGAATTCTCAAAAAAGCAAAAAGTTTACTACCGAGACATCTTCCTTATTTTTCTCACACCTTCTCAAGAGGCAAACAACTCCCGAATTATTAATTTGTTTGCAGGCGACGGCGAAAAAATTTATAGCCAAAATTTGTTGGTCGAGACATCTCATTTTGTTTGAAGTTCACATACATACACGAGAGATGAGAGGAAATACGAAATATGTGGTTGTACAAAATACAAAGAAATACGAAAGTCTCTTTACCGTTTTCTACTCTACTTGTAGAACTAGGGCCTGGGTTGTGATTTGTGAATGTGTTAAGCAGCAGAAGAAACAATGCAAAAATACAAAATCAATCCAGCAACTTCAGTTAAGATATACATATACTACTAGTTTTCTTTTCCTTGTACCTGCCTTGGCTTGGCTTGGATGAGGGGTCCTTCTGCCACCCACTTGAATTGGTTGGTGGCGAAATGCAACTGCAAATGGTTGAACCACACAACAATAGTGCTCATCAAACATAAAACAATATAAAAAGCTTCTGCTCAGGTATCTCACATTCTCACCCTCCCAAGTAAACAGCTGAAAAAGTTGCTCTATATTCAAATTTGAAACCCAATATTCTACATATAAACAGGTAACATGATATTTCACATGCAAATGATGGGGGGAAAACCTGTATATTACACAAGAATGAGAAAATCAAGACTTTATCCTACTGTTATGTTAATAACAGCCACACCACACAGTTTCAATTCTCCTTGTTTCATCCAACCTGCATGCAACTCATCATTGCTAAAAGATACCATCACAAGCTAGGCACCAGTGTTGGGAAAACTCAAGTCTAGACCATTCTCCCCTTGGTGCTACAGGATGACTTTAGCCCAGGTTCAGCTGGCTGCCAACCCACTAGAGAAATTAATAGGCTTGCTTACTTATTTACCCTGATTTTGATTTACTTTTATAAAACAACCGTCTTGTTGAGAGAGGAATGGCAATCTCAAGAAAATTTTGGAATAATCCTTTGTCATAAATGTTAGTTTTGACCACCTTCACTTCTTCTAGACGAGACCTACAGCAGAAGGCCTTCCATTTGCTGACATCATGCTTTCTTTCATGGCTTACTTCATCTAAACTTGCTTTTAGAGCCACAGCACTTGCCTTTGCTTCATTCACCTTCTTCTGCCAGCTCAAGTAATCATGCCATTTGAAAGTCTGCATTTCATATGAGAACATTACAAACCATTTAGTTTACCGTTCACATAGTGGCATAGTGCAGTGAATGAATGGCAGTTTTCACCCATTATCATGTGTTCCATGTGCTTATGAAACTTGCTCAGTAAGAAAAGTTCAAGAATTCAAAGGCTACCTATATAATTTGGTTTCCTAGATTTCAGTAATGTATAATTTGGTTTGATAGGTTTAGTTACCCATTGGCTTTACTTCATAACACAAGTTAGATGTGATCAATACTCAGAAAGGGGACCAATTTAAAATATCTTTTAGCTTGTATAGTTTGCCTGTTACTATTTAAATGCAGCAATAATATTTTCAAGTTGCACTTTGTTATTTGAATTAACTTGATAATTGATATGACATCATCAGTAATTAGGGAGGTTTTAAATACCTGAAATATATTTGCCTATTGAACTCCAGTCACATTGCTTTTCTTCTTTACTTGTTATCCATTTATGACTTCTCTGGATGTTTCAGATTATTACTATCCATCTGTTCTCAGACTTGGACAATGGAGAGATGATAAAATGATGATCTAAACACTTACTATCACATCCCAGTGTGTAGACAGACAATTCAGCCTAGTTAGTCATATGACAAGTTTAGCAGGACAAATCAAACTAGACTTTTGCTAATTTGCTTCCATTTAAAGAGTTGTCTACCCATAATGTGAAACATAAATACATAATTTCCTACTTATCCAATTCTCTTGATTCACAGATGAACATTTCATTTTTAGTTTTTACAAGGTGAAAGATGTTGAAACTGCTTGACCTATCAAGGAAATAGCATTCTGTTCTTGGGATCAGCTGGTTTATTTATCATATTCCCTCTCAAAGATTGTTCAAAGCATTGTCCAGAGAGATGCAAATATATAGATTCTTCTCAACAATAATTATAATGAATATAGGAATTTAATAAAGATACCTCATTTGTGGTAGTATTTGTGAGACACAGCTTTGAGTGGTATGCAAGGAATCCAGCCATCAGCATAGATACTATAGCCAAAAACACCATAATAAGTATTTGTGTGTTGTATGAACCCAGCAGCCACTGTTACATGCCACAAAATCATTACTAGGAGCATTGTGAACATACAAATAAAGAAGATTATATATGAACACATCAGGAATCAAATGGAAACTCTAATATAAAAATATAGTAGAGCATTTTACAGGTTTCAAACAATTAATTACAGATAGCACCAACATCACACTTCTTTAAAGTTTGTAAAATAGTAGAGGATTCAACAAGAGTTTGCAAATTTTATACAATCAGATATAGAGATCATGACACATAAACAAAAGTACATATAGTTTACCTGTATAACATATGGAGCCAAACTACGGAATTTGTTCTCAATGCCATAATAAACTGCAATAACAATTACACCACAGATTTTCATTCTTTGCCTATAGCACTCAGCCAACAAGTATAACATGCTTGGAAGTAGTCCACTTTACCTGTAAGAATCTGTATAACCTGTAGTTCTTTCAACTGACCAGCTAGAACAAGAGCGATAGCAACAGTTCCATAGACACAAAGTAGGAAATGCCTGTAGAGAGATCCGCAATCAAACAACTGAGCATGTCCAAAAATACTCGGCTATGCTAAAGCCTTAATCCAAATATAGTGAAAATCACTTATGTGGATCCTATTTCTCCATTCGATTTTATAGATGAAATTGAAATTTCAAACTAGTGTTGGTGGCTCTTCTGCAATATTTACAATTTGTTAAAAAGAAACAAATATGCCCAGATATGGCAAAATATAAACGTTGAATATATACCCTTTTTTTTGTTAATGACAACCCACTTCAGATATCAAAGGTAAAAGGTTATAAACTATTTTAGGAAAAATAAAAAAGATATGACAAACCATTGGTTTTCTGTAATAATTCTTAAATGATGATTTAAGAAGATGGGTATATACTTAAGTGTTTACTACAAAATAAACTATTTCTTGTGTGCACACGGCTTTATAAGGCAAGGCCATTTCCCTCAAAGTTTCTTTAACTATGAGGGGAACTTTGTAATTTCATAGTGTCACAAAATATGGTGCCATTTTACACGGATTAATTTTAAACATAAGTTATTTTATTCCATTTATAACATGGCTTCTTGAAAGCAGACAAATTTTTTAAAAAATATCTTTTATATTGTCTTAAGCCCCCGAAAAATTGGCATTCAGTTTTAAAATGCCAATTACAGTTAAACCTTTTCCTTATATAAAGGAAAAATGCATGTGATGTGTGGCATGTCTTGAGAGGAAGATTGTTAGTAGTCAAAACATCTTTATCTGGGAAAAGGTGTTCAAGAGTATTGACTAGATGAATGCTAAGTCAAATAAATAGAAGAAAATAATTCTTAATATTAGCAGTGTGGTCAGGCAACGGATATTATTCACTCACCAGAAAAGAAAAGCTATGAAGTATCTGGTATTTTTCTCACCAATACAATTATTCTGTGTAATAGGAAATAAGACAAGGAATTAGAATAAATGATAAGATGAAAATCACTGCTGACAATGGTACAGTTTACAAACCATCCATCCACAATGATGATCAAACCGAGCAACACAGCGATCACATACACTGCAGTGCTTCGATCTTGCAGGTCTGAAATAGGGAATGGAATGAAGTCGAATTGGTTTCAGTTAGAAGCAAAAAATTATGAGTGCTAAATTGTATAATAACTGATTCTAAGAATAAGGTGAATGGTAAATCAAGTCAAAACCAATCGGGTAAATCTATCATAGGCTCAGAGCATGAAATATAGGTGAATTGTAAGGAAATCAACATGAATTCTAGGCGTATAATTCTTGTAATTTGCTTATGGTCATCAGTTACTAGTTACTTCTGTGTTCCTTCTTAATTAGTTTGTTTCCCCAGATAGCTCTCCAGGATTTTAAGACTAAAAAAACAAACAAAAAATTGTTACTTTCCTAAATTTATATCTTAGTTTCTAATTCATACTTCTTCTCTTTGCACTTGTTCACTTCATTGCTTATGAATAGATGCTTTTAATTCAGATGCTTGAAATCATTTTTGATAGGAAACCATGAATTATGAATAGAAGTGACACCAAGAATTCAACCCTAGTTCAAAAAGAGTTTACTTGTGTTATTTTTGGAAGTTTGAACTGAATCTCAAGATTTGATTATTGATTTGCAAAACTAAAACTGTTGATGGAAATAGAATCTTGATTTGACAACTATGCTTCTAAAACTGTGATGGGGGAAAAAAAAACTCACTTTAGGATCTTGCAAGTTGAACATTCTTTCTCGGAGAAAATAATATTGTCATAAGGGTAAGCAGAGAGATATTGAGATACATTCTCAGCATTCACAGTTCCAGGGTCAGAAAAGCTAGTCAATAGAAAGAGTAGAATACCCACAGCAACTGCCAACAAGCTTGTATACCTGCAAATGCACAGTCTCTATGGAAACTCAATCACATACACACAAAACACATACTTATATAACTTAAGTATGTATATATACCAAAATTGATGAATATATTTTGACAAGAGAGTAAGAAGTAAATATAACTGCTTCTAAGTACCTGTGCACTTCACCTATGTAATACCCAGGAATGTAGCGGAATGACGACTGAACAATAACATAATAAGTAACTCCAAGTATTGCTACATAAATAAGCTGCATTTGGGAGTTCAAAGATGCATCAAATAAGCTCTTCACACATTTGAAGTAAAAATTATAAAAAAGAAGGCAAACATTTATACAAGAGTTCACATTTCATTTCAACTGACAAAAATGGAAATTAAACTCAAAACTAGTTGAAAAGTTGAGTACAAACTAGATTTGATAAATATTGTAGTACATACATAGTGCAAGAAGGATTAAAGAATTCTCAAGTCACAAATACCAAATGTAATTTGACAACATATTTGCGGACCTGTAAAGTAGGGTTAGGACGATCACAGCAATAGTACTCGACGGAGAGGAGGGCGTCGGTGCCTTTGCGACCACAAACAGCAGCAACAAATCGCCTGAATCGAATTCCGGCATAGGCAACGGAGCAACAGCTCAGAGACAAGTTCGAATTAGGAATTAGGTAAATATACATATAGATATAGATAGAGAGAGAGAGAGTTACCGGAGATAATCGTAAGCACCAAAGGTGAGGAAGATGTGGATTCGTTGAATGAAAGTGCCGTCGAAGATAGGCCATTGACCGCAGAGGAAAGACACCACCACTAGTAGTGTGACAAGGCCGTGACATAGCAGAAGCCATTGTACCTCCATAACTATTATCTTCCTCTCTCCGTAATTTGATGCAAAAACAAAACCCCCTCTTCCCTATTCCCTATTCCCTATTCTCTATTCTCTGACTTTTCTTTCTCAGTCCCACCGCCACTCACTCTATTTCTCGCTTCACATTTCACACTACTGGTAGTCGCCCTTTTACATTTAACCACTTTTCTTTTTACTACACTAATAATAAATGTATTATCATTATTATTGTTATTATTAATATTTATTTAAACTAATTATAACAAAATCAAATGCTTTTATTTAATTATTTTGTTATTTTTAATAAAATAATTTGTGACACGTTATATAAGTCGTAGTATTTGTGTCATATTTTATTTATTAAATATTAGTTGGGACAATTTTAATCAAAATATTGATTATTTTTGTGAAAGTAATTTATTAGTTGGTAAGACTAGCTCTCAATAAAAATTGTTCTTATTGGTCTTTTTATTTGGTTAGATTGATGAGTACAATCAATTATAGATAACTTAAATTAATTTATTTTATTGTAAATTTTGTAACCTCTTATGATTGTTTGTCACTTAAGTTATAAAGTAAAATTTACTTAATATACACTCTTAAATAATAATTATAGATTTTTCCCCTCACTCAAAAATAAACCCTAGTTTAAATATGTTTAATTTTATAAAACATATTGGCATGTTTAGTAAAATAGTTAACTTATCAACAAATTTTGAGTTATTTGACCACTTGATTAAACAATCAATATGAGTATTTGATTAATTAGTTTTTTGTAACAACTTATTGCTCTAAAATGTTAAAATCTAACTGTTTAAAATAACTTTTTTTATTAGCTTTTAAGAAAACAAACATTTTGTATGTAATCTGTTAACAGCTAATTACCAAATACTTTTCTACAATAATTAATACTATTAACTACTCCGTAATTAATTAATCAAACTCATCAACTCAATCAATTAACAGTCACTTACCAAATTAATATTAGAGTAAATACCTAAAATGGTCCCTCGACTATAGCTAAATTCACAAATTAGTCCTCGACTTTCAATTTCAACCATTTAAGTCCTTAACTTTGTAATTTTGACACGATTTGGTCCTTCATCTATTTGACCACTTGTAGACTGTGATTTTTGAGGATATATGTGTAATTTCATGGTCCACCGTCGATTTTTTAAGGTTCCAGTTGCATTTACAGACCGCACTGTTACATTTAATCCACTATCGAAAGCAATCTACCAAATCCGGTCGTCTTTTTTCATCCTCCCTTTGGATTCAATTTAGTTGAGTTCGTACCAGAGTGAAGAAGACGACGTGTTTCCGAACAAGTGCAACATCATCCTGGAGGCCTCCACGTGCTCCGACGAGAGCTGAAGGTTCTTCTGGAGATCGTCAATCACGGTCAACAATCGGTCAAATAGATGGAGGACCAAATTATGTCAAAATTGCAAAATTAAGGACTTAATTGGTTAAAATTGAAAGTCGAGGACCATTTTGTGAATTTAGCTATAGTCGAGGGACCATTTTGGGTATTTACTCTTAATATTATGCTATTGAAGAAGAGAGTCAATTTTGTTTTCCTTAGTTATACAGGAAGAGGAACAATAACATATAGCATGGCAACGATTCAAGAAGCTACTCTACCAACTAGTAGAAAGTAGAAACATTTATCTTATTGCAGGAACCTAACAAAAGCTGAAACATCATAACTGCATAACACTTGAAAGTTAACTATTGTGTTTGAGGGATCCATCCATCCATCAAAACTCAAAAGTGAGGAGCTATTGGTTTTGGTTGTGACAAAATGGTAACAAACAAGTTGAACCTTGAACTAAATATATCCCCTAGATTAGATTAGATTCAATGGCCACGGGCAACATATGCTAGAGATATTGCAGCGAAAATGGTAGTAGCAGAGGAGATCATGGTCCATAAGCTCTTTCTTTTGTTTGCTTCTGTTACTGAATTCTTCAAGAACTCTACTTCCCGTTTCATCTCCTCAACTTTCTTCTCTCTAATTTTGATACCTTTCTTGATTGTCTCCAACTCCAACACATGAGGAGGGTTCATTTCCTGCCCTTCACTCAATTCTGCATCTTTTGAGCCAACCAAAGCTGCTGTGCTCTTCAACAAGTTCAGAACTTCCTCTGAGTTGGCATTTGCAAGTTCTAGTTCAGCCTGAATAGCCCCAATTCTCTTCCTTCCTTCAGCAAGTTCAGTCTGGAGATCAAGTATCTCCTTGTTGAAAGATTCACATTGGATTTCCAGCTCTTTCTTCTCTCCGGCCATGTTATTGTAATCAGCCTTTGTTTTTGTAAGCTCCAATGCAACTTCTTCAATGTGATTCTCCATTTCCCTAAGCTTCTCCTTCAGAATTAAACCATTCTGTTTTTCCTCATCCAAACCCTTTCGTGCATTGTCCCTCTCAAGAGCAGCACTCTCGAGTGCGCGTTTGTAGTTGCCAACTTCACCTTCCAATGTCATAATTTTCTCTTCTTGAACTTTGCAAGAATCCTCCAACCCAGAAATGGTATCCTTGAGTTCAGACATTTGATTCTGTAATTTAACAATTTCAGACTCTCCTCTAATGTTTGCCTCTTCCATCTCTTTCTTCTCTCCAGCCATGTTATTGTAATCAGCCTTTGTTTTTGTAAGCTCCAATGCAACTTCTTCAATGTGATTCTCCATTTCTCTAAGCTTCTCCTTCAGAATTAGACCATTCTGTTTTTCCTCATCCAAACCCTTCCGTGCAGCGTCCCTCTCAAGAACAGCACTCTCGAGTTCACGTTTGTAGTTGCCAACTTCACCTTCCAATGTCATAATTTTCTCTTCTTGAACCTTGGAAGAACCCTCCAACCCAGAAATGGTATCCTCGAGTTCAGACATTTGATTCTGTAATTTAACAATTTCAGACTTTCCTCTAATGTTTGCCTCTTCCATCTCCATTTTCTCAATGGCCATCCTCTCAACACACTGCTGCTTCTCATCTAGTTTCTCATTTGCTTCTACCAATTTGCTCCCAATCAAACCCTTCTCCTCAACCAAACTAGCAATCCTGCTCTCACTCTCATTCTTTGCTTCCACCAATTCGCTTATTTTACTCTCCATCTCCTTTCCCTTCTCCATACCTTCCACACACTTGTTCTCCAACTCAGCCACACTTCCTCGCAGCTTCTCCTCCACCTTATTCAAACTCGACACCTTCTCATTGAGTAAATTCACAACTTTTTCCAACTCAGATCTTTTCTTCATTTCAATGTTCCTCTCCTTGTCACTACCCTCTTTCTCCCTCACAATAACAGCAATCTTTCCATTCAATTCTTCAATCACCCTATTGGAATGATCCAAACTCCTTTCAATCATTTCCTTATCACTCATCACACTGTGGAACTTCTGTTCTTTCACTTCATTTTCCTTGGATAGAGCATTGTATTGAACCCTTAACTTCTCCACCTCATTGTTTACTTTTCCCTCTCTCTTCTCCATTTCAATGAGTTTCTTTCTCAATCCATTGGTTTCCGCGATTTGAACATCCAGTTTTGACGCCAATTCATCCCTCTCGCGATGAGCGTTGTTTGAAATGCTCCTCTCTTTAGAGATTTGAGCATTGAGGTCATTCAGTTTCTGCTTCAATGACTCAAACTCGCTCTCTCCCTCTCTCAGCACCTTCTGAATCTCACTCTTCTCTTTCACAACAAGAGCAATCTCTCTCTCTAAACCCTTCACTCTTTCCCCGACATCGTCTCTCTCCCTCCTCAGGCCATCCCTCTCCTCCACCATAGCTTTCATCTGATGGCCCATCTGAACCCAGAGAAAATCGGCGGACACCGTTCTCTCGAGCTCCAATCGCGCGGCCACATCACCCAGGTGAGTCAAATCGGCGCTCAAGGCCAATCTCTGGGATTCAGTCCGAGCCAGGTCCGATTGCAGAGAGCCCTTGGCCTTCTGGAGTGAGTCGACCAGTTGGCGCTTCTCCACCGTCTCCTTGAGAAGCATGGCGTTGAGATTCTTGAGGCTCTCCAGCTTCTCAGATGCGTCGTCCATGGCGGTGGTGTGGTGAGGCTCGACGGGCTCCTCGTCTTCGCGGTGGGCGACCTTCTTCTTAGCCATGGGGGTGGGCGGTTGGATTTTAGGTATAAGAAAATGAAAGGATAGAAGATTAAAGGTCTAGGGTTTGCTGGGGATTGTGTATGGCTGAGAGAGAGGGTGGGGTTATTATTTGAATTCAAATTTGGGAGGGCTCGAATATCGATGAATTTTAATCTGCTTCGCGTTGCGAAATGCGAACGCTATTATGCCACATTGACATCGCCGCCCACGTCATAATCCCACTCCAACCACTCACCCTTTCTCTTTATTTATTTGTTTTAGGTGAAACCGTATGATAAAATAAAATGAATATAGTACCTGCCTACCTTCGTCTCATTTTATATGTCTGATTCAGTTAATGAGACTTGACTAGAGCCATTTTTCATTCATAAAATTAAGTTTAGTATTAATATACAAAATTTATATATTTAGAAACTACATTAAAAACACTAGGATTATGTGGTCTAATGATACCTAGGTTGGACTTTCATTTGGAAGGTTGTGAGTTCGAGCCTTAGTGGAGGCGTTACATACTATAATGTCTTAGAACCAGTATTTTTCAAATAAAATGGGACAGAGGGAGTATTTATGTACTTTTTAAAAATGATAATCTAAAAACATAATAAGTATCAATCAAAATTATATCCCTCATTTATGTTCATGTTTTTAATGCTAATCATTTTGTATATTTTGCTTTTAGAGTTGTACTATATAATTTTTTGAATAAAAATACCTCAACTGTTATAACTTCCGTTATCTTTTTCATTATCGTTACCATGCACATGTATCTACCATATATTTTCTTATATTCTTTAATGGTAATAATATTTATAAACATTATATATTGAATTATTATAATAAATAAATTTGATTTTATATAATTTTAATTAGTATGAATTTGTTAGTTATTTTAAAAAATATAAATATTTGGCATATGTTTTTATGTATCATGCATAGAAAATACTAGTCATATTCATGAGTGAGAATAAAATAGCGTGAATTTAATATTTTGCCCAACTTTAAAAGGTTCTATTCACCTTGGTGTGATAAATAATAATAGTAATAAAAACCACAATGGTATCTCTTACATGTTACCAACACACCACGTACATGACATCCTAACTAAATAGATAATGTTTTTCCAAAAAAAAAAAAAAAAAAAAAAAAACACTAACAAACAAACTAACTAAATAGATAATGTTAGGCTATTTTATCAGATTATAAAAGTAATAGATTAAGAGTTTTTTGTGATAAGAAAAATTCATAACCATTATTTGAGTGTGTGACATTAATCGACAAAGTATTATAATGAATAAACCAGTCAAACTAGTTTAGATTGTTCATATTTAACCAATTAAATCCAAAAATACTAAAAAGCCACTTCTATTAGAAATTGAACTTGAAACTTTGTATCTCCAAGCATAATTTCTTTTTTTCTCCTTTCACGCAAGTGTCATTATACTTTTTTTTTTTTTTTTGGAATACACTACATGTATATATTTATACACACGTTTGATTAAAAATAAATAAAATTATCATTGCAAGGGGTTGAAACATTGTTTAATGGTAATTATGGTGATAGCAGTGACTCCAATTCTCCAAATCAAGCAACACATTCATTGGGATTTCTCTTTCCCTACATGTATACCACACAAGCACTTTTGTTGGCAATTTATATCATGGACCAGAATTCACATAACATTATTGATCCTGAATCGAAACGATGAAACACAAAATTTATACTTGTAAGGTACAAAATTTTATAACACAAGACACAAAACACATAAACGTGTTACATATCTACTTATTTTCAAGTCTGATTTAGATGCATAACTTGTGTTTATAAGAATAAAATTTCACAACCCAAGACACAAAAATTCATAAACATAATTACTATTTTTTTTCAAGTACATAATTAATACTTTCAAAATACATAATTTAATAACACAAGACGCAAAAACTCACAATATAAGATACATACACATGCACCAGGGTCCACAATGTATTGTGAATCCTGGTCCATAGTATAAGGATAGACTTTTTTTATATTTGGCATTCGGAGTAACTTAAGGCAAATTATGCTGTGGAACCGTGTCCACCTTGCAAGGTGGACACTGTTCCAAAACGGCGTCATTTTGGTAGAAAATGATGCTATGTCAATTTTTTTTAAAAAAATTTTTATTTCCTTTCACCATTAACGACATTTGTCTTCAAGAAGTCTATGTTCATAATTACTGAACTCTATGTCCATAATTACTGAACTTTATGTTCATAATTTTTGAACTCTATATTCACAATTACAGAACTCTATGTTCATAATTATAAAACTTTATGTTTATAATTTTTAAACTCTATATTCACAACTGTAGAACTCTATATTCACAGTTACGTAACAGTATATTCACAATTTTTTATGTCGTTGAGTTATTTTGACAATTTTTTTTTTAAAAAAAATTCTGATTGATCGAGGAAAACGGTGCCACAAACGGCACCGTTACTCTAAAATTGTCAAACAACGTCGTATTGGAACTGAATCCACCTTGCAAGGTGAACATGGTTCCACGGCATAACAATTGCTAGCTTAATTAATTGGTGAATCAATTTGTATATATGAGTGATGATGAAATATATGAAGCTGGCCGAACTGACTCATTAAGGCCCAACTCATCACCTAATATAAATCTCCATTATATTCTTCTCTCCCAAAACTCATTATGCAGCTTAGTGCATAATCACTTCAATCCATGTCAACAAATTTCTTCTTAACTTACACATCATTCATTAAATATCATATTTCTCATTGGCGAATAAGATTACCTTCTTAATACTTCTTCTTTATGATTAATTTGGTAATTTCTACATCCCTGGATGCATCTAATACTTATTCTATACAAGTCATGATGAATTTATAAGTTACATGGAACCATCAAATTGGCAAATTTTGAATACCATAGACTTCAAATGTAAAGAAGTAAAAACACAGCAAGTACGGGCAATCATTCTCCCTCACACTGGAATCCGCACCACAATTACCTTCTAATAATAATAATAATAATAAAAATAAAAAATAAAAAGTACACAGCATAGACATACCTGTGCACTCCAAGCTTTTGCATCATTAACTTTAATATACACAGACCTGTACAAGATAATTAGACAAGGATAAACCAGGCGTTCAGTGCTGGTAAAAAATAATGGAATACATGCATATCACATTTTCCCCTTTCTTCAAACCCCCATTAATCACGCATTGCACACACTTGAACTCTACCAAAGCTTATACAACGCCAAAACAATGAACAATAACTGTCATAGAGTTAGGATCATCAAGTCAAGTGCCAACCTGCAAGGAAACAACAAACTTACATGATTGTGCCGAGATTCAAAGTTTTCATTAACATTCCAAAATTTTATAACGGTTTGTTTTAAAGTATATTATTTTGTATCATACCCACCAAGTTCACACGCCTCCTTCAGAACAGTCAAATACACCTCCGAGCAAGTCATCTTCGGCTTTCTCTTTCTCACAGGCACAATTATTGCTGCTATCAATATCAGTAATCACTTCTGCTAATTTAAGAGATTTGTTATCAGTTGCAGCTTTAAAGTACCCCTCTTGAAAATACTGCCCAAAATCAATGCAGTCGCACATATCTTCATGACCTGGCCCTTCATCAATAATGTTCATACTTGTATCAGAACGATTAGAACTTGAGTTGGAACCTTCACTAGTGACAGCACTGCTTGAAGACTGAGAATCCCTAGCACACGTTCCTCCACTATCCGGGAAAGTTGGACTATTTACAGCATAACTTTCCTCAAGGGAAGACATAATATTTGTGGATAACTCGGGAGTAGAGGAAATCTGGTTTTGCATCATTGGGGTTAAAATAGAACCTGATACCCTCACTCCATCATCCTCATCCAACAGGTCATTTTGCAGATATGACATGGACTTTATATCCACTTTATCTACATCAGATGTTTGCTGAGAGCCTGGCAGTAGATCCAAATACATAGAGAGCTGTAAGGATTTTTTTAATTTTAATTTTTTTTTTTAAACAAACATTATGGCATTACAGATCAAAATCAAACCAAAAAATCTTACCGGTATGGGACTTTTGGAGTGAACAAGCTGAGACTACATTAGCATTAAAAGCAGCATCTTCTGACATCCCCATACCAATAGAAGAGGCATATTGTGTAGCAGAAATTCTATCATCAAAGGAACTCCTATACAATAGTACAAATTAACTCATTGTAATTCATGCAAATTATAGTATAAATACTTCCTCATTTATGAGGAGAGAGAAGGTGACTTTAACTTTCCAAAGCCAGTAAGGGGGGATCGTTACTATGTCTAGATACAAAGCAAACAACAAATCTTTAGTCAAAGATAGTGAGGAGGCAATATACTCAGTTACGTATTGACAATTCCGTGATGATTTTTTTTTTTTTTTGGCATACTAAAAAAAACTTACTATATATCTATTTAATTAGATTGAAATGTCACAATGCTTAGAAGGATTTCCATGATTTCCATCTACTACTATGAATAAAAATATGTGATGACCTTTTTGTAAATAGAATAAAGGTTATTTACAAAGGTGTTAGTAACTCTTTCTATTTAAGTTATAGTAAACATGGAGTGTGTTTGATCAGTATTGTACAAATTTTCTTAATTAGATGATCAATTGTATTATTATATCTATTGGTGTATCAATTTGGAATATAATATTTGAGTTGAATGCAATGCAATTGAGGCAACATATATAGATAGAATAAAATGAAGTTGAAAATGACCACATGGATACGATAGATAAGATCTGAACAAGCAACCGAAGCTTAAATGAAATGCTCGTGGACCGGTAAACCGTAGTCGCTTATGGGTGGCGCTGAGATTCGAACCCATGACCTTTGGTTCAGCTCTGATACTAAATTAAAGCATGTGCTCCATCTCAACTAAAAGCTTAAGCTGATAGTTGGATACACATTAATGGTTATATGCTCACAAGTATAAATAATACCAACATATTTAGTTAAAATGTATATAAGAAAACTACAAGATTATTCAAAAACAATTTAGGGTTTAATAAATTTATTTTGGAAAGATTTCTATATTTTAAGAGTTTCTTCCCAATTCATGTTACGTTATTATTAAACAAATTAATCGCAAAATTAACAAATTGGTATTCTAGTAGAATTAATAAAAGTTTTAAATTATTATTTAAATGGTCAAAGTTCGCTTCTTATTAATAGCATTTTAAAATATATATATATGTGTGTGTGTGTGTGACATGGCAAAATGTGCGGTGTGGTGATGACAACTCAGATAAGGCATGTCAAAGCGTTGACATGAAAAAAAGTACCCTAGTTTGGAAAATAAGTTTAAAACTACCATATTTTGGTAAATAAGATTTGAAAGTACCCTAGTTTGGGAAAAAAAACTCATTTAATAATTATTATGCCCACTAAGCAAATGGCTGCGTATTTTTGGAAAAACATGTTAGTGGAGCAATATCATGTTGACTTAGTCATCCAATAACTTCAAGCATGCAAAGCTAGTCCACCAAGAGCAGAAACACAGTATTGTAAAAGAGTTTACTTCATATATTAACCAAAAACAGACCTAGAGAATGAGTAATACCTTTCATCATTCCAATTTGTGCAAATCCTATGAAAATGGTTAAACACAGGCAGCAAATCATTGCGTCTTGTTTCCACCTCATTGACAGGAAACCTCTCAATTTCAATCTCTTCACAGCCATAACTTTGACTAAGATACTGCTCTTCAAACCCTTTGGGGAGACTCATAGTATAGAAGTATATCTAAACCAAATATTAATACATAGTCAACACAAAAATAAACACAGGGAAGGACAACTTAAAGAAGGTAAGCAGTACCTTTGACTTCTGCCAAAGAGGTACCCTCCCAGACCTCAACTGCACCTCTGCATTGGAAAGGTACCAGTGAGAATGATCATGTAGCTTGACAAACTCCTTGCCTTCCATATAAGCATCTTCACTAGCAGAAGTACCCATTACTGCATCAACAGCTGCTCGGGTACTAAGCTTAATCCCCTGAACATGCTCCTCTCTTTCAGGCCAATATGCTCTTCGGCAAACATCCCACCATTGAACATGCTCAACCTTCACACCCAGTTCATCCTCATGCATTTGCATTGAGGAACCTGTCCAAGTTCTAAAAGAAGAATCACCCTGATCTCCACCAAGGGAAGTCCTCAGTGCATATTGAATTAGATGACCACTACGAGTGAAGGCTAATAGATGCTCTAAAGCATTACAACTTAGTGAAGCAGGGTGCACATCATGGCTTATGCAGTTATGAAAAACAGCAGCAACAATACCAGAAGGCACTGGAGCCTTTCCTGCTGTAGATGTGGCATTGCTCACAGTATTCATCCAAGCAGATGAATTTTTTATCCTGCTAATAACAGACAGTGTAATAGCTGCAGGTGGAGTAGAAGACTGATGGGTTGTCAAGAAAGATGAAGTAAACCACCATGGCAGAGATAGAATAGGTACTAGACTTGGACCATCAACTGGAGAATTTTGTAATTGCAGTCCAGTCTCACCACCAAAAGGGGATAGAACAAATATATGGCATGTGCCCCTGGATGAAATAATAGCTACCCACTGACTATAGGAACTAAAACAGATGTCTTGTATCACCTGTACACATCACATTAAGTAAAATTTAGAACATATTACATTTTGACATTTCATATTCATACACACACACACACACAGACATATATATAAGAATAAATGTACACACAGCTGGAGTCACGCCTCGATGGAGCTTGTACAAGTGGACATAAGAACAACTCCAATTGTTGCCCTGTGTGCCCGATCCAATTTGAGAGCAAGGTATTATCCGGAATACATTTATATTGTTCCCACATGTGGAGGCAGTAACAAGAAGAGTGCCACTAGGGTCAAAACATAGAGCAGATATGGGGCTTGTATGGGCCCTAAATTGTGAAATAACAGCTTGGGATACAAAATCCTTAATCATAACCTGCAATAGACGAATTGAAAGAAAAAGCCTTTTAGGTCAGTAATTTTGGCTACCTTCAAAGCTTTAAACAATTTCTTGCTTATTTAAGAAAGCATTTCACTGATTAGATTATCAGAAAAGTCAAACCTCACTGTCAGTTCCACGTTTTCCATAACACTTTCTTGAGAAACTACTATCTGAGACTGAAACTATAGTCTCAAGAAAATGGAAATGAGCATATTAGCTCACATTGAAACAGCAGCACTCTTTTCACTACTTGAGAACAAACAAAATTCAACTAAATGAGCAGCATAATGATATGGTACTGGGACAAGAAAAATAAAGCTTTTTCCCAATATTATAGGAATTAAAAAAATTATAATTTATCAATAAATCAAATATTGATTAGAAAAGTTTCTTTTTGGCTCAAGCTTTTAATAAAACTAACCACCCCAGCAGCATCTATGTCAGTCAAATGAATGGCACCACCCCTTCCACCTTTCCAGCTAGTACTTGATGACACAGGTGAACTAGAACCATCAGGAAGAATCTCATGACAATACTTTGACAAAGTCTTGTAGCCCATGTCTCCAAGATTGATCAATCCAGCAGCTAGCTGTTTACTCGACTCCATGGCATATCTAGCAACCATATTTCCATTACCAGGAGATGTAGAGGGGCTAACACCTGGAGAAGGACTAAGACTTTGTGGGCTTAATCGTCCTGTGTTTGATAGTATTGGATTATTTGAAGCATAGGCTAACCATCTTGGACCTACAGCCATGGGACCATATCCAATATTAACCCCAGTGAACCCCTGGCCACCCAACTGAGGCATGGGATATGTTAGTACACTGAACTTAGTCTCTAGTGTAACAGCATCAAAGCAATAGATCTGCCAGAAAAATGTAGGCCATTAAGAACTACTTTAATTGATCAGCATACAAAACAAAATACTGAACTTCAATATAGTGCATGCATACCCTGTAGAATAAAATATAACAACTCAGAAGGCTAGCATGCACGTTAACACAGAAGAATACTCTATGGTATACAAAAACCCTACAAGTCGTGAGTGAAAAATAAAGATGCTTACTTGTGCTACAAGTCCAACAGCCAGTATTTGTGGACTGGACCTAATCATATATACAGTAGACCGGAATCGCAGACTGTGAACATAATTATGGGAGCGCAGAGAATAAAAGCGAACAGTAGAAGGTGGGTTAAGAATGTTTCCTGTCTGAGGCTCAATAAAGCCATCTCTCCAGCGTTCTGCTGGAATGGAATCAATTGCTTCATCACATGCCACAACCAAGAGCATGGGATGTGAGTTTCTAAATCCTTCAGGACCATCGGACATTGCAGGTATGGGCTGCATCTGTAGAAATGTTACTGGATCATCCCTCCTTGAAACCAGTTCACAAACATTAGATGCATCTTCAACATCTAGAACTTGAAAACCATTAGAATAACCGACAAGCAGGACTCGCCTGAAGGATGAAGGACCTAATTCTAGTTTGTCAAAGCAAGCCCAGAGAACCTGTTTTGGCCAAAAAATCCCAAATGAAACAAGTTAAAATCATTAAAAAGATCACCTATAAGACTTCAGCAGAAATAACAAAAGTATAAGGAGTAACATAATGAAGCCAACAGAAATATAGTGAGTCTGGAAACGAAAGACCAAAAAAAAAAAAAAAAAAAAAAAAAAAAAAAGAAGGTAATCCAGAGAAAAGTAAAACATGTAATGACCCATCAGCAATATTGTAGACTAATACTACATTCAAAAATGCCCCATTTCAGCTATGTAAAGGAGAAAAAAGAAGAAAGTAGAAGAAAAAAGGCTCCAATCAAAGTAAACAGCATTTTATCAAATTAGTTAATTATGTAACCAGCATGTGGTTAAAACTATCAAAGGAACTCGCCAATTTATACATGTATTATAGCTGCCCTTCTCTAATAAACAATGCAGTACGTCATGGGGGAAGCTTTGTTTTCTATTTTCAGTTTCTATAAGTAGATTACGAGGGAAGCAATTGAAAAAAGCAGAGCATATTCAGTTCATAGCTACTAATACAAAAGTAGATGTGCAGGTTGGTTTTTGCATTTGCTGATTTGCACCTAACTTACAGATTGCATAACTTGTGCTGAAAAAAGAGATTTGAGATGGATACAGATCGCCTTGCTAAAAGTATACGTCTTCTGAATGTCTACACCAAAATTTCAAAAGTAAAGCAAAAATAATTTCTATTCAATGATACTTTATGTAAGAAGACTTATAAGACTTTCTAATTATGATTGTTGTTGAAACAGAAAATAGATACTATTTTAGAATAATTATAAACTAACTACGCATTCAACAAAAATTATTGCTACTACTATATGTTCCACTAGTTAAGTTTTTGGCTTTTAATGTCCCTTGCCCACCCCAAGATCAAAACCAACCTCCTGAAAAGAGATCCTTATTTTTAATCTGTTGCCATAGCTATGATCACTTCTCTTGAATCCAAAATAATGAAGTCCATTAAAAATGAAATGTATAAGTTCCTAAAATTTTTAGTTCTTTTCCCAACAATATCTCTTTAAGTACTCTTTCTTTATATAGAAAAACTCAAAAAGGAAGGGCAAAGAGGACAATAAAACAGCAGAGACAATTAGGTAACAACTGAAAACACTAAATAAATGCTAAATTATCATGTGGGAGGTATTGTGGTCTAATGGCACCAAGGTTGGACTCCCATGTGGGAGGTTGTAGGTTCGAGCCTTATTTGAGGTGGTATTGACTCTTTTGTGCTTCAGTAGGTTGAGAAAGAGTTAGTGAAGATTGAATACAAACTTTGAAAAACGCGCTTCATTTGGGAGAATCCAGAAAAGCTTCGTTTTTTTATTCCTAAGTTTCTAACCCTGTGACGCGATCCTAGATATCCTGGCCTATAACATTATAGTTGTCTGTCTTAATTATATTGGGCAAATACGACCACCTTTATTGACCACAGGTGTGACAATCCAAAAACAACACCCTCTTAATTTTATAGTGCATGAATACTCAACAAGTAAAACCACAAATTATCCGAACCAAGTAGATGGATAAAAATGGTCGAAAAGATCCTATATTGCAAACGTCACTAGCTCAAACTATCACAAAAATGGTCGACCACGTCATTTCCAACTTCCAGTGAGAAAACCACAATGAAAGTGGCAATCAATCATCCAAACAAAAGGCAAGCTCAAAATTACCCAGCAACTTATGAAAAAAAGTACTTCGATCATGGTGGTGAGAAAAATGGTAAAATCCTAAGAAGACCTGATCCTTGCGATGATCATCTGAATCGGAAGCAGCTGCGGAGATGGAGCTGGCTACGGAGGCTCCTGCGGAGCGCACATTAGATGAAACCGTCTTGACGCAAGAGGATATGAACTTGAGGGAATTCGGAAGAAATCCATTTGTCCCATTCTTAGCCTTGCGATTCGTGCTACTACTGTTACCGATGCTTTGGCTTTTCTTCATAATAATATTCACTACAGTGGGGTAAAACTCTCGAAAATCTCACCGGTCGTCGCCGGAGAAAATGAAGGAAAATTTAGGAACTAGTTGTCGTTCTGCAGCTTCTGCTGATGATGTCAGCAATGGCTCTTCATCGCAACCGCCGCCGCCGTCCTCTGCAGAGCGATGCTGCTGACGCGAATTGACGATCAGATGATAAAGCATTAAAATCAAACGGACAACGGGAACAAGAATGGCGCGTATAACGCCGGCGAGTATTTTTTGGCTGTGTGTTAATTTTGCTGTCTTTTGTCTTTGACCTTTAACACTGTGGTTTCTCTCCCTCTCTCATTGATCTCGGAGACTCTCCAGTGTAAGCGAATCAAGTTTTCCAGAAATATAAACTGACCTCTAATGTCATGTAAAATGATAATTTCAACCCCAAACAATTATAAACAAATCATACCGATATTTACACGTATCTAAATATTCTTAACATATTATAATCTTAATAATAAGAATTAGGGGGTCAAATAGGTACATATCTAATTTAATCTAAATAAATAAAAATATAATAAGTGTAAATGAAAGTTATACTCCTCACTTATTTTCGTTTTTTCGTTAAGTGTTTTTTTTTACATTATACTTTAAAGGTTGTACATTAAAATATTTTGGACAAACATACTACTACCATTATAACTTTCATTATCTTTTCTACTATTGTTACCATGCACATGCCTCCACCATATATTTTCTTATATTTTTCATTAATAATAATATATACACATTATATATTTGAGTTATATGTTACTTATTACCTAAAATATAAATATTAAATTTATAAACATGATTTACATTATTATTATTATTATTTAGAATATTTAAATATCTAAAATCTAAATAAATTTAAAATTTTAATATAATGTATTAATATTGGACACCTATTTTTTTCGCATCGCGCATAAAAAAATACTAATATTACTCATAAGTACTCAATCAACTCTTATATATAAATTTTATAAGAGCTAGTTTTATATATAAATTTTCAAAAAGTCTTAAACTTACTATTTTATCTAGGTTCCAACTTCCATATAGTTTGGATGACATGACATTCCATTTAGCTAAGCTGATAAGGCTGACAAATTTTTATTTTTTTTTTAACATGGTATCCAACAAAATAATATTTTGCTTCAATTCACCGAAAGGTGGAATTATAATATCACCTTCTGGTGGAGTTGCTTCAAACCACCGAAAAGTAAATTTCTCACTTTTTAGTGGTTCCAATTCTACCTTCATGTGGAACAATTCGAAGGTGGAATTCCTTCAATCCACCGAAAAAGAAGATTATATAATTTTCAGTGGTATGACATCACTCCAATTTCACTTGAGGTGATGAAAACCAAAACTTCCATTCCAAATGCACCATTCTCATTTTGTTATCTAGCAATGTTCTTGATGTAAATACTTTTATGTGGACCCACATGATGAAAATAACACATCTTTAGTTGACATCTCAGGGAGTAGAAGTAAGGGAATATGCATGGTAGAACTCTAATTGTATACTTGAAAGCACAAAGTTGTGCACTTGAAGACACGTAAATGTACACTCGAATGCCAAATTTGTATACTCAAAGGCACAAAGATGTACACTTAAAGTCAGTGGCGGATCCAGGAAATAATGTGGGTGGGGGCATACTTAACTCAATATCTCACTTAGTTTCTAAGAACAAATTGCATCTTCCACAATTTTGTCTGAAGAATTCACCGCAGCTTCAGAATTGTCAATGATAAAATATCAAACATCTATAATATGGTTCAAATACATTATAAATTATAATACAATATTTATGATAGACTATAAGATAGTTAAGGGCGAAGCCAAAACTATACTTGTGTAGGGTGAAATTTTAAAACACTTTAAAATGTTATAAAAATATTTATGACAAAATATAAAACATAATCGATTAGATAAAATAGTTTGAATAGAAAAGACATTATATTCATAAATACTTATTTTAATTTTCTTTGACCCCACTGTCCCCATTGTGGGTCCGCCACTGCTTAAATGGAAAACTATATTCTGAGACAAAACACATGCACTTGAAAAAGAGAAATTGTGCACTCGAAGAAAAAAACGTGCATTCAAATAAGGAAAAGACATAATATATGTAGTTGAAGAAGAAAAAGTATATACTCAAAGACAAAGACCATTTGAACTAACTTCGAGTTATTTACCATAATGTTACAACGTATTTTTTTTTTAATTATCTTTATTTGTTGTTTTTTTTTTTTTTTTTTGAATTTGATAAACAAATGTGATCAAACCTTATTTTTTACTTAAACAATGTTTTTGTATTTTATATTTGCCCCTTCCACTTTCTCTATATATATATATATATATATATATATATATATATATATATATATATATATATATATATATATATATATATATATATATTTTTTTTTTTTTTTTTTTTTTGAATCCGGTGCACACCCCCTAATTAGCCGAGTCTGTGAGCACACTCCCTAGTCGTTGATGGTGTTTTATTTAACGGTGAGATGGTGTGATGAAGAAACACACGTGCGCTGGACTTAGTGGTTCTCTTGTAATTTATCTTTGGCCTTTATTATGTCTAGTCATATCAATGGCGGTGATTTTGCGTGTGTGAGGAGATAAAATATGAGTATTGTTTCTTCTCTTCGCTGGCACTCGATCTTTTCAGATTCTTCGCTTAGGCTCTTCCTTTTCGCACCCCCTTCGTCTTCAGGTCTCCTCATCCCTCCGGTGTTCACGAAGCCCGCGTTTCCTTCATGTCTGGTTCCAGCAGGAGGCAGTCCAAGCGGCTTAGGGGCATCTCTTCTGCTTCCAATACCAGTATTATTTTCACCGATTCCTTGTTTTTTTGGTTCCATTTTTTGCGTTTTTTTTTTTTTTTTGGAGGGGGGGGGGGGGGGGGGGGAGGTTGGGTTTGCTTCTGTTCCGGCGGGTTTTGGGTTTTTCACTTGAATCTTCTTCTAATCTGCTAACATATTGTACTTCTGGTGGTGATATGATCTCCTTTCTACTTTTTCTATGCTAATTCATGCTTTGATCTCTTTGTTGAACTTTATATTACGCGCTCTGGTGTTAATTTTTGCAATTTCGCTTAATTTGGAATGAAATTAAGTTCGAGATCTGAGAACTATTTCAGTACTTTCCATTCGCTTGATGGTTTTTATGTTTGGAAACGATTGTTTTTCTTGTTTATTTTTAGTTTTATTCTATGTTAATGATCTTTTGCCGCTTGACTCTTCTTCCTTTCTTTCTCTTTCATGAGCTCTGTATTAGTTGTGATAGGGTTTCTATTAAACTAATGTAGTTTTATTCTAGGTATGTTTTTTTATTTTTTATTCTAGTATGAGTGTAGGTGTGGTGGTTGTTGCGTTCTAGTTTGTTACCTTGTGCATGTTAGGGTAAAGTGTTGCTGGTATTTGTTACTGCTGATTTTGTTATCGATTTTGCATTTATGTTGGTGCGCCACTGGTATTTGGTCGGTGCGTGTTTATTGTTTTTTTTTTTTAAAGAATTTTTTGGGGTTGGGTAGTTAGGTGTGGTGGTTTGTGCGCAGTAGTATGTTACCTTGTGCAAGTTAGGGTGAAATTTAGTTGCTAATTGACACTAGTTTTTTTTTTTTACATTTAGGTTGGTGCGCTACTGGTATTGGGTTGGTGCGTGTTCATTCATTTATTAACCCCATTCAAAGACACAGAGGGGGTGTTTATTTGCACTAACAAATTGCATGTAGTGGGGCCACAATGGTTAGAAGATTGTTTTGAGAAAAACCAGAAGTTGCCTAGGGTAGTTATAGTCTGAAGCCCAAAGAATTTTGAAGCATCTTCCATTAAAGAGAGGTAATTGTAGTTAAAATATTATCATTCATTTCTTTTTACTTCTTGATATTTGGCTTCTGTGATGAACCAGAATGCGAAAAATGGGTCATTGTTCCTACTTCCTATACCAAAATTTTCATTTTGCTTTTCAAGCTTGGTGATCATGTATGTGAAGAGTTAAATCATAGTGTTGCAGTCTTTAGGTTTATTTAAGCACCTTGCCTCATCTTTATTTATTTACCTATACATGATTTATAGTGTTATTTCCTATTACATTGCTTGAAATGTCAAATATAGGAGACTTTTTCTTTTTCAAATCATAGTTGTAGGCATCAATGGTTTTGCAGGCTTAGGAGAGTTTCAGTAGAATGTGTAGCTTTGAAATCCTTTGATCAAGTCGAGGGGGTAAATCTTTGGTTTACCGTTGTTCACCAATTCACTAATGTGTGTGTGCACTCCATATTTCTTTATTGCATGTTTCTTTAACTTAATCCATTTACTTACTCAAGTGAAGTATTATAATTTAAGGAGGTGGAGGTCTCAAATTCCTTAACTTCTCATTCACTTCATTGTATGCTAAGGATGAAATTGGGGAATCATTGAGATTAAGTTGCCGGCCAATATATGATTTTGTTGACATGGCGTGTGTGCATAGTCGTTGCACATATTTATTTATGCATGTTCGTAATGTAATCCTTCCACGTAATATATACATTTAACTCTAGCATCTATTTACTTTGTTTACTTGTTATCTTCCTTTAGTTTAATTTTTCTTTGGATTCTTTCAGCATAACGCACATATCTAACACCGAGAATGCACACACACGGTCATTACACTCTTTCGCTCAGTGAAATGCACAATCCGTAACCGCTTATGCACACACGGATATGTTCGGACAAATTAATAATAGCTAATGAATGTGGTTTAATAGGGGGGTTTACCTAACGCATAAAACACACTCTGCACCCGTTTACCTACAGCGAAACACACACTACTATGCTTATGCACACACCCCACGTCAGGCACGCAAACACCTACACAACATAAACCAAAATTAAAATACAATCAATATTTGCACACGACAAACGTCATAAACGCACACACCGGCGCACCATAAACCAAAATTAAAATTACTAATGAACTTAAAAGCGACGTGAACTCTTAGACTTTTCACACGCTCACATTCATAAGTGCAACCACCATCGCATAAAAAAAAAAAAACAAAAAAAAAAACAACATGATGCAAAGTTCCATTGCCAGAAATTTTCACATGTCATCCCACACAAATGCACAAACCATTGTAAACAAAAATTGGAATAAAATAACATGACGAAAAGTTCTGTTTTAAAAATTTGCACACATCATAGTACACAAATGCACACACCACCCTACAGTGGTGTGCCAAGAGTTATTAATTGTTACACTTGATTCATTAATGATTTCTCAGCCCTACAGTGGTGTGCACATGCCAAGATGAAGTAATACACCCATCCCCAAGCTTTGCACACACTGGAGTACATATTCGCACACCTCCGTAAGTTCATATCCGGTGTCCAAAAAAACTACACGTACTACTCTTACAATCTTCTTCTTTAAAACCAACCCATATACATGAATTCAGGCACATACATATAAACTATTTTTGTAAAATTACCAAAAAGAAAAACAAAAAAACTCATCCATACGATTTGCACACGCCATACTACATACACGCACACACCGTCGTACATAATCAACTAAAAATATCAGCTCTCAATACAAATTATTACTAGTTATTACCTTTAATATTCTACCTAATATTATGCTCAAGATTATAATTTAATACTAACCAAAAATAAACTCAATACTAGAATTACTTTTTAATCCTCTTGTTTTAAAAATGTTCATAATTAGTTTAAAAGAATCTTTCAATCTCAACCATCCATGAAAAATGAATCAATGGATATCATGAGATCTCATATATCATAGGGGTTGCACTGGATTCGAAGCCTCTCTCTCTCTATCTATATATATATATATATATATATATATATATATATATATATATATATATATATATATATATATATATATATATATAGAGAGAGAGAGAGAGAGAGAGAGAGATATGATCTCATGAGAATCCCTCCTCAAATCTCCATAAGTCCATGAAAATTAATTTCAGATTAATGAATGTAATTAATTGAAAATTAGAAACGTACTTGTGCGTGTATTATACATTATGTTGTGTGTCTAATATGTACATTTTTAATTATCTCAATTTATTCTTTTTAATGAATAAGATTAATATACTTGTAGAAAATTAGTTCTCATGTCTTATATTTTCTGTTTCTTATTTTTTATTTGAGTTAATACCCAAAATCGTCCTCGACTATAGTGGTTTTTCTCAATTTCGTCCTAAACGACTTTGGTGACCTAATATCGTCCCAGACTTTTGTGTTTTGCTCAATTTAGTCCCAGACTTTTGTGTTTTTGCTCAATTTAGTCCCTCATTTGTTATTCTGTCCATTTGGTGTTAAATAAATAGACAATTCCGTAATTTTAATGTTGGCATCTCTTTACTCATAGACATGTGAACTGCAAAATCTTTTTTTTTTTACGAATTACTCCCAGAATTACTCCTAAAACTGCGAATATAAAATTTGATTTGCAGGTCCGGGAGTAATTCTGGGTGTAATTCGTACAAGAAAGATGAATTTCGCACTTCACAAGTTGAAAGTAAAGAGAGATCAATATTGACATTACTGAATTGTCCCTTTATTTAACACCAATTTGACGGAATAACAAATGGAGGACTAAATTGAGCGAAACACAAAAGTCTGGGACGATATTAGGTCACCAAAGTCGTTTAGGACGAAATTGAGAAAAACCACTATAGTCGAGGACGATTTTGGGTATTAACTCTTTTTTATTTTTTGAAAACAAATTTTCTCTTTCTTGTATTTAAACAGGGTTGTGTTTATTTTTTTGGACATCTAACGCAAAATTCTACGCATTATCATTTTCAATACAAAGTCACTGGTTGCGGTCCATATTGGCCGGCGCTCCGTCAACGCGGTTGCTTACCTCGCTTCTCGCCGGCTTCTATTTCCTTCTTCCCAAAGCCTTCTATTTCCTTGCCAAGACAAGAGAAATTCATTTATGCTCCAGTAGATTATTGCTCCAAATTCCGATCCATCTGTGAAAATCTGAAATGTCGGTCAGTATATTTCTCCGCTCTGCTCATCTGCTCTGTACAACCAGTTATATTCATCTATTCACCTTCTGTTCGTTTTTTAAGTTACTGCGATTAGTGTTCTAATCTTTCATTCTGGTTCTTATGAGAATATACAGATTTCTGCTGGGTTCGTTGCATACGTGCATTTCTTAATTTATTGAGATTTCGATTAGCTTGTTCCTAATTATCATTTGATCTCTTTGGTATTGATTTGGAATGTTCTTCTGTATATTTAAATAGTTTAAAAAATCAGACTGGTGCAAGGATATATAATACTCCCTAAGAGTTTACATCAAGTCACAAGTTGTATCTTAACAAGCCTTTGCAGTCTCTGGTTGTGGTTAAACATATGCAATCTAACAATTAGTTTGAATGTAATGAATGCGAAGACCAGTACTAGTTCACGAACAAATTGAAAATCCACCTCCCAGTGTTTTGTTCATCTATGATAAATAGGATTTTGCATTAATCTAGTAGATTGCACTGAGATTATTATAGAAGTAATCAGTAGAAGGCAAATGAATCTGCTAATCCCCATAAGAGATGCAGGACCCAAACCACATTAAGATAATTCCCTCACAATTTATCTTCTTTGGCGTTACTTGCAATCTTACCCGAATGTATTTGTCTTGCATTCACAGAACGGTGAGCACACGAAAACCAAATGTGACGATTGTTAAATGATCTAATGACCTATAATCAATAGCAACCATGAAGATCAACATCTGGAAATAGATAATGCAATATGTGTTTGATGATTGACGATATTAATGTAAATATTGTGTATTCTTGGTATCACTTTGTATTTTAGTTGGAAAAGATGCAATGGTGTCTAATTGGCCAAAAAAAAAAAGTCTACTAACCATTGTGAATTTGTGATGCCTCCTCTTTTTGTAAGATATTGTCATGATGATAGTTAAGCTTGTGGTAGAATTTATTTTGAAGTGTAAAATATGCGCATCTGATTAGAATAGCATACATTTGTTTTTCATAAATGTTAGACATTTTGCAATATTTTTGGATATGGTGCCTGATTTTAAATACAGAACATAACCTGGTATCACTCTCTGAAATGGTTACTTGCATTTCCTATGCAGGTAAGAACTGTTAAAGTTAGTAATATCTCGCTTCGGGCATGTGAGCGAGACATCAAGGAGTTCTTTTCTTTCTCTGGTGATATTGAATATGTTGAAATGCGGAGGTTAGTCCTAGAATGGTTTTACTATATGCTCAAATCTAAATTGTCATTAACAACAAGTGCCCGCATGCGTATTAACACCGTTTGTCTTATTCTTTGGTAGTGATACTGAACAATCTCAAGTTGCATATGTTACCTTTAAGGATTCACAGGGAGCAGAAACAGCTGTTCTTCTTTCAGTTAATGCCTTTTTCTTTTACTATTCCAATTTCAGCATTGTCTATTGTGGCTTCCAATTGATTGCCTGACTTAACTTCTATAAATGGACAATGAACATTTCAATCAAGACTAAAGCTTGAAGAGACATGAATATTGTTTTTTTTTGTTTTTTTTTTTTTTTTTTGTTGTTGTTGTTGTTGTTGTTGTTGTTATTATTTACTTGCGTCTATGTACTATAAGTAACAAAATCTAAAATTGTTGTGATTGGTGATTTAGGAATTTTATAGCCTCTAATGATTCCAATTTATCATCTGTGCCTTTTTTTCTTTTTTTCTTTTGTTTTGTTTGTTTTTTTTGTTTTTGTCTTTTTTAATATATATATATATATATATATATATATATATATATATATATATATATATATATATATATATAATGACATATTTGACATCTCATTTACCAAAAAAGCATTGTCCTAGTTTCTGAAAATCATTGCCATTTGTAATCTTTCATTTGAATGCTTGAAGCATTATAAGCTTATTCAGTTCTGAAACTGAAATGCTGTTTACCAATCATATGCTCATCCTATTGAAACAGTTCATCAGTGTACTATGGACAGAGTTCATTTTGTGTTTCTTTCTGTTAAGAGTCCCACATTGAAAAAATAAGAGAAAATATATGGGTTTATAAGGTCATGGGTTAGACTAGCTAATTGGTTGGATTTGATCTTTTAGTGTAGCTTGGCCCATGTGCATTATAGCCCAATTGAGTACTTTATAACACTTTATAATCTCTCAACATGAGAAATTATTGGCTGGTCTGGTGGAGTTAGACCCACAAGAATTTCTCCTCAGAACATTGTCTCGACTTTCTTGCACAAAGCACTGAATTGTGTAATCCATGGAGTTTCAGTCCTGAGAGAGTATTATATATTACTCCTAAAAAGATTTTCTGGCAAAAATTCTTGTCTATTACTGCTTAGAAATGAGTCATTTGATGGTTAAATAGGTATGCAAACTCAACAGCCCTTTACTCCTTCACTTGTGGTAGGATTTTGTTAGGCATGAGATGCTCAGGAGTTTCTAGTATTATGAAGTCTTAACTGAGGGTGCCTTTTTTCTTCCAATAATGTTAATGGAAAATTTGATCATTTATTCAAATTAACCATGAAAAGTTTACCTTTTCTTTAATTAACAACAAATATTTTTGTGCCAAACTAATTTAAAAAAGAGATTTTATTTTTTTTTGAAAAAAAGAAAAAAGAAATTGATCTTTACATTTACATGGATCCTTAAATCGGATTCATATTTTCAGAGTTATCCTTTATGTTTGATCATTGTCTGGGTTTAAAAATGTTGAATGTGACATATTGTTCAAAGTTCAAACAGATAAGTGAATGTCTGAATTTATGTGTTTGACATCATACTAGGATGGTAAATACATTTTAAAATTTCAGCACGACGTAGTGTGGATTCAGGGCAACATTGGAAGCAGAGGGCAGTCTCCTTCTGGGATCTTTACTTTTCCTTTATTTTGCCTGGCTTCTTTTGAACAGCACAATGTTTTACTCCACAAAACAGTTCTTTGTTGTTTTAATGTATTGTATGTGTGCACAGTACTTTCAAAAGGTTGAAACACTGCTCCAAGCTTCCACAACTTGGCTTTTGCTTCATGTGGCATGCACTAGATGTTAATGTGTATATGATGATAGAAGGGTGCTGACTAGTCTCTTTGAATTTATTTAGGGGGCAACAATTGTAGATATGTCAGTCACTGTGACGTATGACCCAGATTACCAACTTCCTCCTTCTGCCTTCACGACACCTGAGGTAAAGGAATTACTTTATTGTACTCTCATCTGGGCATTTGGAAAAAGCTTTTCTTACTTGATAACTACTACATTTTTTTTAATTTTTTTTTTTGGATTTGTAGTCAGCTGGAAAGACAACTGCACCAGAATCTGCTCTCCGGAAAGCTGAGGATGTGGTTACCAGCATGCTTGCAAAGGGCTTTGTCCTAGGTAAAGATGCTGTAGGCAAAGCCAAGTCTTTTGATGAGAAGCACCAGCTGACATCCACAGCGAGTGCTAAAGTTGCCTCTTTTGACAAAAAAATTGGGCTAAGCGAGAAGTTTAGTGCTGGTACTTCGATTGTGAACAACAAAGTCAAGGAAGTGGATCAGAAACTCCATGTTTCTGACAAAGCAAAATCAGCATTTGGAGTTGCTGAGCAAACAGTGAGTAATGCTGGATCAGCCATTATGAAGAACCGGTATGTGCTCACAGGCACAACATGGGTGACAGGTGCTTTTAGTAAGGTAGCTAAAGCTGCTGGTGAGGTTGGGCAGAAGACAAAAGAGAAAGTGGGAAAAGCAGAGGATGAGAACCGTCAAAAGATAGTGAGTGATTTCGCGCAAGTTCACTTATCCGAATCTCCTACTAAAGCATCTGAGTTAAGTGACCATCAACCCTCCAAACCTTCAGCATCACCACAGGGTTTGATCCTTTGACTCTATTTCTCTGCTGCTGTCTGTTATAGTTTGTTGTTGTTGTTCAGAGTGCAAATTCACTATATTGAAATGAGTTGGTACATTAAAGAAGTATTTGTTTTCTGAAGATGGTTGTGTTTACAGGATTGTATTCATCTCAGTATGAAACTAGCAATCAACTCTTTTTATTTTTTCTTGTCATGGTTGCTCAAATTTTGACTTCATTTAAAAAGTGTTGAAATGTGTAAACATTTGGAATTTTTAGTTAGTTATGAGGCATGTGCATAGAAAGGTTTTTAGGGGGCGTTTGGTTCAGGTTATATAAGATAACCAATGTTATATTTGCTTGGTAATATTAGATTCTCATGTTTGGTTCAGGTTATGTAATTTTCCTAGGGAATGTGAGATAACCTCCGCGTTAAGTTTTTAGCTATTGGAAGAGAATGTGAGATACCCTTCAATTTCTTAGGTAATCTCACATTCTCTTGTCTTATTACTAATGTTGGGCTTTGGACATTTTAATCAATTTATCTTATTACCGTTGTCTTATTTACATATCTTAGTTTTAAACCAAACACAGGAGTCTAACACTCCCAGTAATCTAACATTTTCAGCAATCTTACATTCCCTAAGATGATCTAACATTCCCTAAGGTATCTAACATTCCGTGAACCAAACGCCCCCCCTAGGGTGAAGAGTGGAGAGAATAGTTGTTCTATTTGTGCAAAATCTGATCGGAATGATTCACTGCTGGCCAGCCTATTTAATCAACATGATAGGGACCTTATAAAGAGCATTCCTGTTGTGGAAATCACAAAGGAGGACAAAATTATCTGGACAGAGAATGAGAAAGGAGAATATACTGGCAAAAGTTGTTACAAAATTGGTATTCGGCAACCTGATAATCAGTTCTTCTGGACAAGAATGTGGAAGCTGCATCTACCACCAAAGATAAATCCTTCTTGTGGCAGGCTTGTTCTGGCTCTCTCCCTACTCAGGAAGTTCTTAGCCCCAGTTTGGAGTCAGTTCACCATATCTTGGTTACTTGTCAGTTAGCAAGACACTGTTGGGACTATTGGAAACACAACCTATCAAACAGCTGGCTCTTTCTTGGAAATTGGAATGGTTGGAACGGAATTTTAATGATCTTGAGGACTCTGATCTATGCAGACTTATTTCAACCTGTTGGAAAATTTGGGTAGCAAGAAATGAGAAAATATGGAACAACATGGTTATCCCTTCTGAAACAATTGTCAATGGTGCTCTCACCTATCTCTTTGAATGGCAGACTGTTAATACTACTTCACAACCCCAAGGTGGCAGCAGTGCTCATGAGGAAAAATGGATTAAACCACAAACAGGTTGGAAGAAATTGAATATTGATGCTGCCCTAGATATTACAAACAAGAAAAATGGATTCGGGTTGGTCTTGAGAGATGAATTTGGATTGTTTATTGCTGCAAAGATGATTCCAAGATTTGGTTTGTTCAAACCTGATGAAGCGGAAGCTATGGGAATGAAGGAAGCTAGCTCTCAAATGGCTTAAAAGATATCAATGTTGATGATGTGCAGATTGATACAGACTGCTTGAAGACTATCAGCAGTTTGGAGAACAGAGATTGCTTATCTTATTTTGATCTTATTATCAATGATATTACGGAATTAGCTAAAGGTTTTTTAAAACTTAGCTTTTCTTTTGCTAAACGGTCTGCGAACAAAGTCGCCCATCTACTAGCTATGGACGCTTTGTCTAAGTCTGACTGTGTGAACTATTTTGGAGTCCCTTTTTCTTATATTTTTCATGCTTTGGATGTAGACTTTTATTAATTTAATAATTAAGTTTTTTCTTTTCAAAAAAATTTGTGCTTTTGGGCCTAAATCCCACCCACAAAAAAGTATAAACATTCATTTTTAATGTATGGAAGGTCTATTTTAGGTATATTTAAAAATGAATTTTCAATACACTAAAATGAACTTTTTCAATAAAAATAAAAATGCATAATAATATTGAACCACAAATATGTACTTAGAGAGTGTTTGGTAGCCAAGAAAGTTTTATTTGAATTTAAAAGGTGAGAAAATTATTCTCAGACTTACAATGTGGTCAATGAGAATCTAATCCCAACTAGGGGATGTATGATTCTTATTCAATTACATATTTATTATTTTTGGCGTTAAATTACTTATAAATATATAAAAAAAATTGTCTCTTCACCATTACGAAGGACAATAACATTATTTATTGAAAGACAATTTGTATCTCTCAACATTTTATTATATACGTACTGTTTTGAATTTTGAATATTATTGTTGCATACTAGAATCTTTTGGCAAATGGTTCACTAATTTACAAGTAATTTATTAAACTCTCAATAATTCGTTATGTTTTTTCTTTTTCAAAAATTTAATATTCGTTTAGAGATTTACACAAAAAGAAAATCACAGGAAAGTTTAAATGAACCAAATATCTTAATTAATTTATGTTTCTAAAATAACACCATGATAATTGATTTTCCCTGCAAAATTATTCTTATCAAATACCTTTCTTGAAAATATTTTTTTTCCAAAAATTTAATTGATGGGAAAAATATTAAAAGCCCTCTTAAAAGTCTTTTTCTGATCGATTTGTGCTTTCATGTAGTACTATTTATGATGTCAACATAATACATTAATACACAGATTTAAAAATATCTACATTACATCATACAGATTCAGATAACGATTTGAATGCTATATATATGCATTGTTTTTCCCCACAAACCTACACCACACAATTCTAAGGCAAAAAATTGTGTCGACCATAGTCCACATAGTGCTTTCTGAATCATAATAAAAAGTACATTATTCGTGTAATAAATGTATATTATACAAAATAATATATATTTTCAGTACTCAAACAATGTATTTTTTCTGAATATAATGTAAATTTTTAATATATTAAAAGTACATTATTTGTGTACTGAATATACATTATTTGATACTATGATCCACATAGCTGTGTGGACCATAATAATTGTAAATGTAATCAATTTATTTTACACGCAAAAACTCATGTTAATACAATTAGCTAATTGTATAAATATGAAATAAGTCTCATTCAATAGTAAATCATATGGTTAACTTTTAACATCATATATTCATATTACCACCGAAATTGAAACAACATATAAAATAAGGTTCATATTTAAAATCTATATCCAAATAAAGATTTCAAACGCTAGCTCAATTTATTGATAAAATGGTGCAGGTGCTTTGAGTACGTTTATGGGTATTGATTAGCGATAAAAGTTATTAGTAATACATATTATAAGAAATTAATATAATGTTTTATTTTTAAGAACACCAAATTTGGTTACTTGAAAGGAAAAAGGGGTGATGGGGTTATACATCATGACTAGTTGACTACCATGGCATGGTTATTATACCACAAACCCAAGTTGAATTATTATACCATAGTAGTCAACTAGTCATGATGTATAACCCCATCACCCCTTTTTCCTTTCAAGTTGAGTTAGTATCTAACACACTTTATGATCGACTTGAGCTATCAGCTATATGTTATCATGTTATTCGTGTCGATAATGAGATTTCAATGTTATACTCCTTGTTAGAGGTGGCCAAAGTTTGGCAAAGGAGAAGGCATACCAATCGGTTGTCTCTTCCAAATGTGATCGGCGATCGTTCGACTGCTGGTCGTCAGTGATTGTGACTGAAAAATGATGGAAGGGTCGCCGAAACTTAGATAACCTGTAATTACATGTTACCAATCGATTTTTGACTTCAAAATAACATGTTTATGGATTCAATTGTAATTTTTAAAAGTTTAAAAGTCTAATTGACTTTTTGAATAAAGTGACTCCCTGATTGATGTTTTACACTTTCATACATTTTTGTTTACCTAATTTTATCAATCATTATTGCGTGGACCATATTTTTTATACTGTAAAATAATGTATATTCAGTACAAAAATAATATACATTATATATTATTTTTATACTGAGTGTATATTATATTGTATAATGTACATTCAGTACAAAAATAATGTATATTCAATATATTAAAAATGTACTTTTTATTATGGTTCATATAACATTGTGTGGACCATGGTCCATACAATAATTTGCCTGACTTTATACCGGAAGGCTTTTAATAAGTTATGGGAAATAGAGGGACATCTACTGCTAGTTTGGAAGAATCATTGTCTTTCTCTCTCTCTCCCTTTTCTTTTATTTTTAACCAAGAAAGATATAAGTATAAAACATGTAGAGTGAATACAAAATAAAATGGTATAAAATAGAAAATGAAAATTAAATTTTATTTATCGCAGAAAAAAAGACTTATTTACTGAAATATGTGGCGTATGGTATCAAAAGAAAAGTTGGAATGTCGTGTTAACTTCTGTTTGTTTAATTAATTAATTTCTGTTATGTTAGCCCCAAGAACAGTATAAAAAAAAGTCTCCCCCACTCAGACTCTAAGCAAGAATCAATCAATTTTCAAAAAAAAAAAAAAAAAAAAGCAAGAACCAATCAATTAACTTTTGTCATTCATTATTGTATTTTGTATTTGTATACTCTCTCCCTTTCTATCTATCTCTTCGTCAGAGTTTCTCTTTCCTCTGTAAAAGATTGCATCTTCACACAACAATATTGGAGCTATCTATTCAATCAGGTTCATCATGTTGCTTACTGCTCTACTTTCATTATCTCAATAATCTTGTTGGATACATGCAAGTGGGTTCTTCAAGTTGTTAACTTTGTGCTATTTCTGAGTAGATTGCTTATATTTGCTCAGTAACTTCTAACTCAACTGTCATGGGGTGTTAAAGAGGTAGAGGTTGTTACTGGCTTAGAGGCTCTGAGGCTGAGCTAAAGGGTTTGATTCAGACTCATGTTGTTCATTTTTATTTTATTTTTTCAAATACTGATCTTTGGCTTTCTGGAATTATTCTTTTCTCAGTATTTGAACTGTCAACGAATTCTTGGACACTTTCTTTTTTGGAGATTTAATTCCTGGCTTAAATGCTCTGAGCTCTTTAGTTTTGAGTTCTGCCTTTCTGGTTGAGTAAAAAAGTTTTGTTTCTTCCTTATAGATGAAGGTTGATAGTTGTACTTCAATATGGATCTGGCCTTCATTGTCACTGCTTGATGGCTAATTGAGGGTACACTTAAATGCAGAGCAGTTCCTTTAGCATACACTCAACCTCATGGTCAACTAGTTAACTTTTAGCCTTAATGGTTGCTATACTGTTCATTACAATACTTTTAACTGCTGAACATAGCTTGTTGGTTTTGGTCATTCATTCATTTCTCTAGTACTTTACTTGTCATGAGTAGCTGCAGAAAATTGATATCCTCTGAGAAATTTCTTGTTTTGTATCACTGTGGTGGAAATCCTAAAACTCAAGATAGAAAAACATACTCTGTATTTTTTGTCAGACCACGAGGTGTTCTGAGCAGGTCCTAACTGTAGGAGGCACCTTTAAGCCCGTACCATACTCAGACTAATCCCCGTTCGCACCGAGTCGACCCAATTAAGGGGGCCAGATTGGTTTTTCCATACGAGAGGGGTTCGAACTCCCGTAAGAGACGAGAGTGCACGGCCACTCACACTAACCAAGCTGGTTACATACTCTGTATTATTATGTAGCACCTATACAATACTTTAGATTTTGACAGGGAATGTTGTTTTTTCTATAATGGACATAACCATGTATCAGTTTATTAACTTCCGTACAATACTATAAATATGCACATTCATTATTCTAATATTTTCTTTCTGCTTCCATTTTCATTTTTTTGTGCCATCCCAACAGAGATGCAAGAAAGAGAGGGCGTGGAAGAAGGCTTGCTAGATGGAAACAATGGTGAAAGTGCAGCAGAGATAACATTTGTTGTTGTCCTATGTACCATTGTTGCTGCCAGTGGTTCTTTAGCTTATGGTTTCTCTGTAAGTATACTTACTTTGTGGAATGGATTGATGATGCCTGCATTCAAGAATGGGATATCAATATTATTTTCTTTACATACTTATATCGATATGCATATATACATATTTTTGCAATAACTATTGAATTAAAGATGACAGTTTATACCAAGCACCTTGTGCTCAGATGACACCTTTGTGGCTCTCCTTGAGAAAAGGTCATAGGATCGAACCCCGGTGGTGGGATATTGACTCTTTGGTCTGCAATAGTTAGAGAAAGTATAGAACAGATACTACCTTGTAATAGAGTCAATAGTACTCAAAAAAAAAAAAAAAAAGATGACAGTTTATCTGCACCCATATTGTTCCTGGCTTCAAAAGAGCATGCTAGGATTCACTAGACTAGCTTCATCTCTACTCAAAATTATCATTTTATTTTAACTTCTTCACCCTCCAGACAACAATGATTTCTTGGAAGAATAATGCCGTGTTAAATCGTTATTACTAACTATACATCTATACTATCTCTTGTGAAATATGATTATTTAACTACCATTGGGTGATTCTTTAACTAACCAATAGTTGCAAACTTTTTGCAGGTTGGATATTCATCTCCTGCTGAATTTGGCATCATGGATGACCTAAGCCTGTCTATTGCAGAAGTATGTAACCCTTAGGTTTCTATATTGCATATTTTGAATGGATATTTGGCGACCTCTTGAATTTCAAGAGATCACATATAACAAGAGTTTATATTCAATCATAAAGTGGTGTAATTATTTCAATCAATAAGCATGTGCACCAGTATGTAATTTGGAATATGAAAATTTTGACATTTCTACCATTTTGGTAGGTTCTGTTTTGATCCAACTATTCAATTTTTGGAGTTATACGTATTTAATACAATGCTTTTGAGAATATAATGTTCTTCTTTCTTTAAGGAAGACTCCTATTTTTCTCTTTCTTGATTTAGAACTATAATTGCCTTCTTCGTCCTTTTCTCCTCACTGATGTTGTCCTTCTTTGGCTTTATTGAATAGTACTCAGCTTTTGGTTCAATATTGACATTTGGAGGAATGATTGGGGCTCTAATAAGTGGCAGAATAGCAGAAACCATTGGTCGAAGACTTGTACGTTTTTGAAGTTCCCCCTTCTTATAGTTGTATGCTTTATGCTTGTTTGTTATTGCTGTCCCTCTTGCTGAGAATTAGCAATCTGATTTATGGTTGAAAACAGACAATGTGGTTCTTGGAAATATTCTTCATCGTTGGATGGGTTTTAATTATATTTGCAAAGGTATGGTGAAATTTCCCTTATTATGGTTTTACCAAGCACTCTTGAAATTCATTGTTATTTGAATTTTTTGTCTGAAGAATATTTGGTGGCTTAATATTGGAAGACTATTGATGGGAATTGGAGCTGGACTTCATTGTTATGTGGTAAAGATTGTTAGCCCGATGATACATGTGTTCGTTTTTATCTAGACGATGGTACATGATATGACACAATTGGTTTTACAAGCAGGCACCTATATACATTGCAGAAATTACACCGAAGAATAATCGAGGGGGATTTACAGCTGCTATTACGGTAAGTAAATGCCATTTCCCATTATATCAGTGAATGCATCCCTTTTTGAGTTCAAACTGCACTGACAATATAATTCTACTACAGTTTTCAGTATCCATTGGCTTTTCACTGATGTTCTTCTTTGGGAATTTCTTCGCCTGGCGAAACCTGGCTCTAGTTGGTAATAAATACACTTTGATGCTTTACATAACACTTCTTTTATTGTTTGAGTTGACAAACTTTGATGTCTTGAAATTTGTCCCCGCCCTTTTAGGAACTATACCTAGTTTCATACAGGTGCTAGGCACATTCTTCATACCAGAATCCCCAAGGTGGTTGGTGAGTTTGATTATTATAATTTGCACAACTTATTTACTACGTTAGAAAGGACATTGTGGGCAGGGCCGGTAAAGGGGCTATGTCTAGTACCCGGTGGCTGGGGGATTGTTGGGCGTAGGCCGGTAAATCCCCTAAGGGCCAAGTCCAGCGCCCAGCCTGTCTCGAACAATGTGATGGCGGTCTATAAGTTGCGCCTTCGCTACTAGCTATAGCTTTTGGCGTGAGTGGTAAGCGCTTGATCCTAACAGACATCGTACTCAACAGACAATGAAAGGATCTAAAACTGCTAGATCAATAGGCATCTTCAGTTCAAACTATTGGGCATTCATTGTCTTGATTATCATTAAGAAATCTACTAGTGAAGATCTCTTTTGGCTCTACCTAAGTTATCTGCCACTTTCAGCTGTTCATCTTGTTGTTTTAGGCAAAGACTGGTAGATGGAAAGAGGTAGAAGCGGCTCTACAAAGGCTAAGAGGGAAGAACTCTGATGTTTCTTCAGAAGCTGCGGAGATTAAAGTAATGGCTGGCTCGACTCTACTGATCAAGTCATAATATTTTTTTTTTTGTTGTGGATGTTGCTACACAAATTTACTTGGTTGTTTTTGGTCAGGAGCACATGGAAACCCTTCAGAAACTCCCGCAATCCAGATTTTTGGACTTGTTCAACCGGAGATATGCCCATTCACTTATTGTAAGCAGATGGAAGCTTACTAACTGGACTAACTCCTAAGCAAGGAATTTGACATTTGAACATCACATATTTGTAATTTTGTGTTGTTATTAGGTTGGAGTTGGGCTTATGGTTCTGGTACAATTTGGAGGTACAGATGCGATCTCTTCTTATACTAGCTCAATTTTTGAAGCAGCTGGTAAGTCTATCACTATCAGTATTAAATTATGCAGTTCATCACTTATACTGTGGCTTTTAGGGGAAAATCTTAAAGGTTTTTGACTATCACTACCAATCAAAAAGGTTTTTCGAGTGGCATTGCATCTACAGTGATGGCTGGCCTCCAGGTTTGTGATTCTGCCTTCCTTCCTTCCTTGTACGGTCACTCTAACAAAAAGAAAAAGAAAAAACAAAAATGTTGCAGCAGAAAGTGTGTTTTTGAAATGGCAGGCAGGCATGCATGCATAAATAAATAACTTTTGTTTCTTCAGCTTCCTGCTGCAGCTGTAAGTGTGGCATTGATGGACAAAATTGGTCGACGTCTAATTCTGATGGTAAGGATAGGAGGCGATAGAATAATGGAAGTAATAGATGGAGAAACCTCCAGCTTGGTTGGCGTGAGTGGCCGTGCACTCTCGTATGGAAAAACTAATCTGGCCAGCACTTTGCCCCTTAATTGGGCCGTGACCAAAAAGTAGTAGATGGAAATGGAGGGACGATATACAATACATACATACTACATTGCAATAATGTTTTTGTTTTTGCAGGTTACTGCCACGGGAACCTGCCTAGGATGTTTGATTGCAGGGTTGGGATTTGCTTTTAAGGTGTGTAATGAATGAATTATTAGATTAATGTGATTTGTAAGTGTTATTGAAAAATTTGAGAAAATTAATGATAAGTAGCAACTTAACAGGGGGGGTATGAAGAGCTGGAACAACTTTCGCCTGCATTAGTATTAACTGGCATACTGGTGAGTGTTTGTTTTTGTTTGAGTTAGTTAAGTTAAATAGTGGGCATGTATGAAGAAAGAAGCTAGTAGCTGTGATGGATGGATTTACTGATATACATTGATGAATTCATTCCCATCGCAGGTGTTTTCAGTGTGTTTTTCTGCTGGCATGGGTGGTACACCCTGGGTTATCATGTCAGAGGTAAGTAGTATTTGGATTTTGAATTTTGAATTTAGATTGGTTGTTGCAAAAACTAATATAATGGTGTGTTTAGTGGTTTATGGGTTAGACACAAGAAAGAAATGAGAATGAAAGTTATACACATTGTTACCTAATTAAAATCAACCATTCCATTAATTCAGCCTTATCACTCCTCACTGCATTGCCTACTCACCTCATCGCGATCAATTGCCTTGATTTTTGTTTTTGTATTTGTAAATTCTTTATTCTAATTATAGGGTCAATTAAACATCAATATTGGTAATCATTCTAATTCCACCTTACTACCAAACATGCAAAATACTTTCACCAAAACTCATTATAATTACCAAATATTTGATTCATCCGTTAAATTTGTTTGTTGCAGATATTTCCAGTAAACATCAAGGGAACAGGTGGAAGTCTTGTAACATTGAGCAACTGGTTTAGTTCATGGATTGTAACCTATGCCTTTAACTTCCTATTTCAGTGGAGCTCAGCAGGTACCTCTCTCTTTCTCTCTTTCCTATAGATCAGATGTATATATACAGAAAAAAGTACAGTGAGTGAGAAGTTAAGTTGGGGAAATGCAGGTGTGTTTTTTGTATTTGCTTGTGTGTCTGCAAGTATCGTCATATTTGTGGCGAAGTTGGTGCCAGAGACCAAGGGACGAACACTGGAACAAATTCAAGCTTCAATGACGTTGCTACAATAATCACCACCCATCATTGCATTCTTATATATATATGCTATATAGCTGCTTTTCTTGGAACAACACAACGTCCACATTCCAAACTATGCTACAATAATCACCAATCATTGCATTCTTACATATATGTATAATATAGTCTCTCTCATGCTAATATGCTATATTGCTGCTTAGATGGAATAACACAACATCCACATTCCAAACTAAAAAGAATTCAATCATGTTGTATATCTAGAGTTGCCAAATAGATTCATAAATCATGTTCCATGTTCATAATGGCATAAGCATTTAAGTTAAGTTGTACACATTTTTGGTTAAAAACCCATACAAGGAGGGAGAGATGTATATTTTATATGGGAGGGGAGGGAATTCAAAACAAATATTCAACTCAAAAATGAAATTGGGAAAACTGGCAAAGCTGATTTTGATTTTGCGAGTCTGTCAGCCAGCGGCAAGGCAAGGCAATCATGGAGCGATCCTTTGCGGATCTCGTGGGAAGAGTGATGTTTTACGGATGTTGTTAAGTGCGCAGAAAAGCATCACCACACGCTCCAATCCCACTCCAAATCCACCATGTGGAGGTGCACCGTACCTTTCACACAACAAACAAATAAATCATCAACTCTCTTACTCTTTTTTTTTTTTTTTTTAAATTTAAATAAACATTTTCAGTTCAAACCAACAATTTTGGTAAATAACCCTTGGTAAAAAGCTATACTAGTATATTATTTGTGTTACCTGAATGAATCAATATATGTTGATATTGTTTTAACATCAATTCCACATTCCTCTGCACGCTTAGTCAATAATTCAGGTACATGGACACGTTGAGCTCCTGAAATAATTTCTTCCCCTGAAAATAACACATCAAACAAATTTCAACACTTTTTTTAACATAAAAGAGCGTGCAAGTCCAGAGTTTTTTTTTTTTTTTTTACCTCGAATAAAGACATCAAAAGAATTACTGTAAGCAGAATTATCGTAACAAGGCATGGTATAGAATGGCCGAACAGCCAAGGGATAACGATGAAGTATATAGAATTCTGTTCCATACCTACACAAGGACAACAGTGCATAACAAATTCATCATATAATCATGACTTGAAATAAAACACACGCGTCAAAATAAAATTAAGGGGTGTCAGTACTTCTCCAAAACAAGCTGCCCCAGCTTTCTCTCTGATTCAGTATTTAGGTCTCCAAGTGGATCAACATCAATGCCAGCTTCCTGACAAATCAGATTTTCATCATTAAGTAGAATAATAAGGTTTAGTTCATAACATAATAACTCAGGATGTCCTTAAAACATTGGCAACTTGCCCTCAAAGAGAAGTGCAACCATGAAAGGAACCTACATGAGATATCCACATTTTATAAATCTTTTACTTCCTTTTACCAAAAGAAAGCAAAATTGGTTTGCAAAAAACAGAAATGTTCCCTATATCTTCAGCAGGTTATCCTTTCTCTGCATTTGAGCATATTGAAGTCTCACTCAACAAGTATTTAATCAGGAATTCTCACCTTAAGCATTTGAATCCCTTCTTCAAATGTAAGCCGCAAAGTCTTTCGCAAATACTGCAGTGTCATTCACTTCTATAATTAGTCCGCACAAAATAAAATATGAAAATTTCAGTAGCAGTCGAAGTTACTCAAGTATATGAGTCATTCTACAACTCCATGGTGCTAATATATTTAGTTCGCAACCCATATCAGCTCCTTATTTTTCAAGGATAGCCACAGATGTTGTGTAGGAAAAATTCATATACAGAAGACCATTAAGGTCAAAGGACTAATCAGATATTACCTTTAAAGGTTCAAAGGGATACTGCCTCCCAATCGCTTCAAGTTCCTTCTGGCAATTTTCATTCAAACTATCAAACATAGCTACAAATAGGCGGTCAACAACATCCATCACCTGCACAATGAGCTCAATGCATCAATTTTTTTCTATATATCTTGCAGATTTAGGAAGGCTAAGGTTTTAGCTGTTCATATAATAGTAATTACTTTGGTACTCTTTCATTAAAAACACTGATAGAAGTTAGACGATTGCAAATTATACCTCAGAGTAGTGTTCATTGATCTCCATTTCAACATCAAGCCCAGTAAACTCACATAGATGTCTGTGTGTAAAAGAATCTTCAGCTCTAAAAACAGGCCCAATTTCAAATACACGGTTAAAATCACCACAAATAGCCATTTGTTTGTGTAGCTGAGGTGACTGCGCCAAACAAGCAGGTTGACCCTTGTACTCCAATCTAAAAACAGCCGAACCGCCTTCACTAGAGCCTGCAATCAACTTTGGAGTGTGGATTTCGAAAAAACTTTCTGACAGCAAAAACTGCCTGAATGCCTGTATCATAACAGAAGAGTTTTACCATAAGTGAACTAGCAGCTGAGGTTGTAATCAATTTATATTTTTCATTTTTCACTAATAGGGATAATTTTACTGAGAAAATACTAACAGGATATCCTTGGACATTTCCAATCAGAATTTGTCCAATATAAATCAAGTTTGTTTTGTGTGTGAGCAGACAGAAAATCACACAGCACACAATAAGGGGTGGAACTCCAAAAACTGATAGATAAACTTGTACATTGGAGTTAATATGTGTGTGTGTAGGAATCAACGTAGTGGTACCAAAGTCTATCTTCCTGAAAAAAGTTTTTTTTTGCTGCAGAACTTTAATCTCAAGGCTCCTTGAGAAGTTAAAAAGGGTCACTATTCTAATGTTTGATGAAGAGTTACAGGTCACTATTGTGCAATAAGTTTAAATTAAGGCATCAAATAAGCTTGAACAACGAATTGATGAACAAATTTTGAAAGAACAGCATAAAATGATATGCAAGACAGAGAGATTAGGACAAACATTTGCAACTTGGGATTGAACACGAAATATGCCTTGGTTAGCAGCAGTACGGATATCAAGAACTCTGTGGTTCAAGCGAGTGTCCTGATTTACACGAACAAGCTGCTCTCCCTCCTGCACATGAAAACCATTGCATACATAAATGCATGAATAGCTGTGAAATAAATTCATCGAAGTAAATGTCGAAAGCTTATTCTAGAGGGAAGACATATCAAACAAACCTGTTAATGTAGTTTTGCAAATCAAATTTAGAGTAGCCTACACTTCATGGAAATAGGGATTCACCTGCAAGGCTTTTTCTATTTCAGCTTCACTTCTTGATGCATCTTCAATACTAATAGGAAGTGTTGGTGCAGCCTTGCTGACGCAATAAAGTTTCCGTATTTGGACTTCCACCTGCAGTTAAGGTAATCATAATAATCTTGAGAACTTCCACAAAGACAAATCATGCATCTTGAGAGGTTCAGGTTGCCACTAGAAAAATAAAAAATAAAAAATCAGAGTTTGCACTCTAGTGAGAAAATATGTGCTCTCAATTTGTACCTGCTGAGTAGCGCCCTTGATTTGAACATTGGGAACAGAGACTACTCCTTCGACATCAACAATGGACTCTTTGCTCAAGCTGGTGGCATATTTGACCATCTGCCCACTGACGAGATCAGGTGCGACAGTCAACACGCATTGCACGGTGAATCCGCGCTTTCTCACCACAATAAACGCTATCTTCTTCCCGACGGCCCGGATAGTCTGCGCCCTGCCGCGGATGAGGACCTCCTTGTCCTTCAGCTCGGCGGTCAGCGCGCCAATATCCGACCACTTGCGGCCGGAGACTGCCTTGGACTTGAGATCGTCGAGCGGAATGTCGCCGTAGTTAGCAGCAAGGGGGTCGGGGGAGTCATCGATGGAGACGGCGGATACCGCAGCCGACGCAGCGGCTGCCTCCTGGCGGCGGCGCTGGCGCTCCAGCTTCGCAGCCTCTTTCTTCGACAGTTTCTTGCCGACATCGCCTTCATTTGGAGGGTTTGAGGGCTCAGAAGCCATAGTCTGTAGGTAGGGTTTTAGAGAAGACGAGAAGAGAATTACTTCTGTGAACCGGTAACTGCGGTAAGGGAAAGGGGGAAGTCACACAACCTTATGACTCTGTTTTGGCAGCATATATTCTTATTCTTAAACCACGTACTAAATTTATACCGTGTGCTTGGTTAGTATTGGATTCAAATTTTGTACAATTTATATATGCTATATTCTAAATTTTTATCAATCAATTCTTAACTTTTTAAATCTAGACTAAGTTTTTTATTCTAATCTATTTGTTAAATTCTACTTGAATGGGTAGTATTACACATGTGCAACCTTTTTTTTTTCTTCATGTTAAATAATTCTTTTATAACTCAAGCTTCCGATTTTATAAGACTATATATCATATATTTCATGAACTTGTCCTCAAATTTATAAAAAAATAAATTGAACAAATTTAGTTTCGATATTTAACACTAAATTATCCATCGAAATTAATGACACTTATAATACCACTCAAAATAAATGGTGAAATTTTTAAATTTGTTATGGGTATAAAATTAATATTACCCCACACTTTGAAGTTTGTACAAAATATCAACATGTATCCTTTATCTCTCACACATATATTATTAATTATTAAAAACAAATCATTTTTGTTATAAATTATATTATTTATATTTATTTGGACATTAGTATAACAGTTGCCTGCTCTCATAAATATACATGCAATTTACATTGGTAAATTATGAATGTTTTCATATGCTGTTATATATAAATATTTTCTGTATGCATTCAGTTCGTATAAATACAGTATCATTTATATAAAATATATTATTCAAAATATACATTTCTTTTCGAAAAAAAGAAACGGTATGAATATATATATGATTTCGGAAAGGATTTTTTTTACATTCTCTGTATATGTATGTGAATAAATATATATACGATACCTTATGAAATTATTGTGTATGGAGCTGTTTTCCGGCCACGAGGGTAGGCTACCCGGCTCCACTTCCGGTGACGATGGACGACGGCGATACTCCTCCGGTCTCCGGCTTAGCTCGGTGTGATGAGTTGTATCTGTTTCTCTCTGCCTCTTTCGCACGTTGTTTCTCTCTTCCTCTTTCGCACGTTTTCTCTGTTTTATTAAGCTGCTAGAGTTGAGGAAACTAGGCTTAATCCATAACAAGGAATATGGCCTTGGGCCGGGTCTGGCCCAATTCGGCCAGCCCTGAGCTTATTAATACAAATGATTTGAGCTTATTGTTGTTGGGCTCATTTTGTGTTCATAAGTTATTGAACGAAGATGATGGATTATGTTGAGCCATGACAGGCCTAATTCGATTATTTTTTGGGCTTCTTTGGTTTGTTTTTTATTTATTTATAGGAAGGAAATATCCTATTAAATCTAGGGATGTCAACGGGGCGGGGTGGGGGCGGGGGACATACCCCCCATCCCCGTCCCCGACTTTCTTCCCATTTCCCGTCCCCATCCCCATCTCCGTCGGGGAATGAAAAATTCCTCCCATCCCCATCCCCACGGGAATTATTCGGGGACGGGGAATCCCCACCCCGTTAACAAGTTATAAAAAAAATAAAAATTAAACATTAAAAAACATTTAAATAAATAACGCATATATATTCATCCCCAACTCAAAGTTGTATTCAATATTTTACAATTAAACATTTTATTTAAAAATATGCATGACATACAATGACAAGAATACTTCTAAAATTATATATATTGTATACAAAGTACTACATTTGTGTGTGTTGTGTGACAATATATATATATATATATATATATATATATATATATATATATATATATATGGGGACGGGACGGGGGGACGGGACGGGGAGAGTACTCCCCATCCCCGCCCCCGTCCCCGGCGGGGAATTTAAAATTGCCCCCATCCCCATCCCCTATTTCTGTCCCCATCCCCGTCCCCGTAGGGGCGGGGAATCGGGTTCCCCGTCGGGTGCGGGTTCAATTGACATCCCTAATTAAATCAAATGAAATGTCTCCATTGAAGCTCGAACCTATTATTTCTCACATAAAAAAGCAACGTGATACCATTGGATTACAAAGTCTTTGATTGGTTTGTTTAAAGTATTAGGAATCGTTTTAAATTCTGGACTCATTTAATTTAAGATTTGGGCTTAATTTTCTTATGTTTTTTGTTAACCCAATTTCTTAAAAATCATCTTCCATCATTTGTTATTTGTGTCTATATTTATTTATTTAAGGTATTTGGACTAGCCTTAAATCTATGCATGCTCATACACTTAATTGCTATTATTTTTGTAATTTATTTGCTTTATATGAGTTCATATGCATATTATATTAGCATAATATATAATTTTATTATTATGCGAATGACAAATTATTCTTTAGAGGTGGACCCTCGTTTTTAGCCAGCCTTAGTATATATAGATTTTTTTTTTTGAAAAATCTCGATCTTGGCTGCTATAACCAAGTGTGAATTCACCGAGCTTGGTTTCAACGGGAGCAATTACTCAGATGTCCACGAGTGATGAGGCCAGTTGTTATATTATAGACCGCGGTGCATAATCGATTATGCACCGCAGCCCATATACGGCGCCGTTTCTTTAAGTAAAGAAACGGTCCGCCGTTAGAGTTAACGGAGTCCGTTCGTTTGGTGTATTAAACACCAACTGACACTACAGTATATCCAAACCGACACTGTAGTTATATCAAAATGATACTGTAGTTATAGTGAAATGAAACTGCAGTGTATATAAACTGAAACTGAATAACATTTCACATATTTGAGTGTATATTGTACAATGAAGCTGTAATTATATCAAAATGATCATGTAGTTGTGTTTTAATAAAACTATAGTGTATATAAAATAAAATTAAATAACATTTTCACATATTTGAGTCTATAAATATCGAATAAAACTATAGTTATATCGAAATGAAACTGTAGTTGTGTTCAACTGAAACTGCAGTGTATACAAAATGACACTGAATAACAGAGTTACTTTTTGCAAAAGGGTGCGAGACGGCGGAAATAAACACTGTTAATTTTCATTTAAAAAAAAAGACGCGCGGTGCATAATATAATTTGCCGATGAGGCTTTGAAAGCTAAAAGCCCTAATTTTTCCTTGCCACCATCTGAACCATGACCTGAAAAATGAATACCTTTCTGAAAAAAGGACCCCTATGCCTTGGAAATCCCTGAAGGATAGTTTTAACTAGTAAATATTCCTAGACATTCCTTAGACACAATTTGACTGACTTAACTTGAGATTTCAAAATTTTAAAGTCATTATAATTTGGCTTTACACAAAATTGTGTCCCAATTTAACTCTACACCAGTGTCCGAAGCACGCAATGTTGCTCAGTCATGCAACGCCAAGAGGGACCGGGGAAGAGGTTACGATAGGAATCAAGGCAAAGGTGGCAACAATAACTCCCGAAACCATAATACATAGCAAAATGATCCAACTCGTCGAGGATAACCATTTTCATACAATTAGAACTCTGGCCAGAAGCAAGTATGCTTCAAGTGTGGGTGTAAAAGGTAGGGATGCCAATGTGCCCTGCCCCCGACGGAAATCCCCGATCCCCGCCCCGAAGAAGATGGGGGTGAAGAAAATTTTCGAAAAACGAGGATGAGGATGGGGATACCCCGCCCTGCTCCGTCCCGTCCAGTCCCCGAATAATTATATATATATATATATATATATATATATATATATATATATATATATATATATATATATATGTTTATTTATTTATATACTTAGTATTTTAAAATTTGAAACTAGGAATTAGATTTCAATTTTTTTTTATTATTAAAAATTACAATTATTTAACATTTTGACTAGAAGTTAATGGGAAATGGGAAATTTCTGTCCCCACTTAATTTTCCGTGGGGACGGGGAGTATTTTCAATCCTCCGACGGGGACGAGGATGGGTACAGGGTTGCGGGGACGGGGACGGGGAGCCTGTTGAGTTTGGATTTAGAACAACCTAAATGTGGCATAGCACCCCGGTTGAGTTTAGTTTAGCTTCCGCATTTTGAGAAATTTCACATATTATTGTGAATAATTGTATTTAGAATTTGGGGGTGTTACATACGCACTCCTGAATTCTTAAATAGTTTGAGATTGTCGGGTCTTCATAATCATTCATTGATATGTGTATGTTATGTTATTGCGGAACATAGACCACTCTCTTGGTCTTTGTAACGGGACGCAGGTCATCATCACAAGATTGACAGATCACATTGTCGAAGTAATAATAGTTAATGAGACACATGAAGGAACCAAAGTTCTTATCCCCCGAATGTCTGTCACTCCTTCTGATACGAGATTGCCCTTCAAGTTCCAGCGTAAACAATTCTTATTGATGCTTGCATATGTCATGCCTATCAACAAAAGTCAAGATCAAACACTAACCCACGTTGGGTTATTGCTAAAAAAAACTGGTCTTTAATCACGGACAATTGTACGTGGCTTTCTCCCGAGTCACCCATCCTGATGGCCTGAAGGTGTTAGCTCTATACGAGGATGGACAAGATTGTGTTGCGGGGTCGTCTATAAAGAGGTTTTCAATAATGTGTAAATACAATCGATGATATTTTTTTTTTATCCAAAATAACAAAATTGCTATATATCTAGATAAAAATATATTATTTATACAAATGAATTAGGATAACAATTGATTACTATAACTAAGTTGATAGAGAACGAACACATTTGTCAATTTATAAAAATCCTAAACAATAATATATAAAATCTCTAAAGTTACCGCCTCGCATGCGTATCTACACATTAGTTATTTATTTGAATAATTATTTGCTCAAGTTCGAGCAATAATAACATCAACAAACATAAATTATCTAAACTATATATTGAATTACAGCATATAATATTTGATGTTATAATTTAAATAATTGTATATCGGTTCAAATATTTTTAATATATTATAACAAATATATTCAGTGCATCGCAGAAATGAAAATACTAATATTTATTTAAAAATATAAACATTGGTATTATCCCATAAGTTTGAACGTAATCTGTTACCATATTGGATAATATAATACGGCCCTCATCTTATTATATGCTTATGGTAAGAATTCAAAAAAATCATACTCCGCAGACCGTAGTATTTAACACGTTTTCCCTCCTTCAAAGTAAAACACTTCCTAATTCCTATGCCATGCGCGTGGGAACAAGAAAGCCGCTGTTCAAATTTCAAACGCTATTGATATATATATATATATATATATATATATATATATATATATATATATATATATATATATATACGGTATATCTTTTGAAACTAGCGAGCCGTCTCTATCCCCCCAATCCAATCCCATTTCTCTTCATCTTTCCCAAATTTCAGCGAAGAATGTTGACTGCCGGTGATACTGGGCAACTCCATCAGAATCACCAAAAGCTTCTCCCTAAACGCATAATCTTAGTGCGCCACGGCGAGAGCCAAGGCAACAAGGACGACGCCGCCTACACCGTAACCCCTGACTACAAGATACCATTGACGCCTCATGGGATCGAGCAGGCCAACCGGGCCGGCTCCAACATCCAGCTCGTTGTCTCCGATCATGGCGCCTCCAGGAACTGGAAGGTCTACTTTTACGTCTCACCTTACGAGCGCACGCGCTCCACTCTCCGTGAGATCGGTCGGGCTTTTCCCAGGAATCGGATAATCGGGGTTAGGGAGGAGTGCCGGGTCCGGGAGCAGGACTTCGGCAACTTCCAGGTGGCCGAGCGGATGAAGATCATTAAGGAGACTCGGGAGCGGTTTGGACGTTTCTTCTACCGCTTCCCCGAAGGTGAATCGGCCGCCGATGTTTTCGATCGCGTTTCAAGTGAGTTTCTATTTTCTCTTAGTTTTTTAAATTTTTGCTTTCTTAGCATTCGTCTCTGCGCGCTGTAATGTTGTGGATTTGAGCCTGTTGACTGTTCTCAACACTTCAACTGCGTATCGATCATTGACAGGTTTTGTTGGATGAAACATGAATATTGCGTGTAGATAGCTGTTCTCTACTCTCTAGGTTTTTTTCCTTATTTAAGAATTTGTTTATATATATATATATATATATATATATATATTTTAAACAAAGCCAGAGGATTAAAGTAGTTAGATCATATCAAGATGATGAAATTATTTCAGTCTGTGTTTAGGTGGAAAATAGGTATCTGCTATGCTTTTTCTTTTAGCATGTTCCATTTATTTTCCTTTTTCTTTGCTGATTGGAATTTCGAAAGGATCATTATTCTATTCTCATTGAAATTCCCTCATATGTAAACTGTAAATATGCTCAATTTTCATTAAATTACGGAGAAGTAGAAATTGCCCATAAAAATTGGATTATCCTGCGCTTCAGAAATTGTGATTTGTTGATATCAGCTAACAATCTCCTCCAAAGACAACTTAGAAAGAAAAGAAAGAGTTTTCTTCTTTCCATTTAGTCATGCATTTTTCTATAACTAGCATTTTAAGTACAATGGATGTTCCCTTCATATCATCATAGGGAAAAATGGGAAATATGATTGGTAGATGGACTGTTCTGTCATGGAGTATTTTTACGTGCTATGGTGAATCATAGGTTAGACTACATAATTTGTTATTTTTCTTGAAATGCTGCGATAGCAACCCATATGATCTTACCAAGTTTGGATGAAGTTCCTTTTTTTTTTTTTTTTTTTCGTCTATTCTGCATAGAAATGAGCTATTTGCTTCTCTACTATAGCGAATTCCTCAAAGTTAGTCATTAATTTCAAAATTGCAGTTGCTTCTAGACTTTTATTGTAGTATCAAATTTATAGGTATTGTTTTAAGTTTTGGGTTAAAATGGATGCAAGCTGGTGTGTTTGAATGGTATTTTTCTAATCTTCATTAGTCCTCTAATTGTTATAGTGTAACAGGGGGCTTAGTTCCTGTATTGTAGGCATCACCCCTTTTAGGGTGTGTTTGGTTGGGGACTTTTGCATTCTACTATAGGTTTTGATATGCATTACCATGTTTGTTTGCCTACTTTTGTTATCCTACTATTGGAATCAAATCTTTTAGTAATTACAAAGCTTTTTACCTTTTTTACTCTACTTGTGAACAATGGAATACAAAAATAAGGAAGAAAAAATTAAAAAAATAAAAAGGCAATTGTCTATGTATTAAATATGGAATTTTAATAATATACACACATATATGTATGCATATATATCTGTATTATATTTTTATTTTTTATTTTAATTAATTAATTATTTATTTGTTATTATTTCAATTCCTATTTACCACCAAACAAAGTGACTCATTATACTTAAACTCATTACCATTACCAAGTATTTGATCCCATTACCATTTGTTTGAACCAAACACACCCTTAGTTGTTAGGTCCTTATGTTAATGAGTTCGTCAAAATTTACCGTTATTCTTTAGAAATCCTAGTTGATTAGGGTTACTAATTGAAATTTTACTTGCTATTTTTCTTTTTATCCCCAAATTGCACTCTAGCATAGTGGCCAAATGGAGGTCATTTGTCTACATTTTTGCATTTTTGAATCTCTGGCCACTAAGTTGTGAAGTTTGGGTGCAATTTGGGAGAAGAAGAGAAATGAAGTGTGAAATTTCATTACTAGTCTTGATTAACTAGAGTTTCCAAAGATTTAAGAGTAAATTTTAACAACCGTAATAAAGGAACCAAAAACACCACTTCGTTGACAACTCAAGGATTAAAAGTAGTAAAATGCATAACATAGTGATTGTGTGTGCTATTATCCTATATTTGAGGGACACAAAGTGCTATTTTCTATTCTATTTATTTATTTCCAAACTATTCCTTATTTCCCCCAATTTCAAGCCCTAATTGCCAATATCATCTCATTTTAATGTTGATTTATGGTTTGAAATGAGAAGAGGTTAGATATAAATTGGAGTAGAAGAGAAATGGCTAATGAAATTACATAAACACCATCTTAACCAGCCTACTTTCTAACAACCCAAAGTGTCTTCTCTTGCTCATTCTTGAATTAAATTGTGGAGATAAGCTCAGAAAACTTTTAAAAGCTGTAAGCTCTTTTCATAAACCTATCCAAACAACAAAATGAACAAATATTAGTGTAACTACTTATTAGTAATGGATAAGCATAAATAAGTTGAAAATAAGCTAATCCAAGTTGTGCCGTAGTGTTGAAAATTTTATGTCTTAATGATCTCAGAGTTAAGTTGGATTAATATTTTGTTTCTTGGAGCTTTGAACTCTTCCTTGTTTCTTGAAAAGCTAAAGTGAATACAAGCAGAACTTGCACTTATGCTTGTAGTGGCACTTCATCTTATAAAAATAGGGAATGCAGAGATCCTTACATCACTTCTGAACTACGCTCTTTAACTGTAAAAAATGTAACTTAATATCAGGTCCTTGTGATAACACCAAAGTTAAAGATTGTGCATGAATGATTTAAGTAACAGCTATGGTGTAAAATTTGAAACAGAACAGATTCTTTTTAAGGTCAGTTTGAGACAAGGAGTCAAGGAACTGTACTTTATTATAATGCTGACATGTTGGCATGACCACAGTTCAGTATTCTGCTCTATATTTTGATAAAGTTTTTGCCAATGACATTTATTTTTTTGTTACTCGAGTACAAATTTAAAATGATAACAAATAAATGATCTACTTAATATAGTAATTGAAGTGTGGTCAGATGTGTTTGACTGAACTTTTTAGTGTATAAGAATTCTTTGACATCTTTTAAGCATGTAGTTGCATCAGTTACATTACTGTTGGAATGGAACTTTGATTGATCAGATAGCTTGTCTTTTCGTGATCTTGATTTCATTTTAAAACTAAACAGATCGTTTAAGAGTTTGCAATTTAGCCATCTTCAAGTGATTAATAGCCTCTTTTTTTATATTATTTTATTTTATTTTATTTTATTTTTTTCTTTCAGGGCCATATTAGCTTATTTATTTGATATTTCATCTGTGTCATTTGTTGACAAGACTATAAGATTTTCCATTAGTTCATGTGAATATATGAAGTGCTGATTAGACCTTTATAACTGTCTCAACTAATTGTGTTCATATGGAAGTGTTTTTTAAGTGTGTTGGGAAGTAAGAGACTAGTATTGAAGTAATTCTAGGCAGGCAGAAAAGCCTCTTAAGAGGATTAAGCTATATGATTAAATAGCCACTTACAAAGGGGCTGCTACCAAATGTTATGGAACATAAACGAAAATTGATTACTTGATATACTCCAAACTCCATGCTTTGTACTTTTTATCTTCATTGTACCTCGAAGCGAAATGTTAATAAATTGTCTATTATATACATGTTGTGAATGAAGCTGCAAAAGGGGTTTGGGTCTTGGCTTCTGTTTGATGATATTGCTGCTGCACCCGTTAATTTACAACATACATTACACTGCAGGTTTCCTTGAATCTCTATGGAGGGACGTAGATATGCACAGATTCCACTGTCAACCATCGGAAGAACTGAATCTTGTAATTGTATCCCATGGACTAGCTATACGTGTGTTTCTCATGAAGTGGTTCAAGTGGACAGTGGAGCAATTTGAGCGTCTAAATAATCTAGGGAACTGCGAGTTTCGTGTTATGCAGATGGGACGTGGTGGAGAGTACAGCCTAGCAGTCCATCATTCTGATGAAGAGATGCAAGCTTGGGGGTTAACCCCCGAAATGATTGAAGACCAAAAGTGGCGAGCTAATGCCCCAAGAGGCGCTTGGAATGAAAATTGTCCATGGTACCTTGATGCTTTTTTTGACAGTTATGCTGTGCAGTCAGATGATTGTGGTGCTGAAGATGAAAAATGAAATTTAAAAGCTGGTAGGCAATAGATGATTCTGATTCCCATTTGTTCTTGCTTGGTATGCAATGCTAGTCATGCCTAAACTAGTTTATGAACCATTAATTCACCTCTGCTGAAGAGATGGAGGTTCCTTATAATCAAGCATTATATTCTTTGTAAATTTAAATTCTAAATGTAGCTGTTGTAATGAATTGGCTAACATTTTCAGGAAAATAATGAAATTCAGCATTACCTTACCATTGTGCATTTTGTAGATGTAGTATTTAATTTTCCAGGCATTTAAACATTTTCTTCCCCAGTCTCTTAGATGCATGCATTGATGCATTCATGAACTTTACATGAGAGGGTCCTAAAAGCCCATTAGATTCATAAATTCATCACTTTAGTTAAATTTTTGTGTGGAGAAAACGATATTTAAACCTCAAATATACTAATAAGTTTGTGTTCAAACTTATACCAAGGGTTAATATGGACCAAGACAAACATGGCTTGATGAAGTTACTTGGACAATACAACGACAATAACATCTTTGTTTGTATTTAATTTTCCACACATTTAAACATTTTCTTCCCCGATCTCATAGATGCATTCAAATGATGAACTTTGCATTAATCACTTTAGTTGGGTTTTTGTGGAGGAAATGATATTTAAACCTCAAATATACTAAGTTACGTGTTGCAAAAATCTCGCCTAGACACTGGTCGGCTGCCTAGCGTATCACCATAATCGGTAGTCTAGGCGACCGACTAGGCTGCCTTGGCCGCTTAGGCCTCCTAGGCACTGACTAGGCCGCCTAGTCGGCCGATATGATTAGCCATTCTTCATTTTTTTTTAAAAAAAAAATGGGTTATTTCACTCAAAACAACATCGTTTTGAACAAAATAACCCTAAATTGTTCAAGCTCTAGATGTTTTTTAAGTTAATATTTAATATTTTTGTATTAACTATTAAAGTATTAAATACTTTATAATTATCAAGTTTTAAAAAATTTAAAAATTTTAAACATATTTTAAAAAAATAAAAATTAAACTAAAAAATACACGGATGCCTAAGCGCCGATTAATCTCCGCCTAGGCGCCCCTCGAGTGCCTAACAATTTTTTCAACCACGACTAAGTTTGTGTTCAAACTTATACCAAGAGATTGAATATGGACGATGAGAACTGATTGTATTATATTTTTTGAACTTGATTACAATGAGATCAGATGATGTGAATATATAGAATAGAGAGTCACAGTGTGACAATGATAAGAAGTAGAGAGTCACAGTGTGACAAGGATACGAAGTTCTAAACAGACTCATATACATAGAGTCCTAATACTCCCCCTCAAGCACAATGTATACTAGTAACTTGTAGCTTGTCCCTTAAGGAAGAAAATCTAGGTCCAGGCAGAGCTTTGGTGAAGATATCAGCAAGTTGATCCTTTGTGGAGATGAAGTTGACTTGGATATCGCCCGAAGCTACTCGATCACGAACAAAATGATAATCAATCTCCATATGCTTGGTGCACGCATGAAAGATTGGATTGGCACTCATATATGTAGCTCCTAGATTATCACACCATAATTTTGGAATGGAAATACCCGGAATCTGTATCTCATGCAATAATGACATAATCCATAGAACCTCAGCACAAACATCTGCAAGAGCTTTGTATTCAGCCTCAGTGGATGACCTGGCAACAGTTCTCTGTTTCTTGCAAACCCATGATATAAGATTACTCCCCAAGAAAACAGCAAAACCACTCATGGATTTTCGATCATCAGGACAACCAGCCCAATCAGAATCAGAGAAAGCATGAATGTCTCTAGATGAGCATCGTCGTATGCGTAAACCATGATCAACTATTCCCTTAACATACCTGAGTACCCGTTTGAGCTGCTCCCAGTGTGATATGGTGGGAGCATGCACATGCTGGCATAACTGATTAACTGCAAAGGATAGGTCAGGTCGTGTGACAGTGAGGTATTGCAATGCTCCAGCTAGACTCCTGTACTGTGTGGGATCATCATATAGATCTGAATTGAAGGTGACACTTTTCGAGACAGAGATAGGTGTAGAAAGGGGTTTGCATTCAGACATTCCAGCCCGTTTTAAAATATCATTCATATACCATTGTTGAGATAAAATAATCCCATTGTCACTCTTAACTGTTTCAATACCCAGAAAAAAAATTTGGTTCACCAAGATCTCTGATTTTGAATGTAGCAGACAGTTTGGATAAGAGCTGAGACATAATACTCTGATCACTTCCCATTACAAGAATGTCATCCACGTACACCAATAGATAAACCAAAGCAGAGTCTTTAGAGTAATAGAACAGAGAGACATCTGTCTTGGATGCTTGAAAGCCAACCGATAGTAAGAACGTATGTAGTCGATTAAACCAAGCTCTGGGAGCTTGTTTTAACCCATATAGAGATTTTTTTAACAAACAAACATGATTCGGGAAGTTAGCATCAATATAACCAGGGGGTTGCTTCATATAAACTGTTTAAGCCAGATTACCATTCAGAAAAGCATTATGAACATCTAGCTGTTTGATAGACCACCCAGATGATAAAGCTAGAGATAGAAGGAGTCTTACAGTCGTAGGCTTTACCACTGGACTAAAAGTGTCGAAGAAGTCCTGACCTGGAACCTGATTAAAACCTTTCGCAACCAGCCTGACTTTATGCCTTTCAATAGCACCATCAGCCTTTCTCTTCGTATGAAACACCCATTTACAGCCAATAATATTCATACCTGCAGTGGGTGGAACTAGAGACCATGTGTGGTTATGCAGGAGAGCATTGAATTCTTGGTCCATGGCTTCACGCCACTCAGGATATTTAACAGCTTGAGAGTGACATGTGGGTTCCGTGGGATGCACCTGAGCTGCTAGAGCAAAAAGAGGAGCATCTGCGTTGCTGTGAGTGGCCATAGAGTGAGTACGGACATTGGGCCTGATGGACCGCCCACGTGGACGGCCTCGCCGGCGAGCAACAGGCTCCACAAGATCACCCGACGAGGCAGCCTGTCCGGGATCCATGGTTGGTTTGAATGAAGCAGGTAGCGGCGGTTCTGGCAGGTCATCATTGGACATGGTAGGAATAGGTGTGCTGTGACTGAGAACAGATTCCGCCCAAGGTCCAGAAAACGGAGTAGATAGATCCTGCAAAGAAGTTTTAGTAGCAAAGGGGAAAACTTCTTCATCAAATCTGACATGCCTGCATGTGTAAATCTTATTAGTATGTAAGTCCATGCATCTGTACCCCCTAAAGGACTTAGGATAACCTAGGAAGACACATGGAGAAGACCTGTATGACATCTTATGACGATTATATGGTCGAAGATGAGGGTAACATAAACACCCAAAGACACGAAGAAAAAGATAGGAAGGTGGGGATTTATGTAACAGGAGATGAGGACTGGAGTTATTTAATACAGAAGATGGCATTCTGTTAATTAAATAGACAGCAGTCTCAAAGGCAAAATCCCAAAATTTCAAAGGAACAGAGGCATGAGCTAGAAGAGCCAGACCAGTTTCAACAATGTGACGATGTTTTCGTTCAACACGACCATTCTGTTCATGTGTATAGGCACAGGATTGTCTATGTTGAATTCCTAATTGAACAAACAAAGAATGCAACTTTTTGTACTCAGCACCTAAATCAGACTGAATGGCCTTTATTTTGCAATTAAAGGACCGTTCAACGAGAGTACGAAATTTATCAAAGATGACATAAAGACCAGACTTTAATTTCATAGGGAAGAACCATGTATAACGGGAATAGTCATCCACAAAGATCACAAAATAACGGAAGCCAGAAGTAGATAAAGTGGGCGCAGGACCCCAAATGTCTGTGTAAATAAGATCTAGGACTTGAGAACTAGAGGAAGCAACACGGTGGAGGGGAAAGCGGGCAGATTTGCCTAATTGACACACATTGCATAAAGAATTATGACAACGAATATTATCACGAGACCCACTAACCAAACAAGAACGAAGTATATGGCTAAGAACACGGTTATGAGGATGACCCAGACGATTGTGCCAAGTGGAAACCGAGGCACGAGCGGAAATAAACGCTGACGGAGACGAACTAGGTAATGAAAGTGTGTATAGTCCCCCCGAACTATTGTCCCGAAGAAGTATTTCCTTGGTATTGATATCTTTCACAACAAAAAAGGAGGGGTGAAACTCAAAAAAGACTTTATTATCGGATGCAAACTTCTGAACAGATAATAAAGAATTAGACAAACGCGGAACGTGAAGTATATCAGACAATGTAAATGATCTAGAAGGGGTATTAAAAGAGGCATGGCCAACATGACTAATAGATAAACCCATACCGTCACCGACATGTAAAGTGTCATTACCAGTGTACTTCTCCGATGTAGAAAGAGCAGCGATGTTTGGAGTTGCATGATTTGTGGCTCCAGTGTCCGGAACCCAAGTATGAGAATTTGACGAGGTTTTAGCAACTAAACCATTCTGAAACACCAAATTAGCCTGAGAACCCGGAGCCCCTGAATATCGCCAAAAACAGTTGACTCCCGTGTGACCGAAACTTTTGCAAATTTGACACGGATCATTATAGCGCCAAAAACAATTGGCTCCCGTGTGACCAAAACGTTTACAAATTTGACACAGATCATCATAGCGCCAAAAACAATTGGCTCCCGTGTGACCAAAACGTTTACAAATTTGACACGGATCATCATAGCGCCAAAAACAATTGACTCCTGTGTAGCCGAAACCTTTACAGATTTGACACGGATCATCAAAGCCACATTGCTGACCTCCACGGTAATTAAGGTTGCCATCGCAGCGCTGCATCTTCTTGATTTTATGAATCACAAAACCCTAGCTAACTGATACCAGATGAGAACTGATTGTATTATATTTTCTGAACTTGATTACAATGAGACCAGATGATGTGAATATATAGAATAGAGAGTCACAGTGTGACAATGATAAGAAGTAGAGAGTCACAGTGTGACAAGGATAAGAAGTTCTAAATAGACTCATATACAAAGAGTCCTAATATGGACCAGCGTTGTTTGATACTCATCCTTACCTAATATGGTATTGAATTTTGACAAACGTGGCTTGATGAAATTACTTGGACACGGCAACGACAATAACATTTTTGCTTGTATTAAATTACTCGTATTTTATATACGTGATTCACAAAAAATATATGCGCACTAGTAATATTCATAGTTGCAGTATATAATAATAGTATATAATTTTTTAAAAATTTATAGTTGTAAAATTTATATTATATAAAAAGTATAGTTGTGATAATTTGAGTAATAATTATATACGGTTAATATTATTAAAGTAAGAATTTTAGATATATATGGTAAATTAATAAATATAATTATGATAACATTATATATATATATATATATATATATATATATATATATATATATATATATATATATGTTGGAAAATATAGCTTAAAATGACATAAAATGGCATGTTAAGTGGCTATTTTGTGGTACAATTATCAGTGGGTCCACTTCCGATTTGGGTCGGGTCAAAGTGGATTCAGATTCTTCGTAGTGAGACGAAGAGATTGATATATTGTACGCTCAAAACGGATAATGGGTGAATGAGATATTGATTCTCAAAGTAGACCCATTTGAGTTGGAAAATGAAGGGAAAAAGTGAGCTTTTGTCCCACATTGCTTTGGAATGAAGATTTTCCCCCCTTATATACAAGAGCTCTTTTGAAGCTTGTAGAATTGTATAACATAGAGGCTCTCTCGCGCGGGGGGGGGGGGGGGGGGGGTGCAAATCAAATTCCAACTAGCAGAGATTGAAAAAGGCTTGATTCAAGCCCGAGCTCGTGTGCGCCGGCACCTGGGGGCACGAATGTCGTCCGGAAATTCGCGCATAAGTTATGCCAAACTTCGGTATCAGAACCGAACCGAGAGGTTGTGGTGCACCCTACTCTCGTGCTACAAGAGAGCACGAGAGGGAGGTTGTGGTGCACCCTACTCTCGTGCTACAAGAGAGCACGAGAGGTTGTGGTGCACCGTGAGCACAACTCTCGTGCAACAGAGTCCACGAGAGGTGCAAGGGCCGAAACTGGATAAGGTCGAAAGTTGAGACCGAACCCTGTACGCTAACGGTCTGGAACCCGAAAGTTCTGACTGTTGAGGGGATTGAATCATCAGTTACGGAATTAATTGTCTATTAATTCCAATTTTGAATTCTGTATTCAATTCCCAGGTAGTGGCCTGCTGTTATAGCTGTTGGAAGGCAGCTTTAATGTCATTTTTAATTGCCATAATAAAGGCTATTGGCTCCTTTCAACCCTATATAAGAGAGGGTAGAGGCAGTAGAGTTTTACACACAGTATTACACAACACGAAAGTATAATTTTTCCAGCTTCAAAAATCTCTGCTTCTACTCCTTCTTAGCCATACTGTGTTCATAGCTTGTTTTGCTCGCCGGATTCCTTGTTTGAGTGCTCAAACATTGAATCACTAGCAAGTTTTATCCTGGGAAGCCTAGGCCACAACGCTCCTAGCATCTTTGGGAGGTGGCAAATAAGGTTTTAAGGAAAGAGTGCTCACTTGACTCTTGCAAAAACCCAACACCAAACACTAGCAAAATTTGTTCATCTTTTCTTCCTCTCTTTCCAGAAAATAATAGTCATTTTTATTTGATTATTATTTGTTTTTCTACCAACGGTTCCTACAATCTTAAAACCTTATACCTTGTTTTCCCGTTGGTTGTTTTCTCGAATTTCCTTGAAGAAATGGAGAACCCCGAGTTGCCTATCGTGAACAATGGGGAAGAAAATGTTGTTGAGAACAACAATGGAGGAAACGGCAACAATGTTGCTAATTCCCAAGCTACACCAGTGAACGTTGGTTCACAAGATGGTGGGAGTACTGAGGGATATATTCCCATGTCTCGAGTACCTTCGGTACCGAGTGGTTCGGCTGAAAAGCCGGAGAAGTTCACCGGTGTTGGTTCGAACTTCAAGAGGTGGCAACAGAAAATTTTGTTCTACCTAGCAACTCTCGGCTTGGCAAGGTTCTTGTCCGAGAAGGTTCCCGAGTTGAAGGAACAAGATGCACAATCCGTGATGGCAGTTGGCTATTGGAAGGATTCGGACTTCCTTTGCTGAAACTACATCCTGAATGGATTGTGTGACATGCTATACGATGTATATCGAAAGATAAGCACATCAAAAGCGTTGTGGGAAGCTTTGGATCATAAATACCGAAGTGAGGATGCTGGCTCAAAGAAATTTGTGGTTGGCCGATTCCTCGACTTCAAAATGGTTGATTCAAAAACTGTGCTAAGTCAGGTAGAAGATTTGCAATTAATCTTTGATGAGATTCGTGACGAGGGCATGGTGCTAAGTGAAGCCTTCCAAGTGGGATCTGTGATCCATTTGTTGCCTCGAGGTTGGAAGGACTTCAAGAACTACCTTAAGCATAAGCGAAAGGAGATGAATCTGGAGGACCTGATCCAGCGACT